AACATACGCCGTCGCCGCGCGGAAAAGAGTGTCAGCGCCACAAGTATATTTGGCAGCGCTTGGGCGACGCGCAGAACTAGGCCGGCGGCCCCAGCGATTAGCCCTGATGCGCTCTTGCGCGCGCCTTTCCACTTGTTCGCTGGCCGCGGCGCGAGGCCTTGTGCAAGGGAGGCAAGATCGACAACCCACCCGCCAATGTTATTTCACTCGTGAACAACACAGCCCAGCTGAAATGAGACGTACGGTACCATATGTTTATGGCCGCTCGTGCGACTTCTTTTCATTGTCCTACGGGTCCGCGCAATTCTCTCTCTCTCTCTCTCTCTCTCTCTCTCTCTCTCTCTCTCTCTCTCTCTCTCGTTCTCTCTTGGTCTTCACAAGATCCGTTTTTGATGACCGCGAGCGACAATACCGAATACCGGCGATTGCTGATTTGTCCGTTTCACGATCGGCCGCCGGCTGAGGCGTCCATCGTCTCCCGCCCTCGAAAATGCGTCGCATTGGCAGGAAAGATTCGATTGGTCGGAGGGGACGCGAAAAAGCGGAAAGCCTTTCGTCGAGCTGTCCCGGCGCGATGACGGCTCGTTCGCTTTGTAGTAGTCGGGTCCGGAAGCAAGTTTTAACATCTTTCGTTGCTAGATCGATGTGATTTACGCGTCCTGCACTCTGCGTTGAGTTTGAACGTTCTTGTTTATCTTTTTTTTCTTCTTTTCCTAGCGATTGATTTGAATTGCAGCAATTCTACAAGGAATTTCCCACCCATTTTTCTGTCTGATTGATCTGAGTCGTAAACACGTGCAAGACGTTAAACTGCAAACAGTTGGTTCTAGTCAGACGCGCTTTATAGTTAAACTGAGCCGTTTCTCGCTTGACGACCACATTTTGCAATCGAGATTCAATGCTCAGTATAGAGAATGTTGATTGCTCCAATTTTTTCCGTTTCTTTGATAAAGATATTATGGATTGATTATGAAAATCCAACTAGTTTTTAACGGATGAAAATAAACTTCTAATTAATGAAAGGCATAAAAAATATATCACGATTCGTTAATAAACGTAATCGTTGCTTAATTTAGTAAGGAGAAGATACGTTTGTATCCTTGTACGATGTGAACCGCAGAATTAAAAGCCACGTACGTGACTCAGGGAGTGCCTCGAGTAAACCTAAGCCGCGTAGTAAATCGCCCTAAAATGTTTTTCCTCCTCGTCGTTCGTTGCCATCGACGTCCCACTTTCGCGCAACAATAATTGAGACCGCGAGAGAAAAACGAGGCAAATTAGCAGTCATTATCGAATAATTATGTGGGTTAACCGATCGACTTACCGCCTCGTCAGCGGAATCCAATCTAACCGCAGGCGCGTCAAAGTCGCCAATAAAGTTGACGTACCGTATAAGGTCCGTGACGACCTTTCATTGGCAGCTCGCGGGCGAGCCTTCGCTCATCGCGTCTACGTATATCTGGCAAATTGGAATGAAATGGCTTCAGTGCGCGTATAAATAGCCGCGCAATATTGCAGTGTGCAAGCTCGCGTCCGCCGGCGAGGAAACACAAAGCACGCCGGCGAATGTACGGCGAGGAGGCGCAGTCGCATCTGCGCTGAGCCACACCGAGATTACGTCGACGTTCGTCGAGGCTCGCTGCAAAAGACCCGGACGACCGACGAAGATGCGCGCGCGTTCACGAAAAAAAAAAAAGAAAAAAATAATCCGCGTCACGCGCTTCGGTTTCGGAGCTCGGCAATTCATAGCAGAACCACGAGCGACGAGGATATTCATTAATTGGAGTGCGAACGTACAAACGAGTGGCTCGCGGTGGGCCACGGAATAAGCGCGCCGTGCGCGTTAATTAAGCGGTTCGGTGGAGCGCGCGCGCGCGCGAGGACGGGAGAGAGCCTCCGATTCTTCGGCTCGCGCACGGCTAATCGGCACTTCCGAGCGGAATAAGGCGCTCGCGCGCGAGATAATAATACGACGCCGGTCGGCGAAAAGAAAAAGCCGAGGCACGAGTCTCGGCTGGCGTCGGCGAGCGCGCGCATCCCGAATTAACCGCGAGAGAGAGAGAGAAAGAGACTCGACGACGCGAGCGCTGCTTCTGCCGCAGCCCAACGAGACGAGCCAGATGGAAGAGGCGGTAAACGGCGCGCGAGAGTCCACGATCGTAATAATAATTGTTCGTGTAATGCGACCGCGGGACGTGTTTATAGACGCATAATTCTCGCCCGGCTGGCGGCACTCCAGAGTTCCGCTCCGTGGTCGGATTTTTGCTGGGCTCGCCGCGGCGGACGATCACCGGTCGGCCTCTGCCCCGCGCTCGCCGTGTAATTGTTCTCGAGTAAGACTGATTTTTTCCTTCTCTTCCTTTTTGTCCTTTCGTAAAGCCACGCTACTAATTTTATCCGCGCGCGTCTTTGGAAATGTCAGCGCACTTACGCGAGATCGAGATCTCGAAGGCGTATGTCGCGCAAGAAAAATAAACGGGAGACTGCGAGCTTTCTTAAAATATCGATTTGACTTATCTTCGCGATTTCAAAACCAAAAGAGCTTGCAGCTCGTCTATTTGCAATTGGGAGACAAGGGCATCGACAATCCGATTGATCGTCTCGTCGCTAAATTATATTTCATTATCATACGAGCAACGGGACTGTAATTGCGGTTGTCAATTAACACTGCGATCTTCATCTGATTTTCCGCGTCGAAACGCATTCACAGTGAACGTAACAGCGCGGCATGTCGCGATTCGTGCAATCACCTGAAACAGCCTATCGACAATCGCCGAAAGCCGCAAGCGATAATAAGCCTTGCATGCGCCGTGGTATCGATAACGCAATCGCCGACGTTCGATACGTGCAAGCCACGATGAGCAGAGGAAGAGTCGCGATGTCCCGAGCAGGACTAAGAAGCGCAATGCGTTCGTCGCCAACGCAAGGCCGCGACGACGGACTCTCGCGTGCGCGTGGGTCGTTCGCGCGCGAGCGCGCACCCGGACGAGACTTTATCGGGCGCGTTTCCGTCGCGGCCTGTCGTCAATTTTCCTCTCCCGCCCTCGGGCGTCCGACTAGTCGCGACCGATCGCCACGTTGGCTCGTCGAGCCGCCGACGAGGACGCGAAGAGGCGCAGTTGCCGATCGCGCGTTCTCTATTTTCGGGTAGCTTCGGCCACGCTCGTTATACCGCGGGCCACCGAGGTGACTTTGGTGCTTCATCGACAGCGTTCCGCGTCGAGCAGCGACGCCTGATTCGGCCTCTTCCCCTCTGTGCTCGTGGCTGTCGCCTTGCCTCGTTGAGCAATTGAATTGCGGGCGATCGCCAACGTCGACTCCCGCGAGCAACATTATTCGCGCCCCTGGAAGTGACTTTCAGATTTACCGTGGCGTTTCTGAGCCTTCGCTTAGACGAATTTGCATCTAATCCAATGTTTTCAAACGAATCGAACTTCCTTCCAGACGGCTGTTCCCGAAACGTTACGATCAAATCGGCCGTGCGCACAAGGTATTTTCGGTGCACGAGTAACTGCAAGTAATGTATAAAATAAACGACAAGGTGGCATCAAGAAAGAGGCTATCTAAACATTTCATTGTCGATCGTTTCGAGCGCGTAGTTTAGCGGCGATAATCTTGCGCAAGGATGATTGATTCGCGACCAGAGATGTACTTTCGAGTTACGTCAGCGCAAGAAACCCGAAAAAACAGCTTCTAAAGTGCGCTCGAAAGGGTCAACAGCTCTCAGCCGCGTAATTAACGGATGGAGCATGTATGTACATTTCGAAAAAACGTTCGCTGGCGAGGTCAAAGCTCGATAAAGAGACGCACATGGAGACGGAGTGCATATAGTCTGGGCAAACAGCGTCGTCTTCGCGTAAGCTTTTTTGGGGGCAGGGGGCGAAAACAGAACAAAGAGAGAGAGAGAGAGAGAGAGAGAGTCAGTTATTATTCCGTCTGGGCAAAGCTCTTTCTTCCGGCGTGTCTCCCGACGCGCTTCTCCAACATAATTAAGTCGTTCTCGGCAACGGCAATAATTTGGAGCCTCGCGTCGCTGCAATGGGTCGCGGCTCGCTGTGTTTCGTGTTTCTTCATCCTAGTGATTGGGTTTCGTCTGCGTAGGGCACGTCTGCGTTAAATAATGACGACCAATTGAGTTTTTGTAGATTAGTGTGAACCTTATTCATCTCAGCTGGATGTTGATATTCCACTTCTTTTTTTCGAAACCAATCTTACTCCTCCTATAACGCAATTGTTTTTCATGCGTCCATTTCATGTGGCGTACCGAACGTGTCAAACTACTACAACTTTCACGGGATCAATTGTCGAAACGCTTTTCGCGTCGCACGCGGCAATTCACCGGTGGGAATCAAGCAGCGAATTGCCCTTAAAATACACGTAAACAGAAACGGTCTTAATATTCCTGCGCATGTCGATATCTTGAGATCGGTGTTGTTTCGGCTTGACGATGCAAACCATTACGACTATTCGTTTTGATTTAGTTTGGCCGACAGTCTTGAATAAATGATATCTTGTCATTTTCCGATTAGCCAATGCAAGAAACGGCCAGAATGCCGCGGTTTGACTCGAACGATCGATTGTCCGGATTCTCCGGATTCCAGCAGTCGGAAAAGATTTGACTTGTCAGCTTTTCTCTGCTCAAACACCGAGATCGTACAAATATTTTTAATCTACTTCCCGCTATCGCGGACGCTATAGCCGAAATTGCATCCTAACACGGCACCATTTCACTCTATCGGACGATCGGCGCTGAGATTCTCGTTCGCGCTAACGGATTACCACTTCGAAAGCTTCGCAGCTTCCTTACGTGCGCACTCGAGACGAAGCGGAACGACGGAAGGTCCTTGGTCGCGCGACCCAAACGACAGCCAATGGCCTGACGGCCGACGACGCCTGCAAGCTCGGCCGCCGTGCCGACGTCGGCGACGCGCGGGTTGCCGAGCGAGAATGCGCGACGTGACGCGCGCGAGCGGACGACGGCTTAGTAGGCTCGCGCGCGCCTCGTCGAAGAGTCAAGCTCGCCGGCCCGGTCGACCGAGCGAATGACGGGCGCCGCGGAGGACGAGAGGGCGAGTTCGCCGTTCTACGGCCGGCTGATGAGGAGCGACACGCTCGAGAAGCACAAGCTGTGGGAGAGCTACATCAGTGAGTTTGTTGCTTGTTTCGCGCGGTCAGCGTCCAGCGCCGCTCGTCGACAGCCTCGCGTTCCCTAAGGGGCCGGGCGCGGGGCCTTGTCGCGCCTCCGCTCTTCGCTCTGCTCTCGTACGCCCGCGTCGCCATTGAAATTCGCGCGCCGATCGATCGGGGTTAACGAGCCAAGCGACGCTTAATTGACACTTGCCGGCCGCGAACGGCCAGGCATCGCTCGTCACTGTCGGATCGTGGCCACCGAGTGCCTCTGTCATTGACCTTGCGACTGAAAATATTGTCGGATGCCTCGCGCACCGCGAAACGTACGATTGCCACTGCCACCGACGATATAATCCTCTGGCCAGCGCGAAACGACACGTGTTTGCCGAAACGATCGTACGAACGTGTCGTGGTTCGCCGGCAATCGCTCATTTCGACCGCGGCGGCTGATATTTATTGCGTCACCGCGGCTGTCCGCGCGCTCGGCCAGCAGTTGTTGGCTTAGCGCGAAATTTCGCGCGCCCGTGTAATAATCAATGGGCTAATATATATACGCCGGTGCAGCGACAACAATGTACGCAAATTGAATTAAGTTATTGATGGGATTTTAACGAGCCAATTGGCAGAGAGTATAACGAGCGATTACCCGCGCTGCCTACATTCGTATAAATTTAATTAGGAGTGCCTTGGGGGATCTACGTTTGATAATGCGTAAACGCCGAGTCGATTTGCTATTTTTATCAGTCGAATTATCGCGCGGCTCGTAATAACTTTTCACCGAGACTCCAATATTGACGACGGTGCGGCTCAAATCGCTTGCCGAACATGCGAATCCCAACCGCGAACTTGATTTACGGGTCACACGCTAAACACTGCGAGGAATAGAACGCAATCGAGCGGTGAAACAAATAAGTACTTTCAAATAATAATGACGATCAAACGCTTCTCCAGATGCTCTGCTGGCTGATCTGCAGAATACCGTGTCGCCGGACACGAGTCTGATAGGTAACAGCGGAAGTACACCTGGCTATGGATCTCTGAACGGGACACGAGGACACAACGTGCAAGCTCCCGCTGTCACATCCTCATCATCGGCGGCTTACAGGCCTTACGAGAATCATTGCGCTGCTCAGCCTCTTAGATCGCAATCGGTAAGTTGTCCGCCACACGTTGTACACGACTTTAATGTTTCGCTTTCTTTTCATCGTTGGCTAACCCGGGAATAAATTTCATTTTTTTTTTCTTTTGTTTTGGTTCAATTACTGTGGAATTACGACGAGCAGGCTGGTGAGCTTAGCGAATAAATGAATGGAAACGCACGATTGATTGAGAGATCTGTAAGTGCTTATTCCCAACTGATGTGTAATCCTTTCATTTGAAAGTTGGACGATTTTGCGCTTCTAAAAACAAATCGACGATTCGCATTTGAGACAACTCGATACTACATCGCGGCGTGCAACCGAATCTCCCTCAGTGTACGAACTCTTTGACCTACCCTCCTCGATCTTAACGACACTTACCCTCAACTCTTTCGCTCGCACACGATATCACAATGACTCCGTCGCTCGTCAAGCACACTTATTCACCTTCTACGCTCTAGGATCCCACATTACTTTTGATTAGTCAATGTACAATTACGAAACCATTTTCATACGTGAAAATTCGCAGATATTTTACTCGAAATACACGACCACCTTGTCATGAAAATAGCTGTTCACGCAAGCAATCAAAAGTTTACATATTAGTGTAAAGCATGAGCTGTGATCAATTCCTCTTGGCGTCAAGAAAATTTTGTTGAAAAGTCACAAAAGCATTTTATCGTACATCTCGTCGGCTGATTTCGATAGCGTCGAATTCGAAAAGTTTAATTTTCATATATTTCGAACGTATTTCTAACGGTTTGAGAAAAAAAAATAGCCTACCCTACAGAAAAATCGAGTATCCGGCAGAATGACGACTACTTCTTTGAGTGTAAAATTTGTAATTTGCAAATCCTACTTGAAATTCCATGGAAAAAGTGACATTAGCTGCATATCTTCAATTGACGCGTAACATTGTATCTATGTGTGAACAGCAAAATATGCAGTGCTCGTACACTAATTTTGAATCGAAACGAGTGTTGTTGGTACGGTACAATAATAACCCATAAGAAACTGTTCTTCAAGAAAGCTTAGTTCAATCAGGTTTTTCATCACTTATGTTGCCTTAAGGTTCACATAAAAATTGTGCAAATCTATCGCATTCGAATTAGCCATCGTCAATGTATAACGCGGCGGAGTGTTTCAGAAAAATGTTGTCGTACGATCTGCGAGAGAATATGAATCCACCATTGCACGCGTATTTTTGTATTTTGTATATTTAAAGTCTGGCCACGATGCGTAAGTGCGCTCGCAGGTACAATTTGCGAAAGTTATTCAACCGGAAACAAAAACATCATTCGGGAACGTTAGAGCTGCGTGGCCTATTTTTCGCGCGCAGTGCGTCAATCCGCTAAAAACCGACATGTCCTATATAGCCATTTTTCCGCCATTTGCGCAGTGCATAAATTATTCCCAGTAGTTGGCCAACCGTTTGCACAACAACTAGCGTCGAACGCCGCATCGCATTGTTATTTGCACAAAGTCAATCTCCACGGCTCGCCGTTGAAGTTGTTTATATCCTTCTCCGCGACATCGAACGCGCCGCCAATACAGGAAGCAGCGCCAAGTTCAGCGCGAGACGAAAATTGCCGCGCGCGGGCGAGCGAGCGTCCGCCGAATCGAACGGATAACGAGCAGGAACGAGAAGGTCGGTGCGCGCGCGTGGCCGATATTCCCGACCTTCGCCGGTAGGCCTCGGGCGCTACGGTGTCGCGCGTATTTTTACGAGTCCGAAATACACCGCGAGTCCTCTTCCTCTCGCGCCGCTGAAAAGTCCACGGGCGTTTTGCGCGCGGTTCGCTCGGACCGCGGGCAAATCGGAAGGAAGCTCGCGGCGGCGCTCGCAGCCTGCCGATCTACTAGCCGCCGTCGGCGGCTGCGCCGAAGGATCTCCGCTTTTTCGCGACGACGATCATTATTTTAGAATTAATATTTATACACGTGTATGTACCAATGTTCCCTGGCTCGAAGCCGCCCGGCCAGCCAAGAATAATAAGGAGCCAATGCAATATATTTCACCTCGCCTCGCATTTTTGCCGCGAGCGCGCGCGCGCGAGTCTATGAAATCATAACTTTGAAAATGCCGCGGTCACGCGGCCGAAGCGCGTATTTATTTGTTCGCGCGCTTCGTACCTCTGCCCGGCGCGCGCGAGACACAAACACGCTCGCCGAATCGTCTTGCCAGCTGGACTTTTCGGCTCATTAACGGGCTCGCGTTTAACGTCACGCCGATTCGTTCGACTTTAATGTCTCATTGCCACGCGCTCGATAAATAATGTCGGACGAATACCAACTATACATACTTTTAATCCTTCATGTTACTCGACCGTACAAAAATTTGTTGGTGCATCTAATGTCATGAGCGTATTTCTGTCCTCAATCACAATCATCTCGACTTGCTTTTCCATACGGCAAATGTTCCAGGTAATTATCCAACGCAGCAAAACCACCGTAATAGAGTTTATTTTTGAATATAAAAAATATAACAGGAAACAGTGAAAAACATCGACTAACATTTAGCACTGGTCCAAAACTTCACTACGCAATGCTCCAGTACGATTATTAAAAAGTGTACGCCTGCAAAAGGGGCAAAAATGCAGCGAACAGCGTTTTAAAGTCAGCTCTACATCGTATGTTGCAGCCTACGTACCAGAACCGAGAGGCAATCGAAGAGTCCTTAGCTAGATCGGGAAGTGGCGGTGGCGGTGTCGGTAGCAGCCCCAGTCAATACAGACAAGGTGGATCGGCATCGAAAATGCCATCCCTGAACAACAATCTCTCGGAGCTGGACACGCTTCTGCAAGATCTGAGCAACGCCAGATACAACTCGCACGTTGCCGACAGAGGTAAATTATCACTGCGATTCGTTTCACGAACGACGACTTTTCGCGTGTTGACGACTCCAGCCGTTATTACTTAATCCTTCGGGTCGACATTAGCGTCGCGTTCTATAAATAAATGAAAGACCAGCGATTTTCCCCGATCAAGGTTTTTAATAGAAATTTTATATTTAGCTCGTTGCCCTCACACTACAAATAAACGTGCACAATAAGAATATGATGTGATGAAATTTGAGAGTCAGAATGAAAAATTAGCGATCGAATTGTTATTGAAAGACGCGCTTCTATTGCTTCATTGAGAAAAAATGAAAAGAAACATTTTGCAAAAGCAAATTTCAAAGTCCTAATCCAGCCTAAAAGTCGAATTGATCTGACACTTTGCGCACGAAGCATTCGCAACAACTTGCTTAGATGCGGTGCCTTGAAAGGGGGGAAAAATAATAGGATAGAGACGCACGTAGAGAACGTCAGGTCGGGGAAGTAACAAGCCGAGACGCGGGGCATTGATGAAAATCTGGCTGCTCGCCGATCTGAGCGACAATTAGTGTCCCTCGGCGGTTATAACCAGCGACAGCATCGAGCTTCGTTAAAATTTTTCGCCGTCGCGCAAAAGCGCCATTATCATCGGCATCAGCGCCGAGTTGGGCTGTGACCTTCCGACGTCGCCGGTGCGCACCGACCGACGACTCCGCTCCCTGTGATATAAGCCGCGACAAGCTGCTCGAAGGCCAAATTGGAGCGGCGCCAAAAACGTGCGAGCGGGCACGCGCACACGGCTCTCCTTTTTGCCGTTGAGTCGCAAACTAATGTAACGGCTCGCGTCATCGTGTCGCTTTGGCTTGGTCTGATTGAGTTCGGTTCCCATTCCACTTGACAACTTTGATGTTATTTCTTGCTTTTACAAAATGCACGATTATCCATTTGTTGTTTTCGGGAACAAGGAGCTTCATCAAACTAATTTATTATCGTTAGTAACAAATGCGTTCTCTTGCGAAAGGATGAGGGGGTCTTCTGTGCAACTTACTTCTCTATGTTGTTTGTCGAAAATGCTGAATTAATATTCATTTGAAAAAGTTATAAGTTTACATGCAAGTTGCACGATTCGTAGTGAGCTTTCCATTATTAGACAATATTATTCGACTGCAATATGATTATTTCTGTAAGAAGCGATTGTCGGTGTACGAAAATGAAATAAACAAAAATTGTCTGTCAATGCAACCACCAGTTTTATAGATTCTGTCAAAAAACAATAATAAATTAGAAACTTTTCCAAAATACGTACAAGATATTGATGTTTTATTGGATCAAAAGATCTCTGACCTGCTAACCAATTTTAAATATAGATCGCATTATATACAGATTTAACGATCTCTTTGATTGACAGTCATTTTTATAAAATTTCCGACAAATAGCATTCATGCGAAGTAGAAACTACTTATTTATAGCTTACGTTTCTTAAAACTATAAGTAGTTCACAGTGATCAGCATTTTTTTATTACAAGTTTAACGATAAAAATCTCTAAATTGGAGGCGAAGTTAGATGAAGTACTGCGACTCATAGAACTTTTAAATTCATTTTATAACGACACTAAAAGACTTCCACCAGAAGTTAACAGATCAATGGATCTTGATAATTTGCGATTTTTTTCTTTGCAGACATAAGAACGACAAACGGCGGCACGTCAAGTCCAATGATGCGCTCGACAAGCAGTCTGTCCGGCGGTGCGCGGCCGACAGTCGACAGTTTGCTAGAGGAACTGAGCTCGGGAATGCCGAACGGGTAATTGCTTACTTAACTTTGCAGTCAACTTTTATTTGTTACTTCGACTGGTTCGCATGAAAGCCAGTGAGCTTGATAATCGTTATGCGTGATTTGTCGATATCCCATTGCTGCTCGAGTGCTCAAGGACAACAATGAACCGCTTAGAATTAGAGTCAATTTTATGCGCTCTAGTAATCATCTGATTGCTCGGATGAAAATCAGGCACGTGATTGTATGACGTTAAATTCGCAACCTTTTTCATAACAGTCTATTTTTGTCAAATCATTTTGCATGATCTACGAATTATACACGTGCACAATAGTTGTTAATACGATATAATTCCAATCAATTTTTGTACTTTTAGCGAATATCCCGATGGACAAAGAGTGAGGGTAACGATAGAAGAAACAACGACGGACATGGGCTCCGCTGACTCGTACTACCCTTTAACCCATCAAGGATCGCTCAACAGGCATGACATTGAACGAGGATACAACGTAACCAGCAACGGACACACGGCTAGCAATGCCACCAAGGAATTGGACGATCTTATGGCTTCGCTCTCGGAGTTTAAGGTTAGACGACTTGTTCGTTTGTCGAGTGCAAAACGACGAGTGTTTTCGTTTCGGCCGACCGATCGAACCTAAATCCGCGACCGAAGATAGCAGCGCGGGCAATTGATTATTTTTGCGTGGCGCTCGATGAAAAATACCGGCCAACGGAGATAACGTTGATGCCGCGCGCGAGTTTCTCGCCGCGCCGTCATTTCTAAATCGGTCGGCTTCGCGCGCTTTATTCATTTCGTTCGCGTGTCATCAACAAAATCGTTCGCTCTACGGGCAAAAATTAATTGTTCAACGCCGCAAGCAGCCGGTGTTATTACTTCATTTTATTCAATTTTACAAGTGTCGACTGAAATCTTGGGCAGAACGCCAGCCTCTTGAACATTTACGTTAACCAAGCCCGGTGGGTTACGGTAAACAATTTTTTTAACCTGTCTTCCCCGCGAGCCTTGCGCGTATGGGTAGAAGGTTTTCAAGTTCAAGAGTGCTTATGTTAACGCGGAAACATTTTTCAGCCGCGCAGTTTGTTATTGTCGATAAATTTGGCAGAACGAAAAAGAAAAACCGTGGGAAGTCGCTAAAATGGTAAAGAGATCGAAACCCAAAATAACCGGCGTTGCATCTCTATTTTCATGAAAATCTAATTTAATTTTTCCACGAAGATGTTCTTCAAAATTAACGATACTGTCACTCGGCGTACCCGTTTTGTAACCAGTTTGAAAATGTTCGCTCGAAGTTGTGTTTGAAAACATTGACAGCCCATTGTTCTAAAAAGCAGGTCGCTGTACTGTAAACAATTGAAAGATGGAAAAGCCCGAGCGTTTTGTGGGTCAAGAATGTATTTTGGGTGTCCGCGAAATATTTTTGCGAAGCGTATATATATACGCGGCGCACGCAGTTCTCTATTGAAATGGTTTACGCCAAGGAAAGAAGACGTGTGCGCGCCCGGAAAAGTAATGGGAGGAAAGCGTCAATGAAAAGTGCTAAAACGTCGCCAGACGCGATACGTGGCGAGACACGTTAGTTCGGAGCGTCAACAAGTTGCGGCCGATAACGGCATAAAAAACATTGACGACGGAGAAGAAGCGAGCGGCATAAGCAGCCGGGAACCGAGAGCGAACGAGAAGCGCAGTAGTTTTCATTGACGTCGTTGGAGCTCCTGACCATTCTTGGCCGGCCGGGTTACCGAAATAGCCTCCATTTCGGTTGGTCGTGCAGAAGCTAGCTCTCTCTCTCTCTCTCTCTCTCTCTCTCTCTCTCTCTCTCTCTGTCTAACCCTCCCGCCCCCCCTCTTTGACCGCTAATAAGCCTCGGACGAGAGCGTCTCGAGTCCGAGCCTCCATCGTCGGCGGCGCGCTGTGATAAAAGCGAGAGTAGGGAATCGAGCGCGAAAAAAATATCGCCGATATCGCGAGGAGACGCGGCAACGACGAAAGCGCGAAAGCTCGCGGCGACGCTGGAGCAGCGGGCAGAGTCGGTGGCCCCCACTCGCGGCGCGCCCCTTCCACGGTGGCCGCGCGCAAGTGGCTTCGCCTGAAAATACCCAAAAGCTGGCGTTTAAAGCTCCCGGCACCGCAGATCAACGGCAGCAATCACCAGCGACAGACGGTCAGCGACTCGGCTTACGCCAAGCCCAACAAGGCCGCGCTAGCACTCGGCAGCAGCAGCAGCAGCAGCAGCAGCAAGCCCCACAGTCCGCTTCCAGCCGGCGAAGCGCAGTACTCGAGCAGCAGCAGCAGGCTCCAGCTCAGCGAGACTCGCAGCACGCTCCACTACCAGCCCAACCAGTACGAGAGCTACGTGCAAACCGCCCAGTCGGTCACGCAACTCAAGCAGAACCAGCTGGACTCTATGCTTGGTAACCTCCAGGCAGACATGAGCCGCCAAGGTGTCAATACCACCCAGAAGGGATGCTGCAGCGCCTGCGAGAAGCCCATCGTCGGACAGGTAAGCGCCGCGCGCCCGTCACCTCGCCGAGCGCCCGTCAACACGTTCTTTGTGTGCCGCCAGGTGATCACCGCCCTCGGCAAGACCTGGCATCCGGAGCACTTCACCTGTACGCACTGCCGGGAAGAGCTGGGCACGCGCAACTTCTTCGAGCGCGAGGCCAAGCCCTACTGCGAGACCGACTATCACAACTTGTTCTCGCCGCGCTGCGCCTACTGCAACGGGCCCATCCTCGACGTGAGCCATCTCGTCTCTTTTTTTCTCTCTCTCTCTCTCTCTCTCTCCCTTTCTCTCTTTATCTCTCCTTTCCTCTCTCTCATACTTTATTTTTGCCCTGCAGAAATGCGTGACAGCCTTGGACAAGACCTGGCACACCGAGCACTTCTTCTGCGCACAGTGCGGCAAGCAGTTCGGTGAGGACGGCTTCCACGAGCGCGACGGCAAACCATATTGTCGCGAGGATTATTTTGACATGTTCGCCCCCAAGTGCGGCGGCTGCAACCGCGCCATCATGGAGAACTACATATCGGCGCTTAACAGCCAGTGGCATCCTGACTGCTTCGTCTGCAGGGTACTGATTTCCTGTATAAATACGCCTGATTGCACTCGAGAGCAAGCAGAGAGTTTAATCGCTTTTGGCAGCTTGACAAGGCTCTCAGCTTGTTTTGACAGATCTTTAATTATTCAGCCAGCGAGTTTTCCTATCTTCTCTCTCTTTCTCTCTCTGTCTCTCTGTCTGTCTGTCTCTCTCTCTCTCTCTCTCTCTCTCTCTCTCTCTTTCTCTCTCTCTATTTCTCTATTTCTCTGACAGCCAACGATTTTTATGCGGTTATTCATAGCAGTTAAACGTGACAATTTTGAGTAAATTAGAAAACACGCTGAGCTGAAATCTTTGTCGTGTTCAAAATTAGCTTGCACAGATTACAGGTGAAAACGCGACACGTAGATCGAAAAATTTAACGTTTTGCTCGACCAATTATTGCAGGACTGCAAGAAGCCGGTATCCGGAAAGTCATTTTACGCAATGGAGGGACAACCTCTCTGCCCCAAGTGCGTAGGTGTCGACGAGGAGGAGGAAGAGGAGGAGGAAGAGGAAGCGTGAAAAACGCACAAGCGCGAGAGAGATAGTATGAGTGAGAGAGTAAGAGAGAGCGAGTGAGAGCGCGCGAGGAGAGTAAAAAGGCAAACGCGAGTCACGAGGACGGATTTTCCTTGTTCTGAACGGCCGGGCAGATGATCTATGTAGGGAATTTCATTGATATCGCTGTATAACCTCCTCCTCCCTCCCCTAATGTATGCCCTCCGGGCTCCATTTGATGCGGAGCCCCATCGTCATGCCCTTCAAAAACGTTTGTTTATGCTGAGATGTCCCGATGAACGAAGAAAAAACTCAGCGAGATAAAAAAAAATGTGTCAATGCCGACTACAAGATCTTTGACGAGGATTGTCAAGTTCATACATCTCCCTTGTAATGAAAATGATGATGATAATGCTATCACCCTCGCATACAGACCCTCCGTTTTTTCGATATAGTTCCGCACGCTTTTTTGTAAATCGTTCAAAGTCGCTCGCAATCTATGACTTCAGTCTTGTTTGTCACGTCTAGAACGTTAATGTTACAAATGTCTTGTACGAACACTTTTTTGAAAATAAATATTGTATTTAAAATGAAATAATAAGTTGACAAAAAAAAACTACCAAAAAAACAACAAAAAAAAACAAAAACAAAACAATCACAAAGAGTCCATGGCTCGTTGGCCCTTTCAATAAAGGACGGGGTCAAGGTTGACCTCGGTTCTTCGCGGCTACAGTGGGCTTCTACGAGCTTTGGATTCCTCGTTGCGTGCCGTGTGCAGTGACGTGTTGAAATCGAAGCTTCATGTATACGTGACATCTCTCGCTCTCGCTCTCTTTCTCTCTCTTACCGTTTCTCTGAGCTAAATTTGTATGCTACCACCCCGTGTGCAAATTCGTGCGTAATTGTATATATGTATATCTCTTGCTCGAGCACGCGTGAGCTTTCTTTTTCGATCTTCGTCCCACGCTCCTCTGACTCCGACACGGTCATACGCACTCTTTTGATTCAACATTTGTTGTTTGATAGGTTTTTCAGGTTATTTGCACGTTTATTTCGGGATTCTTGGAGGTGGAGTGCCGAGCTGATCTATTCCTTCGAGACAACCTTAGCCGTTGTCTGACTTGGTTGTTTATGAGTAGAAAAATTTCCAGCGCTATAGCGAGCTGGATGTTTTAAGTCAAGCTATAATTCTTAAAATATCGATGAAAACATCGATTATCAATTTACAGAGATTTTAATGAATTTCAGCTTCACCAGTGTGATATCGGTGTTAAGAAAAAAATTATTTGATCGTCTATCTAGGCTCACTTAACTATCAAGTTATCTATCGCCTGCAATAATATCGACACGTATGCGCATTGCTCAGAACCCATAAAATTAATCTAAATCTTTAAACTTTGCAGGACTGCCGACAAAAGTTCCAAGGTGGCTCGTTCTTCGATCATGAAGGTCAACCTTACTGCGAGACGCATTATCACGCAAAGAGGGGATCGTTGTGTGCTGGATGTCACAAACCTATTACAGGTATTGTTTTTTACATGCTTTTTCACTAAGCTCGCGAAAGATAAGATTGTTTTTATGACTTTTATTTTTATTACATTTTCTTCTCGTTATCTGGCTGACTAATACGAAGGATAATGTTCGGAGTTTATTTTTATATTTGTCACATTATAAAATTTTAGTAAACAAATTGTATACCCATCGTTAACTGTCAATATTTCGTATTGGAACTTTTCTTTCGTGTCTCGAGCCTTACTCTAGGATCGATCAACGTGGTTTGATACTGTTTAACAGGTCGCTGCATAACTGCGATGTTCCGCAAATTCCATCCTGAGCACTTCGTCTGTGCGTTCTGCTTGAAACAGCTTAACAAAGGAACTTTCAAGGAGCAGAACGACAAACCATACTGTCACGGTTGCTTCGAGAAGCTCTTCGGTTGAAGGATACTGTATCCCAGACAACAATCGAACCAAGAAAAATTTGAAGTCGGAGCTGATACCTTCGATTTTTGAGGCAGAACAATAATCAAAGATAAAAAAGAGAAGCAAGAAGAGCACTATTGTTTTAATCATGTTAACTTAAAGCCAAAATGGTTTTGGAAGTTTGGAAATTCATGTATGAGAGAAAAGCAGTTTATTTTTATTCGCCGGACAACCGAATTGTCTTACAACTGTCCGATATTTTCGTGAAGTTACGCAGTCTAATAATTCATACTTCAACTTTTTCTACCATTCAGAAAGCAATTTGCGACTCAACATTGAACAATTATCCGTCTATATAATTTTTGTACAACTCATCTGAATTTTCCTACGATAAAGCCATCCTATTCTATCTGATAGGTAATTGTTATAAGCGTTTGTTAGTTCTTATACGCAGTCATAATTACAAACTTAAATAAGTTAGGAATGAAGTCGTATTTTATAGTGAGTTGAGAAAGGTCATAAAGCTATGTCGCGCCTTTAAGTGCGCCCCGGGTAAATCTATACGTAATGTAGAAAGAAACGTTCTTCAATCAATGTCAACATTAACACTTCAGTAGGCATAGAATTGATCGCTACGTAATTGTACGTAAGAAAATTACTGGTAAAGGAGTACGAGGTCAGATGCTATAGAAATTCTCTTCCCTTTCGACTCAAGAATTTTAGATATATATTATATATAATATATGAAGGAAACATGAGTTGAAAAGCTCATTAAACCATTTGATACATGTATAGGACAAATAAAATCAATCACTGCCGCAACGTATCTTGTGGTACTTAGACTAAGTGAATTGTATACTTCCAGTGGGGCAATCAATTTATTTCAACTGTGGCGCCTACTCTTTTCTTCATCGTATAAACTTTACAACACCTTTGGCGATACGTTTATACCATCGATTATTGACTAATAGGACAATATTCGTGTTCTAAAAATACTTATATAACTTGAGTACATGCATCGTGGATCCGTTTTTGTTTATACATTAAAGGTGTGAAGGTGCTAACCAAAGTCTGTTTTTTAATTAATATCGGTTGATCATTGTATAGGTAGTTACTAAGAGATTACATTGCAATATCTTGTGTAAAAGTTTGTTTTATTTAATTTTCAATGGATATAAAATATATTGTCAAAGCAGTGAAAAGCATATAAATACTTTTTGGTATATTCAAAGTCGTTTGAATATACATGTACAGTATAATAATTAAAGGTAAGCGCCTTGATCATGGTACTAATATCTTTTTTAAAAAACGTAAAGTCATTTAAGCTAATCAATAACGATAGTTTATGGTTTTTAACATTATGTATTATTTTATGAATATTATTAGCAGTAAAAAAAATCATTAACGATGTCATTTATTATCGAACCCTTGTCGAAGAAAATTTCAATTCAATAAGTATAATAGAAATAAATAAGAAACTTAAAGGGTGAAATTAAAGAAAACAGCGCAAGTTGTTTTGAGAAAATTTTAGATATTTAATTCATATTTTTATACATATCGATGTATTTTTAGTTTAAACATTGTCAGCTGATAAATTTCTGATTTTATAATAAATATTATATACATAAAAGTTGTCGAAGTAATCCCATACACAAATGTCTTATCTAAATATTTACACAGATCTAAAATCTAACTTATGTTACCATGAGGCTGCTAACTTACTTATTTAACGTTATCAATGGGAGAAAAATACTTAAATTAAAATGTCAAGTATAAAAATATGTTTATATGCAGGACTAACAAACTGAAAATCTTGATACAATATATGAAATTTCTTTAACGCTCAAGTTAAAAAAAATGTTACTTTTTGATACGCATATTAATCTCGCAAAGTTCTAATTAATAACTATTGGTCCAGACATAAAATAATAAATCAGTAGAAATTAATAAACCTAAACGTATATATAGATTTACATCACAGCCGGAAATGAATCCATCGATTCTCGAGCGTGGGTGTATTGAACGCATCAAGCCAGACTTGGGAAGAGCTCGGAAAAACTTTCATGCCAAAGGTCACTGAAGACGTTATTGGCATCTCCTACCGAGTTGTCAGGTGAGCCATGAGATTCATAACCGCAGTCTGACTGCACACTCTCGAATTTACTGGATGGCACTCCGCTGATTTCGGTGTCCTCCGAGTGAATACTCGCCGGTGACAAAGAGTCGACGTAGGAATGCGACAGCGACGGTGACGGCGACGGCGACAACTGATGTTTTGGCAGCATCAGTTGTTGCGTAGTCGCTTCATCTTCTTCGGGATAAATGATAGTGATGCAGTTAGTAGCCTCGTCGTAAGTGCCGTAAACCATTTCGGCATCGTGTATGGGTTCCTCCTTGATCTCCATATTTTCAGTAATGGTGATCGGACCGGATGTGTTAATCGTCATAGTTGGTATCACGGGGATTGCGATCGGTTCTTCGAGAATGTCAAGGTCCATTTTCTGTGGAAGTTGTTGCTCGACGGCTATTATGCTTCCATCGGCTGCATTGGCTTCCACATAACTTGGTGTCTTCCCCACCACTTTTTCTCCAATGTTAAGTTCTTCGTTATTCGTTTCTTTGACGGTAACCTACAATAATAATATATCGACATTAGTACTCATCAAATGCATCAATTATAAAGAAAAAAACACCAAAATATCTACCTGCTCATTTGACTGAGTAGTATCTGTTTCCACTTGTGTGGTAACCTCTCGCAAAAGGCTTTCGGCGAGTTCTTCAAGTCGCTCCATGTAATCATCTCCTTGGAATTCGCCAAATAGGTCTTCGAGAGGAGGTAAAGAGTCAGGATCTTCAGTAGTATTGAGGTGCTTGGATTGTTGGTCAGAGGACGTGCCGTCTGTACTTTGCCACCCTGCTGCAGAGGGTCTAAGGGGGATACTGCTGATCCCAGCGCTGGCACAGTACAGTTGACACGAGTTTGACACATTTTGCATATCTCGTTCTGCTGCTGCTTCTCCAATGACTTACTCTTCGCCTCTAATAGCTCGTTGTCCTGCTTTAGCCTCTGTGTTTCTAAGACGAGCGACTCGTTGCATGTTCTCAACGTTGCGCATTCTTTCATCAGCCTTTCGTTTTTCTCTTTTAAAATCCTTACTGTTTCTTCCAATTCGTCGAGTTTAGCTTTTTTCCTGTCGCGAGATGTTTGTGCTGCTACTCTGTTTTTTAATTTTCTGAAAAATTATAAATAATTGTTACTACCATCTACGTTTATTAAGCGATGTGTTCGGGTAGTAGCAATTCGGTAAACCGGGACTAACATTTCAAAAGTATTTGCGTTATCTACGATCAATGGATAAGAGCTATGAGCTCATTAATAGCTTCCGTTCTAAAGGAATGATGAAATATCGCTCGCGCGTGACAAAGTATACATGCGTATATGTCGATCGAGGCATATGCTGATGCAATATCGCTTTGCAAGTGCGTTGTTGTCATTCAACCCCCTACATTACTTTCCATTAATGGTAAACAATCGACAATAACAATAACAATTAGATTGAAAATCGCCCAACTAAAAACGACACTAAATAATTAAAATTCACTTACTTTCTCTGTAATTTTTCCTCCCAAGTAAGATGATCGAGTCTGCGTTTTTTGCCCCGCATCGGCGAGTCTGCGTCTGCGTCTGCTTCCTGCTTAAAGACAATAGGCAGACTGTCGACGTGGGGCATCTGTCCGAGTTCCAGGTGTTTAACAGACTGGAGTTTGGCAGTCGGCTGCTCCATCTTGATTTTATCCATCAGGATAGAAGTGGTGAAGTTGAGCTTGGGAACTGACTTGGACAATTGCTCCACGGGATTAGCACCGGTAGAGTTGTTGCCGTTGGTCTTGGCCAAACCCTTGGTGGACGGCAACGTGATGATGACGCTCTTCAGCGTGCTCATGTCCGCACAAAAAGATAACAGCTTACAAATATTTGTTATTGACGCACGACCGTTCGCTGTCGAAGCTCGACTATGTCTGTTCTTGATCCTGCTCGAGCAGATACGATCCTTCGAGGGGAGCACATTTCATCATCAGAAAGAACACTGAGCTACTCATCTGGCCTGCCTGATGTAACGTCATTCGACTACTCCAAACGGCTCACCAAGCAGTGGAGGGCGTAGAACTCTCTGGAAAATATCAGATGATTGGATGCTATGTTTATCAAGCTAGGTGGTTCTTCGCGATTGGCCACAGAATATCCCCACGCAACTATTCTTCACCCAACTGCGCAAACTCGTGGTGTAACTGCACTTTTGCGCGGATTGCTTTGAATTTATTAATATGTACATACGTGCTTTTGTTACTCCGTATGTATCGAATGACGCTAGAAACCCCGGGAAACTTCTTGTAATTGCATTCGCGACGAAGGGACGCTGATCGATGTTACGCTTTGCTATAAATACAAATATTCGTATAACCAGGAGCCCCGCGAGCTCTAGTTTATTGAATTTGTGAAATATTCATGCACCTTCTATAGTCGGAGGCTTCTTTGCGTACTTATTTTTCATATTGATTTTTTTATGCTGACTACAATACCACGAGGAATGCCGACCTAAACATGCATCGTTCTATATTTTTCGTACGAAAGAAAATATATTCGTTTTACAAAGGAAATTAACTATAATGAACAGTATTTACCAGCGGGCAATATAACTTTTGAAATATGTAGATATTACTAAAAAAATATTTTAGTGCTTCTAATGTTTAAATTTTATTTTTGATGTTATGTTTTTTTATGTTACATTTTTAATTTGAATTTTAATGTTTTTATTGTATAAAAAAATTTTAGGTTGCATTCGGAATATATAATACAATATACTATAAAAAATGTGGCCAATTACCGAAGTAGTTCTTTTATTTCAAATAAGTTCAATATCACTCATTCATGTGTCACGCGCTTCTCAATGTCGTCATTTATTGTGATTAATTTTTCGTAGCATAGAGAAAATTGGAAAGTCATTTTGTACATATTAACAGCATGCATAAATAATATTTAATGCTAACATTATATTTCAAGAATTGACGTAAGTCAAGGAACATATTTTTGTTCAAAGAGCGATCTCAATTTTTATCAAACCAGAAAACTTATAGTATTGCATGATGTAATAATGGGGAAATATTTGGAAAACACAGTAGGAAGTGATTTAACTTTCAGGAATAAACGAAATCAAGCTAGTACAGAAGAGCATGACTTACTTTAATTTACATCAATTAGATTATTAATTATATTTTTAACCCATCTTTGACTTGATTTTTTTTATGTTTCATCTAACTTATTTTCTACTAGTGTTATTTAGCCGCTTCGCGCGTATTTTTTTTTAATGTTTTACTATTATTTATTACATTATTTGAACCTTTTACATATCAACTTCAAGATTTCAATGGACACGAATAAGTCATGCTGTTTAAAATAGACTACATACGTCAATATTTATTGATGAATAAAAATAGAACATGCACCCATTTTTTCTAAAAAATCGATAAACTTTTACTCATTTCAAGATATATCGGAAAAATTATTCAAAAGATTAATTCGACCTAAGATCAATAATGGTATTATACTATTATACAACACTAAACTTACATATTCAATAGTAGTGATTATGGCTCCAATCTTATATTAGTATGAGTAATACATTTAAACATCGTGTACTTTTTGCTGCCACTATGAAAACACCCGTGAATATTCTTCTAATTTAACAGGTTTAATATTTTGATAATTAATTTCCTTTGTTCGCATACGTTTTAATTTAAAATATACAAAAGATAAATATGTAGTCTTTATTTTATTTTTATTCATTCTCTTTTTCTTTATACCAAATTTTAACACAACGATATTGATTGTAGTATCGGAGATGGTTATAAAATTAACAATTTGTATAAATAATTTCAAAACATAACGTATTATGTTCTTAAACTAATTTACTAACATATTTCCATTCTTGCTGTTTATTATCCATGTTAATTATTCATAAATTGAATTTATCGCTAAAATAGAAATCTTACACCCTTTGATATATAATAATAATAATATTTCAAAGTATAGGAAAATTCAAAATTCTATTTTTGCATCAACAAATTACAACGCTGGATGTCAGCGACTCATCTTTTTTTAAAGATAATATAGGAATAAAATATGTAAAAAGTATAAAAATAAAAAATAAAAATAAATATAAGGCAAGGATAAGGATAGGATAGAATAATCAGCTGCGCCTAACAATTTAATTTTGTTTCTTTTTTAACGTATTGGTTCATGGTATCAAGCTTTCCATAGGATTTATCCATATCAACAGATATATTATTTTAATTTAACTGTTTTTCCATTGCTCATCTGAAACCATTTGGAGAGTTTGTTTACATTTATAAATTAAATTTCAAAATTTATTTAAAATAAATTAACGGTGCCGACTGCACCGAAATAAATTTGCAGAATTCCATATAAAATATCAATTTACCATTCTTCTCAATATTGATCATATTTATCCGAAGCTAAACTATACAATAAAGATATATTCAATTAATTTATATGTCCAATAAATAAATGAAGTGCATTAAAATTACTTTATCGTATTTTTTTAAGGTTAGGCCATTGAAAGAATGTGGAAGTCATTTACAGTTTAATGCCTACAAATTATTATACTTATTTGTATTGATAGATGTAAAGTACTTCGATTTATTATTATGACCGATTTACTCATAATTGTGACACACGTGACGAAATTCAGTCAATCAGGTCATAAATAAAATAACTTCACTCAGCATCACTTTTTCATATAGGAAAATAAAGATATATTGGTTTAGATAAACTTTACGTGTTTTTACCTTCTTTTTTATTTCTTATATTAATATTAACATTATTAACAAATTACTTTTTTCAAAGGTAGATTTTTCAATTTTTTTTAAAAACCTATATCACAGCGGAAAATGTTTATTAGTGATGAAACACATTTTCAAATTTATGATTTATTATATCAAAAACTGCAATAAATATAATCTTATACTATTTTTTTCTCAACGGGTTAATTTATTATTAAACTTTTATTCTACTTTTTGAATAAAGATTGCAACATTACAACTTTTATTTTACACATTCAAAAACCAAATTTTCGATTATTAATAGAAAATATTTAGAGCAATTTCAACCTATATTATTTGTCACTTTTTTATAAGGGATAAAACTGATAAATAATGAACTACATTATGATCATAAATGATGAATAAAAGATTATATTTTTTATATTTTATTTATTTGCTAAAACCAAATTAAATTAAATCTGAAATAAAAAATCAACCAAAATCAATTTGAATTCTCGCGGTTTTTTTCATTTGGGCCAATCAGGTCACGAATAAAATGCTTCAATATGGCTTCCATTACTTTTTTATAAGGGGATAAGGGGATTTATATAAATTAATAAGATTTAACAGAATAGTTTCAAAATTGTATAACAATTGCATTGTAGTAAAAATCTTAAAAAGGAGAATGCAAACATTACTCGGCCATACTTATATATTTATCGTGCATATCCGAAACTTTCTATATGACATATTTTATTTTATTTTAAAATGTAGACACTTTTTCATAATTGAAATGCTGATTCATTTTCTAAGAATATCTTATATAAAGTACTATTGAATGAATTAAGAAATGTATACCTTTTATCCAAAAATAATTTTATTAAAACTTAACTGATAACAACAATTATACCGATATATAGATCCAACGAATAAGCGCGTGTATACTCGTTAATGGAACGTATCGGTATATACAATATAGATATAGCGCAGAATTCTTTCTTTTGGTTCGTTTACGGTAGAAAGTCGTTATTTTAAAAATTACTAATGAAACTAACAAATATTACAAAATATATTTTATAAAACGATTTGATTGTACTTTTAATAAATAGTTTATAGAAAAATAAATTATTTTCTTTTCATAATAATGACGCATTAAAATATACGTTAAATATTAAGCGAAACTGAATTGGAATCCTATTTTGAAATAGTTAACTGGAAAACATAGTTAATAGTGGTTTTACTTCTTTGGTAGAATAAACTGTTTCTTCTGACAAATTTTAAAAATAGAATTGATTCGAATTTGATTTTTTAAATTTGGCAAATCTAAAATTTTCTATAAAAATAAATAATTTAAATAAAATAAACTACCAATGACTCAATAATTTCTTATAGGGTAGACTTTTTAAATACTGTTTCACAAAAAATACTTTATACATTTTGGTTTTTGATAAGCTCTCTTGAACATTTAAAATTGATATCAAGCTTTAGAATTGATGACTCATTTCTTAATGATTGTAAGATTTCTAATTTTGTTAAAGTAACTATTGATTGTATGATTATACTCTTCATCTGAAACCATAGCACTTGTTGGTGATTCTGATGCATTAGGTACAGGCATTAGTTGAGTAAACATTTTTGTTGAATTTCCATAATATTCCAACTGGATAGCTATAAGTGCATGTACTGTAGGTTTCAAATATTCAAGTCTTTTTTCAAGAAACATTGGCAATTCAGTAAGTAATCTTGAATGATAAATTTTCAATTCTTTCGATGCTTGCTCTTCTGATTTGCGTTCTCTTTCAAGTTTCACAATATGAGTTGCTGTTTTTTCTCGTTTTTCTTGATATTTTTTTAAATTGGTATATGCAACTCTCCAATTAATCACTAGTTCCTCTCTTTTAGTTAAAGCTTCTTTAATGTATATAAATTCATCTCTCAACTTCTTTAGAGGTTCAATGAAAGTCTTATTACAATGTGAAATTCTATCTGCCACTGTTCTACCAACCTACAAAATATTAATAATTAAAAAAAAGACTAAATTAGAATTCTAAAATTAATCTTATTATTTATACAAGCATCTAGGTGAAATTTTTTTACTTGAGTTGTCACGGAATGATAGTCCTCAATTATATGTCGAAAGTCATCATGTATATGAACCAAACCACAAGAACTCAAATTTGTAGTTAAGCGTTGATCTGATTTATCCAATTGTTCAATTGCTTCCAAATACCTCTTCATTTCTTTAATCATATTTCTAACAGTGCTTTCGGTACTACAATGTAAAAAATAAGTATTTAATTTTTGATAACTTGTAGTCATATTTTTATGTAAACATATTCACTGTATAATTCTTTGAACGGCAATAAGTAATTCTCTATCTTCCTCTTCAGTTAGACATGGTTGTGCAGGTGTAGGTTTTTGCATAAAGTATTTCTTTCTGGGATTCCTGAAATAATAAAATATAATATGTACAATAAATTATACTATATTAACTTAATACTTCATTTTATTATATTTTAAAAAAATTACCAAGTCATTTTTCGTTGTTCTCAATATTTAATTTTCAGTAACTAAAATTTTATGCAGCGTATTTTATATGGCTGTGATAATATTAAACTTAAATGTACAGTGCAGCAAAATATTACAATATTCTAATTGATTATGTGACTTTTAATTGTGATATATAGTCTTAATCTTTCTGCATTCGTAAAGCAAATTTTTATCAACAAAAAACTTAATGCAATAACATTTTGTTTTTCGAATATCTTGACAATAAAAATAAAACAATCAGATGATTACATTGCAGGTTATGACCTGCAACGCAACACAGGGGTTGTCCGCCGTCACTTTACTTTACTAGATGGCGGTGGGTCTCTGACTGAGACGCCGATAAGCCAATGTCCGCCGTCATAGTACACGCATGCGTCAATTCAATAAACAATTTCACCAATATTAGTATATGAGTCTGCAGTAATATAAAGTTGTAAATAATTTTGATAAGTTGTTAAATAAGTATGATTTTACTTTGAAGTAATAATAATGATATTCGTTTTTAATTAAAAAAATGTTTCCATTGGGGAAAAATCAAGTAAATGGATAAAAATGTTTTCTTCCAGCGTTTTTGCTGGAAAAGTTACTCTGCTGGGTCCCTAAAAAATAGCCCCCTAGATTTTATGAAATTCGATTGACTCAATTGCTCCGTCAGTGCTGTACCTATATTGTTATTCAATCAATTTACCTATATTTATTATAAAAAAATATGTAATATTTAATGAAAAATTGTTAGTTATAGTTTGAAGTTAAAGAACTGGGCAGTCATTGGATGTTTATTAAATGAATATCTGGTTTGAATTTGAAAATAATATAGATCATTATTATTTTTATTTTTTTAAATGCATACTTTGTGATTCTTTTACTTTTTTCAGATAGAAACCAGACAATCACTTAACATTATACAAAAGTAAAATAATCATATAGTATGCTATTCAAAGAATAAAAATAATAATGATCTATGTTATTTTCAGGTTCAAACCAGATGTTTATTTATATAACCAAAATCTAGCGATTGCCTAATTCTTGAACTTCAAATGACAACTGAAAATTTATCATTAAATATTACGTATTTTTCAATAATAGGTAAATTAATCGTATACATTTTCAAGATATAGCCGCGAGTACAAGAGTAGCAGTGAATAGCAATAATGTATAGGTACAGCACTGACGAAGCAGCCGACGCAATCAACTCTCACCAAATCTACAGCAGAGCAACTTTTTCAGCAAAAACACTGGTTTTTTCTTATTCTTATTGTTGTCAGCATGTTTTAATTTGGCTTACTAGAAGTTTACTAAGCGCGCGTACCGCGCGCGTAAATTTGGTAGACTTAGCCAATTGACGTAAACACAATAAAAATTAAATTTTCAAAGCACATTAATTAATATAATTAATAATAATAATAGAAAAAAAATTGCATATTACGTACGCTGTGTTGTCTCCAATCTCGAATTCTTCAATGACTTTATTGGATGTTAAATCCTCTTTTGTTAGCTGCATGTTGCTCTCAAATATTTTTAACTGAACTATGAACTGTGAATTTATTTTAACTGAAAACTGTGAACTGTCGTTCATCATCAAACTCCTATTCGAAAACATCGACCAATGTTCAAACTCAAAATCGAAAACATCGATCAAATAAGCTATCTCGATTATTCCTCTCGTTTAAAAATGGCGGCGCTCACTCAACACTATCGGCCTATCAATATGGCGGCGCTCTATAGTCCTGCTCCCATTTACGTTTTGATTTCATTTCTCTTCCAACAGCTGGAAAGATAAAAGGTAAGAAATTACAATCATTTGAAGAATTTCATCATCTTTTATTATATTGCTATATTTTGTGAAGTGAATTTATTCTTCAGTATTCTATCAGTATTATTTGTAATCTCAAAGTTAGTTAAAAACAATTATTTTTCGTACATTCGTAAGTGTATTTAATAATTGTATTTCATGGCGACTTCAAAGCTTACAAGTATCTAATCTTAAAATAATATTAATCCGAATGAATCAATCTTCAAAAGACAATTATGCAAGCATACTTTTAAAGGTTATAAATTTGTATAATTTATTTCCACTCGCGCTACCCCAATTTGCATATCACGTGGTTTTGTTCTTAAGGCATGCGTTAGTGATAATTATAAATTTCTCAACATTTTATTACTTTAAACAATTTTTTAAATAATTTAATCTGACAATACAATCACTTTAACTATTAAATAAATTAAATTATAAATGTGAACTTTCGGTTTTTTTAAACAATCAGTCAAGTTATTCTACACAAACTCAGTTCAATCATAGTTATTATCAAACTTTCAACTTAAATGTGAATGAACTAACTATTATTCACCTGTTTCTAGCAGTAACAAGTTTAAAATGGGTGAGTTAGAGTGGGAAGAAAAATATAAACTCATTACACGAAACTTGCAAGAATGGCTGGGAGATGAACAACTTAAGTCCATTTTAAAAGGACGTGATCTAAAAGTTTACTGGGGCACTGCAACTACTGGAAAACCTCACATTGGTTATTTTGTTCCTATGACTAAAATTGCTGATTTTCTAAGAGCAGGAGTTGAGGTAACGATTCTTTTTGCCGACCTACATGCTTATCTTGATAACATGAAGGCTCCCTGGGAGCTTTTGGATCTGAGATCACAGTATTATGAAGCCATTATTAAAGCAATGTTGAGATCTATTGATGTTCCTTTAGATAAATTGAAGTTTGTTAAAGGAACAGAATATCAACTCTCCAAGTAAGTACACCTCAATTCAGTTAAATAGTTAATGATATTGATCTTTTTCAATATACCTATTAAAATTTCAGAGAATATACTTTAGATGTGTACAGAATGGCTTCCATTATAACTGAGCACGATGCTAAAAAAGCTGGTGCTGAAGTTGTAAAACAAGTGTCTAATGCTCTTTTGTCAGGATTATTATATCCTGGTTTGCAAGCATTAGATGAAGAATATTTAAAAGTTGATGCTCAGTTCGGTGGTGTAGATCAAAGAAAAATTTTCACTTTTGCGGAAAAATATTTACCTAGTTTGGGATATAAAAAACGTATTCATTTGATGAATCCGATGAGTAAGTTTGAGCAACAATAAATAGATATCCATTAAGAAATAATGTCTTAACACAAAAATAATTCAGTTCCAGGGTTAGCTGGAACAAAGATGTCTTCTTCAGAAGATGATTCTAAAATTGATCTCTTGGATGACCCAGAGAAAGTTAAGAACAAATTGAAGAAATCTTTCTGTGCACCAGGAAATACTACAGATAATGGAATGTTGTCTTTTTCCAAGTTAGTAATATTTCCTCACTTAAAAGAAGGAGAATTATATCTTGTACCCAGAACTGCTGAATATGGTAAATTTGAAATCATAATTAGTTATTGTCATTGGATATCATTGAATCATAGTTATTTTTTACTTTCTGGACATTTCAAAATTTTATATTTTTATAGGTGGAGATGTTAGTTTTGATAAGTATGAAAATTTGGAAAGTGCTTATGTTACCAATAAAATTCATCCAGGCGATTTAAAGAATGCTATGATAATGTACGTCAACAAATTACTGGACCCAATTAGAAAAGAATTTTCAAGTGACCCAAAACTACTATCACTCTCTGAAAAAGCTTACCCTTCTCTATCAAAGCCACAAAGTAAATTGTTCATTAATTTTTTGGTACATTTTGTTATATTGATGTAAATTTTCACACAAATTTTATTTTCAGAATCACCTGTAATATATGAATACATTCCTACAAGATTAGACATTAGGGTTGGTCGAATTGTTGAAGTGAAAAGGCACCCAGATGCTGACAGTTTATACGTTGAGAAAATCGATTTAGCTGAAGAATCAGGGCCTCGCACAATTGTTAGTGGTCTCGTTAATTTTGTACCAATCGAAGAAATGGAAAATAGAAAGGTTCTTGTTTTAGCTAACTTAAAACCAGCAAACCTAAGGGGCATTACATCTCATGGAATGGTTTTATGTGCTTCAGTGTGAGTATTATATTATTTATCTAACAGTAGGCAATTACTGTAAGCTTTATAATTTCAATATTCTACAGTGATGCACCTACACGAATAGTAGAACCCCTCATACCTCCTACAAGTAGCAAACCTGGTGATAAGATCGTGGTAGAAGGATATGAGAATGGTAAACCAGATGATGTTTTAAATCCAAAGAAAAAAACCTGGGAAAAACTACAAGTATGTATTGTTTATCAATGTTATTTCTATTTGTAAATGTTTAGTTTTTGAAGATTCATATGTTTTTCTAGCATGGTTTTATGGTGGATGAATACGGAGTGGCTCGTTGGTTTGGAAATCCATTAATAATGACCTCCACTTTGGAAAATGTCATGGCCGAGAAATTGAGAAATGCAGCCATAAAATAGTCGTCTTGACTAAATGTTAACTTAATTTTTTATATCTAACCATTAGGTTATGTGTGATACTTTTTTTTTAACAGAGGGAAATAAAACACATTTTTTATATACAACTTATCTTAAAGTTACTTTATTCAACATAACCTAAGTCCACAAAATAAAAGAATTTAATTTAATATTCTAAACATTAGTGATCTATAATAATTAATTCATCTATACCCCAATCTTCATAACTATGATCTGGTAGAAAACGACGAATGATTATTGGAATTTTACGTTGTTTCAACTCTTTCATAGCAATCTGCAGAGGATCAGTTTCTCCTTCTAATTCTACCATTACAGGAGCACACATAGCTATTTGCAAAGCTCTTGTTCCAAGTATTCGTGCCCTTTCATATCTGAATAAAAATTTATAGTTTCACATATTTGTCATTGATTTTGATAAAAACAATACAGATGTTAACTATAACTTACTTTGTCATATACCCTGTAGTAATTCGTTTGCTTTTTTGTACACCACCTGAAGCTTCTCCAGGTGCAACAAGCTCAAAATTTTCTCCTTCATCTTCTTGCTGTTCTAATTCGATGTTCTCGTCGTCTTCAACATCATCGAAGTCATCCGCAACACTAACAATATAAAGTTGTTTACTAAAGTGCTTATCTTATGTATCTTTTTCTATTTCAGGCATGCAGAAGTGATATAAAATTAAACAAAGCAGTATGTATTAAGATTTAATAAATTAAAAATTTTAAAACACGAAGATTTTTAACAAATCGAAAGCATTGAAGCGTGAAGATTCTGCAAGACACGAAGTTTGAGGTTATAATCTTCTAAACAAGATTTAACGACTTATTTAAAAAAATAATACGTAGTTATGACAAAATATATAAGATTAATCAATTTTACAACTTACTCGTCGCCCTCAAATTCGTCATCTGCCATTTCGAAGTTTCCAGGTAATTATTTAACGAACAACAGTAAACAACACGCTCATACACAAGCGTCGCTATCTGTCAATCAAATACTCGCTCAACACTCAGCAGATAGTAAAGAGAGATGAATTAAGTAGCATCAGTGAGAAATAGTCTCTAAATCACGTGGTCAATATCATCAGAGGGGTGCCATCAATATAAATGTATCCAATTGCGCAGAAGCTCTATACTGCAACTGCGCAATGCGCAATGCGCAGTTGCTACTGCGCAACCGGACTTATGTATATCTCAATAAGACCCCTGCCCGGAAGCACGGACTTTCAAATTGAAATGGGTAATTGTTCTCCAATTCATCTCGAAATTTCTTTAAGGAAATTACCATTGATTCTGAGCAATACTTATAATATAATGAACGCTAAATTTTTTTAATAAAACGGTTTTCACTTTTTCTTTCTAAACGTGATATTTTTATCAAGCATTTTGCATATTTTATTCGAGTAATTTTCAATATAAATTATCTACAAAATTTTTAAAATCTTATTATCATTAAAAAATTGATGTTAAAAATACAATTTTCTAAAATAAACATCAAAGTGCTTATGTAAAAAAAAGTAGCTTTGTGCGGCTATTCTTTATCTAAAATTTATTATAACATTTTATTTCAGTAATTATAAACTATCCCTCTTTTAAAATAAAACAGTTATTAATTGTGTAGTGAATTTCAGTACAATATAATATATATAGATAAACGCTCTTCTTTTACGAATACATATTAAACTCACGGCGAGTGTTTTTTTGCTTTTCTTAATATTTTTAAAAAAATCATCTGCGTGGCTTTATCATTATTTCAGAACTTTTAAATTTGTTTTGTTACCTGGGTTTGTTTATTTATATGGCATTGATTCTATTTAAAATATGTGATAACTTACTGTCAATTGACATTTCGCATAATATGAGTTTTCAGCTGTTTTCATTGCAACTAAATCAGAAATATTACACATACCGATGTATGTATTTGTACGATAATAATAAGCATTCACGGCACTTTGCTGAGTCAAATTTTTATGAGAACAGTTACGTGCAGTCATTTTTCTATTTACAAGTTATTTATGAAAATTTAATAAGCTCATAAAACGAAGTCATAGTTTTATTAGTTTTTGACTTTTTGCCGATCAAACTCGCATAATATCATTGAAAATGATCTCTAAGCCCAAGCTACTGCAAATAGAATGTCTCAATAGTTACAAATTAGGACAAAAATATTATTTGCACTATATTACATTATTTTCAATCGTTTCATTTCATTTGCTTGATTACTAAATACGATCAACTAAGAAAGTTATAAGCACCTTACATATAAGACTCTCTGAATATATCATAAGTTAAGCCGACTTTGATTATAGTATTGGCGATAACAATCACTCATCAGCCATGAAAGATAAATCAGTCGTATAATAATATCCAGTTACCTCTCGACAGATGAAATTCAATTATTGCAAAATTGATGGTCAGAACTACACCGCGATTTGCGCGCGTGACAGTGTTTGTCGCTAAATGCCTCGCGCCGCTCAAGAATAAAAACAAACTCAAATTGAATCCGGCCGATCGTCGATAGATGAGTTGTTGCTGTTTGGCGCAATTTCAGCGACACGTGCGATGCGACTCGGCTTCCGATTGACTGGTCGCATGTCGCAAGTGGGGATCGGATCGTCTTGCGCGGATATACACAAAAGAGTGGGAACGGAAATATATATCGCGCATCGATCTTTTCGGCTTCTGTCGAAACTAACATTCGCTGATCGCCCTCGAACTCGTCGCTTGTTTACACTACGTAAGTTCCGTTCCACTGTATATATACTCAATAGCTGATCGTTTCTTCGTTCGTTTGATTTCTTGCATTTAATAATTCCTGCATATTTTCAAAACCAATTCAGCAATTGATTTTAGTTTGGCACTTACCACGCCACCGAGCGAGCTTTTTCAATTAGCTGACAACTGACCACATAGTAACAGTCAATTATTCTGTTCGATTTGCCATCCATTTCTCAAGACGTTCCAACGACTACGGTTCGACGATACCATTGAGTTAACTGCCATATTGAACGGCGAAGGTGAATCGCATTGGAAAATCCACCTAAAAGCGTGCCAAACATTAGCGAGACCGACAGTACTCAGTGTGATCCATTAACAGGCTCTCACAGCTTGCACGATGTGTGGTGGGTCGCGCGGGAGCCTGCGTTTGTTAATACTGGCGATTCTGTGTTTCGCCGCGCGGATCGGCGATGGATTTCGGATACTATGCGTATTTCCTCTGACAGGAAAGAGCCACTTCATTATGGGCGAGAGTCTGATGCGCGGCTTGGCCGAACGCGGACATCAGGTCGACGTGTACTCGCACTTTCCGCTGAAGAAGCCGCCACCGAATTACAGGGACTACAGCCTCGCCGGGACGTTGCCCCTCATGGTCAACAACCTCACTTATCAGTTCTTGTCGACGATCATGGTGCAGGGACACTCCATGTCACGGATGATGTCCACCAGCGGGGACAACATTTGCGAAATGCTGAAGCTGCCGATTTTTCAAAGGCTTATCAAGAATCCGCCGAAAAATCCGCCTTACGATCTTGTCATAACCGAGGTGCGTATACGCTTTCTTTTTCGCCCGAGTACCGCATTTGCAAACGTAGCTTCGTTAGATAGAGAGGTTGCTCTTCACTGATAAAAAACGAAATAAAAATAATTTGTCCGCTTGCAGTTGTTCGTCTCGAACTGTTATCTTGCATTTGGGCGTCATTTGGATCTTCCGCTCGTTGGACTAGTGTCGACCAGCATGTTAGATTGGTTGCACGATCCGCTTGGGAATCCGCACAATCCGGCGGTCGACACGAGCATTCTCTCCGAATACTACCGGCCCGCGACATTTATCGAAAGGTTCGGCAATTTCCTAACGAGCATTTACATCAAGTACAGCTTCAACTACTACGTGAGGAGTCAAGACGCCTACGTTAAAAAATACTTCGGACCGGGACTGCCAAATGTCGTCGAAATGCAAAAAGATATAGACCTCGTGCTCGTCAATTACCACCATGCGCTGAGCGGAATAAGAGTGCACACACCGGCAATCGTGCCTGTCGGCGGCTTACACATAGTCGACACCAACGAGACGTTGCCCCCGGTAAGAGGCATACTCGCGCACTGTCGCCTCGAGAAATGTGAACGCGATTGATTTTGTCGGCAGAGCGTGCAACGATTTCTGGACAGGAGCGAGCATGGATTTGTGTACGTTTCTTTTGGGTCGATGGTTCGGCTCGAGACTTTTCCGAAGCACGTGTTGGATGTGTTTTACGGCGCGTTCGCGAAGATTGCACCTATCAGAGTGCTCATGAAAATAGTCGAGCCCGAGGAACTGCCGCCCGGGCTCCCTTCCAACGTCATCACTCGGTCTTGGCTGCCGCAAATCGCAGTTTTAAGTAAAGCCGTTCGGGCGTTCGTCGGCCAAAGAATGCGCGAGCAGTGATCATGATTTTTCTCAATTTCAGAACACAAAAACATCAAAGCTTTCGTAACCCACGGCGGCGTGATGAGCACGCAAGAGTCAATTTACTTTGGCGTTCCCATGGTTGGAATACCTTTGTTCGGGGACCAGCCCTTCAACGTCGTCGCGTACGTTCAAAAAAATTTAGCTGTCAAGCTCAACTGGCAAAACATGTCTGCAACAGATCTCGCAAAAGCTATCAAGATGGTCATTGAAAATCCGATCTATAAGTAAGCACATCTCTCGCATTTAAATTACACTCGCGCGGTCGGCTTGCTTTGATCGTATGAAGTTTTACTCGCGATATTATCACCTCGTGTCGTGGTGGTTATTTTTATGATTCGCCAATTCACGATTAACACCCACTTTCAGAGAGTCAACCAACAAAGTCAGCAAACTCTTCCGAGACGTTCCGATGAGTCCAAAAAATACTTCAGTATTTTGGGTGGAATTCATAGCAAGACACGGAAAGCGCACTCTCCGGCACCCATTAGTCGATATGCCCTGGTGGCAAGCCTCATTGTTGGATATTTATGCATTTCTCATTTTTCTTATATTACCCGTGATATACGCTTTAAAGAGGATATTTACACTTACATTAAGTAAGCTCATTTTACAATGTCAGTCCAACCGTGTGAAAGTCAAAAGGAATTAATGTTAATTTGCCCATTACATGCAGTATTAAATCGAATAAATGTTTTAGTGTTTTAGTTTTATTTATTAATTTTTTTATAATAATCGAATGTGAAAGTCATAGGTGTGTATATCATTATGGTTCTTTAGTACATGTTTGCTTTTATTTTTAGAGTTTCAATAAAATTAAAAAAAAAATTGTACCAAAAAACCGTTATTAGTTCATACGTATTTGTCAAATGTGTTTGGAAGTGATTAAGCGCCGCGTATGATCTTCAACTAAATCATCTTTAGGCAGCTCACGTTATTCTTTGAGTTCGGTACTTTTAAAAACTTTTTCGGTAAAATCATTTTTTCATGCCTGAGAAATTGATTTTATGGATAAATTGAATACAAAGAATCGCGCACACGGAGCAAAATATTTTGTAATAAGTATCACTATGTGCATATTCCAGATTTTTCAATTTGCTACCAAGAAAATCCATAAGCTTATTCCGAGTACTTTAAGAAGAGTACGTTACGATACGAGTGCGACAAAGAAAAACGCTTTTCCTAACATCTGTCGTATACTGTATTTTTCGATACGACGCGTGCAAAGTGCGAATTTCAACGGACGTATTTTGCCGAGCGCGCGGAAAAAAACGCACATTGCGCACGGACTGTCGAATTTGTAGGTAAATCGCGTTCAACTTATGAATTCCTGTCTTAAATTATGCCGATAAACTACTGCGTTTAATAAATATTTGCGATAGTAACAAAATATAATGTTTTATTCCTGTATTATGAGTAATAAGTTAAAAATATAGAGAAAGCTGTGACGTAATTCTGTTTTATTATTTAAAATATAGTTTACGAATTTTATTTTATTTATTCAAAAGCAACATCATTTACACTCACAGAAGTGAATTAATCACTTGGATGCGGAATTGGTACTGTAATCATCACGCAAAAATTAAAGCTTCGAAACTAAGAAACTAAAAACTTAATTAATACACATATTACGAAAATTGAACACGTTTTATAAATTATTTACATATTTTGAACCATCCAATTTTTCAATTATCTTTTTATTAGATATCTATCATTTTCTAATATCTTTGATCTGTGAGGTAAAGAATTAAATATAACTTAAGTTTAGAATGCTATACAACGTATTAACTATTTATAAGGTCTTGTAAGATCTTGGCAATGGAATACTTCTTATTCTAATTTAATATTGTCAAAAACATAAGTTTCAGGCAAACTTTTTCCAAAATTCCATTTCATGCAGATACTCATAAAACTATAGAATAATCTCAGTTCGCTAACTTGTTGAATTAACCGAATCAAGTTGACAGCATTACTCAAAAGCTTGTGTTCTCGAAGTTACTATGACCTATCCAGTAAATACACGCTTATTCGATTCAGAAATATTAGATTTATTTATTAATTCCGCTACGATCGTCGCCAACGGGTCCTGCATATTTCGCATGTCTGACCTTGCATTTCATCTTTCTCAATGGAAAAGTCTGAATAATAGAGGTTGAAATAAGGGTTGAAAAAAATCATGCGGGAATATGTTTTTTATTTTTAAATTAAAATTATCCTTCTATACTTAAACATTTTCCGTGCATGAATAAAAGCAAATAACAACAATAAAAAAAAATTTTTTTGAAAACTTGCTTTTTTTATTAGAAATCGTATTAAAAAGCAAAAAATAATTTATTCAGAAACTTTATATAAGACTGCAAAAAAAGCAAGGCAATGTGTATTATGCTAACATTGATTACTGATACATAAATATGTGGGTTTATATATATGATATTAATACTTAATTATTTAAGATATGTCAAGTATTTGTTACTATAATAATGCACGCCTCGCTTTTCTTGCAGACGTGTATGAATATAAAATTTCACGAATAAATTATTTTTTGCTTTTTAGTACTACATCTACTAAAAAAAGCAAGTTTAAAATTTTTTTATTTACTTTTTTTGTTCAAATTAAAAATTATATTTTAACTATGGATCAACACTTTCATTAAAATATTAAATTTAAAGCATCGAATAAAAAATTTTCATTTTAATTGTTATCTAATTATTTTTTGTTGGAAGGGAATAAGAAAAATATAGTGTTTAAAAAATTAACTTTGAATACTATATAAAAATACATTTTTATAAATATTGTTGTATATATTTTGAGCAAAATGGCATATTGTACACATATATTTGCACAGTTATATAAAAAGATATGAAAATAAATTATATTACAAAGTTGTTCATTTTTACAAATACGATACACATTGCACTTTTGTAATTACAAACTATTTATATGTAGAATTTATAGCAAAACCATTTTCTCACAATGGATCATTTACTCCCATACTATTTCCCATCTTCCCTCTGGAGAACAGGTATTTCCTTCGGGACATAAATTATTAAATGTAGATTCAACAGGAAAACTTAATATTTCTCGATCTTCTTGGATTCGATAAGTGAAAGTTGATTCCTTGGTACCTATGAAGTGCCTAAAATAGGTTAAATTTATTTATTTAATTTCAAGTATATATTATGTGATTAAATGGTAATCAGTTAATTATTTTATATTTTGAATATTCAATAAATTTAAACTAACGATATTTTAAAAATATTAAAGGATCTCGGGATGATTGTGATTAAAAATGTTATTCTAACTACTTATTTTATTTATAACATTATAGTTAATCTCGCTTCTAGTATTATTAAATTATTTAAGAAAAATATACGTTTCTTATTTATGTTGAACAACATTCATTCTCAAGTTTATGTGACCAAATGATTAATGTTAGAAATACTTAGCGAGAAATATTTTATAATAATAACTATTATGATTTATGTCGATCGCACTTTACGCACTCGTAAATATGTATCAATAATGTAAAGGGGGGTCTTATTTTTACTTATATTACATATTGTTAATATCTACTATTGAGTGATTTATTGCTGTTTAAAATATGAAGACCGAATCGGTCGTACACTTTTATTATAATTCACAATTAGAAAATTAGCATAGTTAAAGAAATAATTATTAAAACTCTATCATTTTTAAACAAAACAAATTATAAAAATTATAAGTTTTAATGAGAGTTAATTATTTCAAAGAGATGCTCAATAATTTATTTATAAAATTCATAAATACCTGGCATGCGAGCATATAATTTGATCAATAATAGCAACACCTCCATCCTTATATTTTTGTTTAATCTGATTTGATGGTATAAACCGAAATACATCGTAACCTGCTAATTTTTTCGTCAGTTGATGATATTCTAAAAACAATAATATTTTGTATAAATACGTAAAAATTAAGTTTTGGTTGTGCCCTAAGTAAAAGAATTTGTGCGTGTCTCTTTTATATAACTAATAACATTAATTACAAAGAAGAAAAGCAGCAGATAAAATTAAATAACACAAAATTATATGATTTCACAAAACACCTTCGTTATGAGTATCTGTTGCTATAAAAACCATATTCAAGTTAAGCGATTTTAACGCTTTTATTATTTGCAAGGCAGTATTTTCTATAGTCGGAGATCGACGTCCCAATGTAAAATCTTGTCTCCTATAATGAACAGCTAAATAAGGGCCTCCAATTGCATCTCGTTTTTTCTGTAAAAATTATAATATACGACTGAATAATTTTTTTTCGATTTATAACTCCGCAATTTATTGATTTAGTTAAATATCATATTAATCAATATTAGAATCTACTATTGAAGTTGCTTAAAAAATTAATTGAAAAAATTAACAATAGCTATGTAATATGTAATATAATATAAATAATTTACTCTTTATTTTATTAATAATTCATTAGGTCTGAATTAAAGCCATTGAACTAAACTATTTTCATATAGACAAACCTTTTTTACCCTCCAGTCTTTAGGTCTTTCTGTTTTATCATCAAAATCATTTGATTTCAAGTAAGTTGATCTAAATTCTTCAGCAATTCTATACAATATTTTATTATAACGCATACTTCTTCTAGCTTTCCAATAATTAGCAGAGCCATAATCTGAATGTAATGGGATTTCCATGTGATCAAACATGATAGTCCTATCCAAAGAGAAATAAATTAATATTAATTTCATTCTATGAATAATTCATATAAATTTCATTTTACTAACTTGTATAAATTTGGATGTAGGTTTTCTTTTAAATCCAGAGTAGTTCCATGGAAAGTAATGCAATCAAACTTTTTAGCAGTTATATTTGAATAATACCAAAATACACCTGTATACTCTTCTTTAATTCCCTTTTCATATGGGACTCCTTTATTTGGACATGAAGTGATAATATTTTTATCTTCAAAATTACCAGTTTTGAACATTTCTTCATCATTTCTCAGAAAATAAACGTAATCAAGTACTGTCCGTCCATTTTCTGGAGGATATTCTAAAATTTTAAAATACATATTGCTTTCATAAGATATCAAATACTACTTTAATTATTCTGAGACATTGGTCACTTACCTTCAAAAAACTCATGCATTTCTATAACTGGAGCATATTTTTTTAAACTTTCTACATCAAAAAATGTTCCCCAAGGGATTTGCTTTTGTGGACCCACATCGTTACTCTTCCAGTGATACAGATGCCCTATCAAAAATTAAAAAAATATATAATTAATATTCAAAAAATTCAAACAGAACAATTTATTAAATTGAATTTGTACAATGCAAATCAATGTTATTTTCAGTCAAAACTATCTTACCCCAAGGAGGTAGCACTAACTTCCATTCATATAATTTATCTTCTTTTGCAAGCTGATGAATAAACGTTGATACACGTATGTAAACATCTCTTCTTAAATTAAATCCTTCTGGTGGATTGACATCATAAAATATGTATCTAATTATATGAAGTAAAATGTTATATTTAAAACTTTTAGCTTCTATTTATTAAAAATACCTTTTTATTGATGTATTTGATTGCTGTTTCCAATGTTCTCCATAATTTTTCTCACATTTTTGCGTTTTATGGCAATATTCTAAATTATCTGCATAACATAACTGTATAACTATTAAAGAAACAATAAAAGCAACTATCTGTTGAGTAGACATTTGGCAAACAGAGAAAAAAAAATATTTCTTTTTTGTAATTCATTAATAAACTTGTCATATCATGAAAATGTAAAGTTCTAAAATATTACATAGTAAGACGATCCATAGTATAACAAATTATCTCTTAAACGATCTTGTTATGACTGAATTAACTGTATATGATAGTAAAAAATAAAGTTTCTTATTCCTATAATCTGTATTAAAAATAAAATTTTATTAAAACTTTATTCAGAAGTTTTGAAAACAAAGCGGCTCGCATTCTTTATTTTTATTAAACTAATTGAGTAACGTCACAAACGTAGTCGTAGATAGATATATATTATAGATAAGTGATTATATATAATGCTGATGCAGCCATCTTCTGGCATAATTGCGTATCGACACTTGCCACATATATATAGCCTTGCTTAATATATTACCGGAATATTAGAGAACAAACTTTGAATATTGCGTTTTTCAGAAATGTCTTGTTTTATTCTTTTATTTTTATTATGTGTTGTCGAAACACTGACAGAAGGAAAATCAAGACTTGGTGTGAGAAAAATTGTACTTATTATAGCACCGAAAGAAAGAAAATTATTTTAATTACGATAAATAAAACTAATTGCAGATTTATTATGAACCAATTTGTTTTGACATTGAGCTTAATTCAATTGCAGATAAGCTGTGATAGTGAGGGGTCCAGATATAGTCTCGTGGCCTTTTCAATTCGGATGATCCAATCAAGGTTTTTCGAGTGTATTTTGACCCGCTAATCTAATTAAATTTAAGCATTTGTCAACAATTAATACTAATTTTGACTTTGTTTATAAAAACTTAAGAAAAAACTAAGAAAACAACTCATTCTAATTTTTAATGCAATTACCAGCTCAATCAAATTTGTTTCTCATTCTCTTTTTCTTCTGTACCATTCACAATATTATTACAATCATGATCCAACTTTATCCTCTTGCTGCATACATCATTGTACATATTTATTGCTTGGAACTGTTAAGTTGGATCTGCAATATCGTGCAAAACATCATGTTAACATGTGGTAACGGTCACCTTTCAATTTTTCATGCAAGGGTTGCTTTAAAGATTGAGAAAAGAATTTTTTTTTAACCTAAACTTTTACCTTAAAATATTTACTTTTCGGAGGACACAGGTGTTTGTTTAAGATTGTTTATTTTTCAAAATATTATTAGTACTTATTTTATATAGTACAGTAAATATTTCAAGGCAACAGTTTAGGTTAAAAAAAATTCTTTTCTCATTTTTTAAGACAACACTTACATGAAAAATTGAAAGAAGGTTGTGTGACTGTCACCACATGTTAACATGATGTTTTGCACGATATTGTAGATCCAGGGGTAGGTCCAGAACTCCAGGGTTATGGCGGGAAATGTTCACACCGCTTCCCGCCAAGACAGGTCGACGTGTTCAATCACGTTTAGAACAATTTATCTTTTAACAAATATTTGTAAGCTTTCTTTATTAATCGTACAATCAATGTCTGATGGAATTTAAATATTTAGTATTCAAACGATTGCAACTAATTAAGTTGCGTGATTCATATAGTCTTAAAAGCGAGAAATAGAGAGAGAGAGAGAGAGGATAGCGCGGATAACTATACAATAGGAAATGCCTGAAATAGAAAGCGAGCGCAAATTTTGGGAACGGGTATTGCCTTGTGGGTGTTAGTCCGCGTAGGTAGACTTGAGTCCTGACGCTATGATGACATGGTACGTCACTTACAGTGAAAACCATATTCTTTGCAATAAATTTAAGTGTTAGTTTTGTATTGATTAGAAATGAACATTTGTCTTTCATTGTCAAAAAGTGAATTCATTGAATTGCAACTTCATATAACCTTTTCTTTTTAATACCCTATACACATATGTATGGGCAACGCTCAAACAAATTGATGGCCCAGAAAAGGGCCAATTATTTTCAAGAAATTTTGTTTAAAATAATTTTGGTGAAAATTGTAAAATACATAATTTCTTTATAAGAAATAATTATAGTCTTAACTAAAATTCCAAATGAATAAACGCGCAGATAATAACGTAATAATGTACAATTATAAAATGATAATAAATTAGTACAAGTAAAAAACTCATAAGAAAATTATTTAACAAATGTCTAGATGTTATGTATCGATAATGTTTGAAAAAGACCTCGTAAATGATCAAAGAGTAATTATATTTATGTGAAGTGATCCATGACGTTTCTGTGCATAAAACATGTTGATATATTTAGTAATGATTTAAAATAATAAATAAAAATAAAACTCGTTGAGAGAAAAAAAAACTTGAAATTGAAATTATTCTTATTCATTTTTGAACTTTAATTCCTTAAAAATCTGACGTAGTCACTCTTCGAAATTACTTAAGAAAGGGAATGGATAGATCAGAATATTATAATATTCTAATATTTATAATTAATGGTTTCCCTCATTTCGCCTCGAGAAAGCTTGACATATGACGGAAAGGGAAATACGTATGATTTGATCATACTATCAAGACATTGTGCTGTCATTCTTTTTAATTGTTTATAGTATATACACATACACCAATCTATTCTCACCTGTAATACCCTAATTTACTACATGCAATCGTGTGCTAATTTTATTTATTATTGTACGGTATTCATATAATTGTGTGTGATATAATTCTAAATTATTAATCATTCACACGTTAACAAATCGCTAAAAGTAATGTAATATGTTGAAACGCGTGAATAGGCATATAGAGATATAAATTCAAGCGACGTTAATCATGCCGTGCCGGTCGTCGCAGACTTTTAAAATCAAAGCTTATGTCACATTAAAGTTCATTTCTTTGAATCAGCATTTATATTAAGCCGATAATGATCATGAAGGCATATATAAGTTGATATAACAATAGTTGTTCCTATCATCAATATAGTAATTAAAATAAAATTAATTTAGTAAGTGACTTGAATGAATAATGTAGCTTGAATAAAAATTCAGTTAATTTAAGTTTAAAAAGATCCTCCAAGCGAGCAAACAGTTACATCATTTCCTCGCACTACCGAAATGTATACTATTCTGTCTTTCGCCAAAGGCAACGACCTCGTACATACTTTCGAAATTCTACTCGCGATCGTTGCTTCGCTATCGAATCGTAATTTGAGTGCCTATAACGTATTCCGGATTTCTTGCAGACAAGCAAGAATGACATCTTCTCGAACAGTTTTGTGCTACCGAGCAATGTTCTTTCGATAAGGCAACCATACATTATGTGACATGAGCTTTGATTTTAAAAGTCCGCGAAGACCGACACGGTCGCTTGGATTTATATCTCTTTATGTCTATTCACGCGTTTCAACATATTACATTACTTTTAGCGATTTGTTAACGTGTGAATGATTAATAATTTAGAATTATATCACACACAATTATATGAATACCGTACAATAATAAATAAAATTAGCACACGATTGCATGTAGTAAATTAGGGTATTACAGGTGAGAATAGATTGGTGTATGTGTATATACTATAAACAATTAAAAAGAATGACAGCACAATGTCTTGATAGTATGATCAAATCATACGTATTTCCCTTTCCGTCATATGTCAAGCTTTCTCGAGGCGAAATGAGGGAAACCATTAATTATAAATATTAGAATATTATAATATTCTGATCTATCCATTCCCTTTCTTAAGTAATTTCGAAGAGTGACTACGTCAGATTTTTAAGGAATTAAAGTTCAAAAATGAATAAGAATAATTTCAATTTCAAGTTTTTTTTTCTCTCAACGAGTTTTATTTTTATTTATTATTTTAAATCATTACTAAATATATCAATATGTTTTATGCACAGAAACGTCATGGATCACTTCACATAAATATAATTACTCTTTGATCATTTACGAGGTCTTTTTCAAACATTATCGATACATAACATCTAGACAATTGTTAAATAATTTTCTTATGAGTTTTTTACTTGTACTAATTTATTATCATTTTATAATTGTACATTATTACGTTATTATCCGCGCGTTTATTCATTTGGAAATTTAGTTAAGACTATAATTATTTCTTATAAAGAAATTATGTATTTTACAATTTTCATCAAAATTATTTGAAACAAAATTTCTTGAAAATAATTGGCCCTTTTCTGGGCCATTAATTTGTTTGAGCGTTGCCCATACATATGTGTGTATGGTATTAAAAAGAAAAGGTTATATGAAGTTGCAATTCAATGAATTCACTTTTTGACAATGAAGATTAATCGTACAGACATTGACTGTACGATTAATATTTGAAGCTTACAAATATTTGTTAAAAGATAAATTGTTCTAAGCGTCATTGAACACGTCGACTTGTCTTGGCGGGAAGCGGTGTGAACGTTTCCCGCCATAACAGTTCCAAGCAGTCGGTTTTGCCGCGCGTGGCGGCGGATGCCTCATTCTGTAAGTATACATCGTTTATACAGATGATGTCCACGTCAATGTTTTACTTTTTATTTACAAAAATATTCCGATTATACGTTGATCATGTAAAACGCTGAAACGTTGTTTTCAGTAACCATCATTTTTTTCATTGATGATTTTCCGATTGTAGATTTATATTTTCATTGCCTGACTTCTTTGAGTGGGCCGATAATGTTCCAGAATGCTCTCTTTATATACGTACGTTTTTTTAAATAGTCTATTTTGATAAAAATATAACACTTCGAATTTTAATATTACCAAATATTTATGTGGTAAAAGTGGTTTCATTCATAAAAGGATAGTGAAAATGAGTCAAACAAGTGGAATCCAGCAGTACATGCTGTGAAGAGTTTCATAAGGGGACAGAGAGGGGGTCGGATAGGCCAAAATTTTCTGTTAGGAAAGGTGCGCTCTCTTTCTCGAAAGTAGAGTAAATAGTCGTGGTGTGCCTGCGAACGCTCACGTATCGGAGCATTGCAACCTTTCAACTGTATTATACTATCACACATCTTACTTATTCATCAGGTAATGAAACAGCGCGCGCTACGATGATGGTATAGTATACAGTGAGTGGGAAAGAGAGACAGTGATTCGAAGGGGAAGGAAAATTTGCATATGGAAAAAGAGCGCGCAATTCTCCGGCTAGTCCACGACTTTTCATTTCAATCAAATCGCATTCACAAGTCTCTATAGGTGTGATCGAATTACTTGTGAATTACGATGGCGGAAACGTGTTGGTACAACAGGTAAGAATATCTGTCTGGGGTTCGGCGTCTTACTGCATTTTGCCTATGCATGTTCACTACTAACAGCTTGGCTTTTCTGCGTCATTTTTCCTACCCCTAACCCTTAATATATTTCCAGACGTTATTTCACTCATTTTTTTGTGGAGATAATTTTTTATTTGTAGTTTGTTTTTTCGCTTTCAATATGTTATTTTTAATTAAAGCAGCTCGTTTAAACAGCTCGTTTTCCACGTGTATTGTAAAATTATGTCAGGGGTAGAATTTATATTTTTTGGTTTTACCCACCTGTTGCATGCCTAACTATCATCAGTGTTATTTTTATTTTAAAATCCATGTATTTTGTTTAAAATATCGGTAATTATATCAATAATTTAAATACTTATATGCTCATCCTACTTCAACGAAATATATTAAAATAAAGTAAAAATATTTTGTAAATCGCATGAGAGGTAGCATTTATTTTGTGTTGTTAATGAATTTTTAATATTTTTCAAGGCAAGAAATAATAAATATGTACAATGATGTTTGCAGTAAGAGGATAAAGTTAGATGATGGTTGTAACAATAATGTAAATGGTACAGAAGAAAGAGAGAATGAGAAATGGTCATGCTCTGGTGATACAAGTTTAGTTGAGCCGGAAATATTGGAAGACATGGGAGTTGGTATGTTAGCTGATGGAGAAGGTAGTCATGAAAGTTTACAAAATTTAAAAACACAAGAATGTACCATATCACCAAAAAATTTTGAAGCTGAAATGCGTGCTAAACATTCTGATTCAACTTACCAATCACAGAAAACATTCAGGACAGCAAGTTTTGAATCGACCAACCCAGATAGGTAATATATCTTTTTTCTATTAAAAGGAATTTGTATAAATTTATATTGTAAATAAGATAAATGGATAATGTCTTTGTTTAAAGTAATCATTATCTGAATTTTAAATAATTATCATGAAAGGTAAAGCATTAGTTAATATTTATTTATTATATAAAACAAGAATTACCATCATTTTAAATTCTATTAAAAATTTTATCTTAATTTTAATGTAAATAAATGTTATACTAATTTTTTTTAAGATTGGATCCTTTTGAGAGTGATAATGCTGTTAGCTTTTCCACAATCAACAATGAATCAGGCTATTCATCAAGGGTAGAACATGAAAATTTTGTTGAAGGAAAAGACAACTTTTCTAAAGAGGATTCAAATGATGCTTCAGATAAATCAAACACAGATTCATTTTATTTATTTAGAAGAAAGAAAAAATCGTCAATAACAGGAGAAGATAAATTTAATAAGCTATCAGATGAGATGATTTTGATGATCATGAAATGGCTTCCAAAAAAATGCTTAGTAAGTTATTTTTTTATTTAAAAATATCTATTCTGACTTAGGTAAAGAATAAATAAAGAGCATACTTGTCATAAGCCACCAGTGATGAAAAATGTTTTTATATAATTATAATATAATTATAATTGGAGAATTATTTACTACAGTATAGCTTCCATACAAATACACTTTTTATATTTATATTTCTTAACACATATTTTTCTAATTATTTTATTTACTCAACAATGTATCTTGCACTAGTAAATTACATTGCTTAAATAGTAAAAATGAATTAAAATGAACCGCAGTTCTTAATTTTTATCTCTTTAAATTTAGGTCAGATCTATGTCAGTCTGCAAAAGATGGCACAGAATAGCTTGTGATGAAGCTTTATGGACTAGACTAGATCTTGGAAGTAAAGTTTTGAATGAAGGTACTTTGGGACATATACTTCCAAGAGGAATTCAAATTTTGAGATTAGCTCAAGCTGAGATTGCACATCCAGCGTTTCTTCCAAATAGTGATATATATTCTGAGGATTACACATGTAAACTTCAACATTTAGATCTCTCTATGGCAGTTGTTACTAGTAATGATTTAGCTGATATATTAATTAAATGTAAATATTTGAAAAAACTGTCTTTAGAAAAGTGTACTTTAAATGTCACTAGTTGTAAAGCCATAAGTAAAAACAAAGACTTAGAAATTTTGAATTTGACAATGTGTGAGGGTATGAACATTGATTGTGTAACAGATATTGTACAGTTGAAAAGGTTTGTTTTTTCAATTGAATCATTTTTATTATATAAAGGTGCGGTTTTGTAAAAATAACTGGCAACAGGTAATAGTAACGAAAAAGTGATGGTGGGGGATGTGCATCATTCAATTATATTCTATCTGCAGTAATTCATTGCTGATTAGTTTCAATGCAAACTGTTTAGTTCAAATTATTAGAAATTTTTAATTTATTACATGATTGTAATTTTTTTCATCTATAATCAAAATAAAAACAACAGCTATAGTTATTTTTCTTTTTCTACTAGTACACAACTGAGTGGATACTTGTAGACTATGTTTAACCTGATCATTGTTTTGCTGTATTTTATTTGTTGTATCTTCGTATCACCGACGATACCTTAGGGTCCAATGCAAATACATTTTTCAGTTGCATATCACAACCCCCCCCCCCCCCCTAAACTTTCAATTGTCAACAGATTTGAATTGATATATTAGTCTAGCCCCACCACTTTCTTACTTGTTGCCGATTGCCAATATCGCCATGAGATCGTAACTTAAACGTTTAATCAATTTTTGATCTAATTAAAATAAGTTATGTATAATTGTATTTGAGACAAGATCATTCATATTTAAATTTAAAAACTTGCAGTTATTTTTTCGTTAATACAATTGTTTCTAATATTTTAGATTAACAGCGCTGAACATGGCATGGTGTGGATTAGATGCAGATTCTATGGCTTATTTGTGTAAACATTTACCTTCCTCAATCACTAGATTAAATATTGCTGGTTGTCGAAAAACATTGACAGATGAAAGTAATTATCTTTTCATTGTATATATAATTTTTTTATATTTATGTTAATTATTTAAAAAGCTTTTTATATACTTATACACTATATTTATCAATGTATAATTTGATAAACTAGATTTTAACCGATTTTTAACAATTTACTCTATAACATTTATTAAAATAGATGTTAAGATTTATAATTAATACATATTTTTTTTGAAATTGTGGTTTACAATATATGTTTATCAATAGTTTCATAAACCATTCTTCTTGCACCAAACTGAGTTCAGATTCAGACAGTATTGAAAGTAGAAGAAAACAAATTTTATAATTTGTTGTTTCTTTTTGAAACTATAGAATGTTAAAACTTAACTATACTAAACTACTAACGTTTTATGAAAACTCAATTTAATTTTTGCAGATGTCGCAGATTTGATCAAATCTTGCCCTCATATTATAGAATTAGACTTGAGTGATTGTACAATGCTGACTATTATCACAGTTCAAAGTTTAATGAACCTGAGTCAACTGGAGCACTTGTCGCTTAGTCGTTGTTACAGTATTCCCACAGCTATGCTCCTTAGATTAGCATTAATGCCACAACTAAGGTACTTAGATATATTTGGACTGATATCAGATGAGGTACTCAAGACTTTTCAAGTAAAATATAACAATTTGGAAGTCAACAAGTGTTTATACAGCTCTATGGCTAGACCTACTGTTGGAGTCCGCAGAACTAGTATTTGGGGGCTTCGAGTGAGAGATTAAAATACTATTTTTATATGTAAAGTCATTGTTGCCAAACTTCAAGAACAAACCAATGATATATTTTATAACTTAGACTGGGACTACATATTTATCTTAATACAAATGATAAAAAACATCAATACTCACATGATTTGATTAAAATTATAAATGTCAGGAAGTGTTTATTGGGATAAATTTTCACAGATTTATAAGATTGTTGGAATATATTTATATGATAAAATAATTAGTTGAAAATTCTTTGAATTCACAAATTATCGCTTGATACATTTCAATGGAATTGGTTACTAACATTTGTTTTCGGTCATATTAAATTGTCATTGGAATTCCAATAAAAAGTTAAGTTTGAATTTTGTTTTAAGAAATAATACAATCACTTATTATGTCTAAAAAGTTAGGCTAATTTATCATAATTATAATATTTAGCATTTTGTACATAAATAAACTTGTCAATCAATGTTGATGAAAGAAAAAAGCACTATGCTTAATTTTTTCAAGGCTGTGTGTTGAGAAAATGTGTTTCACCGCAAAATATTTTTCGTGATATATGTACGCTATTCTTTATTGAAAAAAAGGGGAAACAATTGGAGTAAATACAATAATTATCGATTAAGATAGAATTATGAAAAGTTGTATAGAAAAAAACATTGCATAAAAAACAGCTAATCAAATGTACCTTTACCTAAATATTCAGATTGTTTGCGATTAAAGCGAACCAATATTTTTTTTATAATTACTTTAGTTAGATAACTAGAAACAAATATTATCGTATTTAACAAAACCAAGCGACATTTTGTAATTTTATTATTGTTTATGATTGCAATGAATAAACAACTGAATATATAAAGTAGTATAGTTTTTATTTATTTTAAGTACTGAAAAAAGGATTTGAAAGTATAAACTCAAGACAGTATATTTCAACAGTTATTTTTGTTTTTAACTTTATTATTTATAAAACAAAAACTATATTACAGCTTTTAAAATTTACACGTTTCGAGGTGGAATAAAAATGGCTTAAAAATTGTGAAACCACTTTTATTTTTAAGAAAAAGCAGCTCAACCATGAGTTTATATTCGAATAAAACATTTATACATGTTTTTTATAACAAAATAACGTTTCAATAGAATTAAGACATATTTGCGCGAAAGTAAGTATAGTACAATGTTACTGAGTTTTTATCCATGCCAAAGTATTGTCAATTATAAAATACTACTTTCATACCTACTTTTAAATGTCATCAACCAAATAAAAATAGTCCAAAACTATCTTGAAATGGCAAAATCCTAGGAATGATAAAAACTCAGTACCTATGTAGGATTACATGTAGGTGATTGTGCATTACAATAGTGGAATCTTTTTCGTTCTAAGCTCGATATTCATTACATATAAATACAAATGAATTTACTTAAACGAAATTCTCCAGTATGCAAAAGGTGATATCATTTAAAAAAAATATGTTAAAGAAATTGAAAATATAGTGAACAGCCAATAGAGCCACATAATAGTTCATTTGCTCATTCCATCACTGCAGAGAGTAATATTCAATATTTTTTTACAATGTTTCGGGTTTCCTATTATTGATATGAACAGTAAGTTCAAGCACTGGCCGCTACTGACTTGGACTCCTGTTCGGGTAATTTGGATTCATGTTCGGGTGCAGGCTCGATGGCAGAAACGTTTTTTCTAACGTGCATCACCGATTGATCCTTTTCACTTGCATAAATCGATTTGGATTCTGCCCTCTCTTGTTCACTTTGCCATTGCACCTAAACAAAAAAAAAAGTGTTATCGTTGATTGTCATCCAAAAAACTTGCAAAGTTCAGTAAGTCATTAAAACATAGGAAATAAAAACAACCTTCTGTCTGTGCTGTTTGACAGCCTCAGTACATTTCTCGACGACCATCTGCTCTGTAAGTACACCATCGGCAGAGGCGTAAGCAGCCGCTTGCCACGCTAGACCTAGTTTCGAAATTTCTCTACCAGACATGCCTTCGGTCATGTCAGCCATCGTTTTGCACAACGCACCGTAGTCAAATTGGGCAAGCTTGAGTCGACGTTTGCCTTCAGTAGCTGGCTGTAGCACGAACTTGTCGAAGTACAACCTTATGAGTCTTTCACGCTCATCTCGGCCAGGAAGTGAAAACTCAACCATTTCGTCTAGACGATCGTTTACAGCCCAATCGAACTGTTCGGGTGTATTTGAAGCCAAGACCAGCATGAACTTGCTACTTTGCTCACCCGTACGATAAAGAAAGGCATTCAACATCGCTCGCAGGTCTTCGCTTATGTGTTCGCTGGAACGCTTGCGCAAGAATGCGTCGGCTTCATCGATGAAGAGCAGTAAACCTTTGCGCGACGTCGATGCCCAATCGAAGACCTTGTGAATGGCCGTTACACCATCTCGACCAAGTGGAGCCAAATCACCACCTGTCAGGATTGCGTAATCCATTCCTGAGTGTTGTGCCAAACGTTTGGCAAACATTGTTTTACCTGCAGTCAAATAAAAATTAGTCGTTGTCTATTTAAAACTATTCAATAAACATACCGGTTCCTGGAGGTCCATGCATAAGGACATTTCTGTACATTCCACGATTCTGTTTCGTGTTCTTGGTAGCAATGGCAACGTCGCGTAACCTCTCTTCGAGTTTTGGCGCAAGCACGACGCCTTGCAGCGCATCCTGTTGTTTAATTTTGAGCTTTTGCACCGCTTTGATGGGATGTCTGAGAGCATCGATAGCAGAGAAACGTGAAGTTTCACGAATGAGAGATGGTTTTCCGAGACGTGCCTCGATGTATCTTGCGGCAACTCCAGTAGTACCTTTGGCAGTGTAAATGCCGAGAGCGACGAGCGACAAACCACCTGCTCCCGCCATAATTTTGTCCCAGTCGCTGAGCAATGATGACGCGCCCGAGCCTAAAATCGAGCCGACAGTTCTGTAAAAAGTTACTGTGGATGAAGTAACGAACATATTATTAATAAATCGATGATATTAACAATGAGTCTCACTTTATCGATTCCATTACGGTAGTTCTGTGTTCAGTGGCTTTTAGTCTGATTTGCTCCAAATTCAAGTCTTGGTTCTCCCTGTCAATTTTCGCCTTGGCTCTCAGTTCTGCGTCCAATTTCTTCATTTCATTCTTGTGCCTTAATTCCATTTCGTGTTCTATCGTTGCTTTCCTCATCGCTTCTTGTTTAGCGACAGACTCCTCTTGGCGTCGTAGATTTTCGTCGTTCATTCGTTGTTGCTGTATCAATTGATCGTCATATCGTTTCCTTGCCAATTGGTCCTGGTACTGTGCTCGCATTTGGTGCTGCTTTGTTTCTTCTTGCATGGTTTTTCTGCGCTCCTCGCCTTCGACTCGCTTCTGCTCGGCTTTCATCTGCTCGATACCCGCCTCATATTTTTTCAGCTCACTTTGTAACTCCGTTTGTCTCGTTGCCTCTTGCAGTTTAGACAGTTCCAGCGCTTCTTTGGCGTGAGCTGCAATATCGAAATAGTTTGAAGTGACCAATTTGATTTATCTTTTCATGAATATAAAAAAGTTTTTATTTTAAGTTCTAATCAAGTAAAAATTTAACTTGACATCTGCATTATCATCAATTGTCTATCTTATTTGGAAAACATTAAGGTCGTATTTTAACAACAATATTGTTAGTATGAAAATACATTTCGTTATGACGATTAATGATATTGTAACTTTTAGTTTAACTTTATTTTTTGAATTCAACGAAAGATAAAACGAGCTATACGTTATGGTACGTAGAAATACGATTTTAAAGCGTATAATAATAGTAACATTAAACAAAAGAGCATTTCGTAACAATTAAGTAAGACTCGATAAGTATCCAATGACTATATTAAATATTAAATTATTGTATATTAAAATTAAATATTAAAGTAAATAAACTATAATAAACTATAGAATTTTAACGTTTTTCAGATGATTAAAACAAATAAAACATTCGTTTAATGTTAGCATTGAAACTGGAGCAGGTTGTATCATAAAAATTATAAAAATGCATTCGAACAAAAGCTGTTAGATGCTTTTGAAGCTACAAACATCACGAAAAGAATCCCTTGTATCAGCACAATCTCTCCGGCATACGAATATTAATTATTCAGACGAACGCATGGCAAGTCTAACCTCAAACCTTACGTAACCTTACATAACTATAACGTGCTCCGGTGATGCCGATGATCAATCAAATTTCATGACAGTCAATTGGAACAAAAGCATAAATTTGTACCAGAACGTTCGAGTTCCCTAGCTGCAGCAGCAGCTCTCTCAAGGGCACTCGAGTCGAATCTATAAGCATCCATTTGAGCTTTGGTCGCCTTCGACGGCGGCTCTCCGCTACCTCCTCCGCCGGGTGAACCGGCACCAGCACCACCTCCACCAGTTCCATCCGTTGGTGGTGGGAATTGCGGCGGCTGTTGATTTCTGTACTGATTGCCCAGGAGCCACGACATCCTGGACAGCTATAAATCTTGCTCGCGCCAACAAAGCACTCTACAACTGACCACGATCCACCACGCGCTTGCTTGCTTGTGAATAGCCGTAACACACACTTTTTCAAATCGCACGCGCACTCGCCAGCAGTCGTGTGTTCGACTTGTTCGACATCGACTGAGCAGTGAGCATGCGGCTTTTGCTCCTCGTGACTACTGCTATCTCTCGGTCGACTGGTGTAGCCTTCCTATTTTGTGATGAGCCTGACCTGTCTGAGATTGTGTACTACACCAGTGTATATTCGAGAGATGAGTTAACTGGACCACTGGACTCGCGAGGATAATATATGTGTGTGGGTGGGACGAGCACTCGAACGGCGCGCATGTGCATACGTGCATTATACATACGTCCGAATTTCTGTCAGAAACGAAACTCCGAAAAATTGACGGAATTCTTTGCCACTGTTTATCGTCGCCCGGTCCACCCCACAGCTGTGTTTTGTATCATGTGCCGGACAACGAACGTTGCTTATGAGTTTCATTCGCGGGACGAATATTATGTTCGTCCAAAGTATCATCTTGTTATACTAGCCATTACTCGTTTATACGCAAGCAAATATTCTGGGCTGATGGTTTAGTGTAGGAGGATTCGTTTGTATAAACACCAGAAAGTTTATTGATAAGAGGAAAAAATGGCCGAGGAAAACGGCTCCAATTCGGACATCGGTTCTGAGGATAATCTCACTGCTGATATTATTAACTTGGAAATTGAGGAGGTAAATTACGCGTCAGACTAACGTTTTATCATCTTTTTTAATTCGACACTCGATGATTTGATTAAAATTCTGTATGCAAATTCATTGTCTTACTGAGTTATTTTATAGCTGGATGATGCAGAATATGCAATACCTGCTGTAGACCAGCTACCTTCCCTTGAAAGTATATTAGCTGAGCCAGATTGTGGTTCGTTATCTGGTACAGATGATGATTTGGGAGCAGTTTCGCTAGAAAAACTATCGACCAGTGAAACTATAAGTGTTGGCAGCTTGCTGTCTCTCAATTCACCAAGCAGACCAAAAACCCGACAACCTCCGCAGTCTGGTATTATTCTACGGCATGTGATATTAAAAGGAATCTGTGCTCAAATCGCTTCAGCTAGTGTACATAAATATATAAGTATTATAACATAACAGTTAATTATTTTTCTAAAATCAATTTTATACCTAAACAGGATAAAATAAATGCTGGACTTGCAAGCGCAGTAGCAGCTGGTGCAAATATGTTTGTAGTTGGTACAAGCCATGGATTAGTATTAGGATTTGACTCTTCTCAGACTCTGAGGTGGTGTCACAGAGATACAAAACACCAAGGATCGGTATCTGCTCTTTGCTTTAATCATGATGGGACCAGAATTCTTGTAGGCTTTGCTAAAGGACATATTTTAATGATAGATAGTTCTAATGGCAAAGTACTACGAATGTTAATAGATGTTCATCCTCCAGGAACTGCTGTTTTACATGTTAAGGTAAATATACATTTGGAATTAAATGAAGCTCATTTTTTATGTAATTTAATTTTAATTCATGTTTAAATTTAGTTTACAGATTCTCCAAAACTAGCACTTTGTAGTGATAGTGGTGGTTCAGTTTTTGAATTGAGTTTCACTAGGACTATGGGGGTGAGAGGCTGTGATAGCAAATGTTTATTTAGCGGTTCTAGAGGAGAGGTTTGCAGCCTTGAACCGTTACTTCTAGATGAAGTAACCACACATCCATTAAAAAGTTATGTACTAGTTGCCATGGCAACTTTATCAAAAGTTATTGTCGTCTGCATCAGACCAAGAATGCGCGTCGTCTTAACACATCCATTGAATGGACCTCCTATTGCTCCACCATTAGTTGGTTGGCAATTAGTTGTCATACGTTCTGTTAACGCTACGAGAGTTGTTGATCCCGTGCTTGCACTTGGTAGAAATAATGTAATTCACTTTTATCAAGTAAGTAAATTATACATACCTATGAATCATAGACCGCAATTTACGAAACAATTATGAAGATTATATTATATGAGTGTTAACAATACTATTAAATAAATACTACTATTTTAGGTATGCAGTGAAGCTGGCATGAGAGTGAGATTAATGCCTCTTCGACGCATTATTTTAAATTACACAATGAGCAATTTACGTTGGGTAAACTCGAGGTCTCTGGCAGTACTTGACATTCATGAAAAGCTTCACTTGCTTGACGTCCGAACCCAAGAGGATTTAGAAACCCTGGACGTAAGCAATGTCGGTCTTTCCTACGCGTCCAGTCATTTCAAAGGTTTGTCGACCGGTGGCAATGTATCCAAAGCAATGGCCCTCGCGGGCGAGCGAGCTTGCTACAACAGCGTTGTCACGTATGGCTCGCAGCTTCTACTTCTCGGCATGAAAAGTCTGCACGCTATTTGCGTGAGAACCTGGATGGAAAGATTGCGTCATCTGACTATACAGGTATTTAGCAAAGCTCACTTGTAAGATTCTCGATTCTCTCGTATCGTATGTTTCAATAGGACTTTATTATTTCAGAAACGATACAAAGAAGCATTAGAATTAGGTCTAGATTTCTATCGAGACAAAGCTAAAGCCGTCGTTGGATTGCGCGGCTCTAAACAGCGACGTAAACAAATAATCCAAGATAAGGTGTGCCAAGTATTGATGCGTTACATGGATGAACTTCCAACTGCCACTGATAGCAGCAGCGTCGAGCAGGAGATTGTGAGTACTTGCGTGGAGTACTGCGTACAACTCGAGTGTACTGATGTGTTATTTGGCAAACTATGGGACATTGTCTCCGAGTCAGAGAATTTAAAATCCATCTATCTGAGGTCTTTGGAGTTACCGTTGTTGGAAGCCAGTTTGACACCACAGCTGCCTCCCTTTATAGCTCAACAACTTGTTGCTCTTTATAATCAGGAAGATAGGCTTGACTCTTTACAAGCTATTATAATCTTGTTGAACGTCGAATGTTTAGACATTCATCAGGTATAACTAGCATCTTGATCAGAACTGTTTAAAGATGTAGAATTACAGTCGTACTGACATAATAGATTTTATTGATTTATTTCAGGTGACAACAATTTGTCAACAACGAAGCTTATGGGAAGCTCTAATACATTTACAAACTGCAGCTTTAGGCGATTACACAGCTCCGATTCATCAATTAGTGCCCGTGTTACAAAAACATCTTCTAGATAGTGTCGATAGTGCGCAGCCGTGGGATTGCATTAATTTAGGCAATGCTCTTCTTGTTTACACGAGCTGCTGCTTAACGGGACGTCAATTTCCACGAAAGAGTGAGTTGCCTGAAGGACTGCCACGAAAAGTTAAGGCAGATGTTCTGCGAGCACTTTTATCTCAACATTCAAGCCAAGCCAGTGATTCAGAGAAACAGTATCCTTATCTTAGGACACTTTTAAGGTTTATAAAATAAGTTGCTTAAAGTTATTGAATTTAATATTTTTGTTATTTGACATATTCTTGAACTACACTGTGATTTGCAGGTTCGATGCTAAAGGTTTCCTCGATGCTGTTGCTATGGCTTTTCAAGAACCGGAATTCACATCTGAAATAGGTCTTAGGCAACGTCAACGAGTTGTAGACATACTGTTTAACATGGTTACGGCAAGCACACCACAAGACCCAGAAAATTCCGAGTACTTGTCGAACGAGCAAAAGATATTCGTTTTAGGTTTTATAGCGGATGAAGTGATTGAGTGTACCGTTAATTTAGAGCCTAACTCGCTGTTTAGAATTATCGAAATGCTCTGTATAGAAACAATCGGGGAAGCGAAACCCCGTCGCGAAAATATTATACTAAAACTCATTCACGGGAACAAACTTAGTAGTATAGCAGAAACAACACTTTTAAACCTTACTCGAAAAGCTGAGTTGTGAGTTCACGATTTTTTTGTACTTACACATTCAAGGAAATCTAAATACTTATTCGATAATGTTCGTATTGTAGCTTAAGAGTATCTGAGCTTTTACACACGAATCGTGGTGATTGGGAGTCAGTGTGTCAGTGTATGATGGCTGATTCTACGAGGTATTCCGAAATTTTACCTCTGCTGCAACAACTGCCTACTATTCAAGTGGAAGAAATTGTAAAAAAGCATACGCATCAACTTGTCAGAGCCGATACATCTGGCCTGGCGAATATAATCACGACAAGACTTGCCGATCAAATGGATCAACTCTTACAAAGTATCCAAGACGATCCGCAATGTGAGTATGCATTGCTGTCGTCTTTGTATGGTTATACGGAAGCTGAAAAGAAAGAAACGGAATTCGGTGATAAAGAAGACGACTCAGAATCAGAGAAAAATGAAAGTTTTGCGAAGCTCGAACTCTCGCAAGAATCTTTGGAGCGCTTTTTAAGACTCATGTGCGATATCGAATCAACTAGGGTACATTTTTAAAACTTAATATGGCAACGTCAAAGCTGATGTATTCGATGAACAATTCATGATATTCACACAGGTAATGCGACATCTTCAAGGATCTCATGGCTGTCGGCTCGAACAAGCTCTACAGATAGTTAAAGAAGTCAATCGCAAAGATGCGGAAGCCATTCTACTCGAACAATCGGGTAACTATCAGGATGCCTTTGACCTTCTACTCGGTCGACTTACCGAAATTATTGATGTGGTGAGATAGTTATTTTTTTGTTCAATTATTATTTTATTGAGATGCATTCATCGTCACTATTATATTTTATTTATCACAGTATCTAAAATATCGCAGTTTTATTCAAATAATGTCATTTAGAATAAAATTTTATTATCGGAGCAATTTATATCGCGAATAGAATTCATTTTGTAATATCAGTAATCTTATATATTATATATCTTTTAATAACGATACTTTTCACTTACACACTTTCACTTACTGCTACAGAGCAAACAAAGCGAATCAACTGAAGACGAAGCCATTAGAATTACATTTCAATTATCAAATTTATGTAGAAGGTCAGCTGGAGTTCTTGACTGGTTGCCGCTAGTTGAAAGCGTTCTATCATTGCAGTCGAATAATGACATTGAAAAAAGTTGGTATTTATTTTTCAATATTGATATTGTTCTATAAAGTTTAATGAACAACCGTTTAGTTAAAAATGATCTATAATCAATAATTACTTTACAGCAAGTAAAAAATTAGGTGAAAAATTGTTAAAAGTTATATTGCAAACGTTGAGTGGGACGACTGCTTTGGCGACTGTTTTAGAACATATTTTAAAACAACCTTTATTAACTGGTGGTACCATGGGAGATGTTAGACAGCTTCTAACTGGAGTCTTAGCACAGTCTAAATATGATCAAGTGCTCGTACAAACAACCGCTAAATTAGTTAGTCTAGAACTTCATGAAGCATTGAAAAAATCATTAAAGTAAGATATTTACTTGGTTTCTAGATAATGATAGAATTCAAAGTCAACTGTTTATGAAACGATTAAAAAATTTTGCAGAGATGCAGGAAAGGCACGCTCTATCAATTCCATGATCTGTCCCATTTGTAGACAAGTCTTATCTCATGCTGCTGATTGTATAGTTATATTCAGTTGCAATCATACATATCATTTAGAATGCCTACCAGAACCAAAACTGTGCTATGAGTGTATTAATACAAAGGGTTGGGCACATCCTGTCACAGACTTTGTACCTCCTGCACCTCGGAATATAAATTCTAAAGTACCTCAGGTTTCTATTTTAATTGAAATGAGGACAGATCAATGTTGATTACTAATGTTTGTTTTTTAATGTGTCTAGGAAAAAAGAAAATTGGACCCTCCAGCCTTTATGCGAAGTAAAATTACCTCATTAAGACTTGCACCACCAGTTCCTTGGCCAGATTTAGAAGATACTTTATAGTCTAGTCATTACTAACAATCTAAACTGATGTTATTCCATATTAAAAATCAGTTCAGATCAATCTAAGTCAGCGTGGTGTATGCTCAAAGTCTTTGTATATTTGTATAAATAATTTTAGTTACTGTACATTTAATTTTGCACTGTGTATAAAAAAAGGAAACATTTTAAATATGCATGTAACGTCGGTGATGAAATGGTTATCCAATTCTTCCATGTTATTTAATTACATAATTTATCATCCAAATATATTATTATAATGTTAAAAAATTATTCCGAAGATAAATAATTTACCATATGATACTATGGAAAAATGTTATTTGCCTTCTCATTCCAAACCTTCTCTACATGAAATATGACATGTAATAATGTTAATTAAATACATCTTGTTCTTTGCTTTATTCAAATTTCTTATAAAGACAACTTAAATTGTATTGGATTTGACAAAAAGAACAACCATATTAAGTTTTGCATTTATTTTATTAATGCTTTATTGTGTTTTGTACTTATATAAAAATATTGAATAAGTTTATGTTATAAATAATTCCAAAGCGACGTTTCCAATTCGTCATTAGTTTTCTTGTAAATAAGTTGCTGTTAACTTAACAATAAAGGCATTTTCCATGGAAATTATAATACATCTGTTTCATACTACATAATCTCTACTTAATAAGTTGGAATTTACGATAATTTTTTTCAAATTTGAATAAATACAAAATGTTTAACAAAGGAAGGTGATAACATTCAAAAATAAAAAAGAAAACAAAAAAACAAGGACTACTTTCATTTGAGTAGCAAATTGTCAAACAAAGGCTTAATCGACTATGTATAATAATGAGCAATCGCAAGTATAGAAGAAAAAAAGGACTGTGCTCAAATCATTTAAAACTTCCGAACACTGAAATAAATTTGACCGTTTAGAGAATTGATAATACGCGTTGCTAATTGAAACAATTGTGAGAATGTTCGTGAGAAAAACATAACCGAATCGTTAAACAGCTTTTTAAATTATAGTCCTATACATTTTCTTTGACGGAAGCTCATGTGTTGAATAAGATGAAATCATCTACAATATTAACCGAAGAAATATTAAAAATGAAATAGGTTTTAAAGTCCCTTTCTCTAGTGATTTCTTGTTTGCAATGTTGTTACTAATTATTTTGTCTATACACAGGTAAACGTTAATTCCACATCCACTTTCATAATTCACTCTAACTTTTTCACGTTGAAAACACACTTCGAACTGACGCACCCGTAATGTACACGCGTGCATGCGCATATGAATGGCATTTATATATCGCTATTGTTTAGCTTCAAATTCGACCTTCTTTAACTGCTTACACACTAGATTTGAATTAAACATTAGCTTTTTCTCACTTTTTTTAAATATTTCATTCATCGTTATATACTCAGTAATCATTGTTTATTTTTTCCCTAAAAACTAGCTGTTACAGCTAATCACCTAACTTTTTGGCTAATATTACAGTAAGATTTAACATAAAGAGGTATATTTTACAGTTGGGCTATGGTTCTTAAGTGAAACACTATATGTTTCAAAGCAACTGGATAAAAATGCGTAAATAATGATAAAAACTGTAGATTCAGCATTTCAGACGACATTCTATATTGAATCAGATACGGATAATATAATTTTTGCCCAATTACATCATCTCGAGTATTCAATGCTTCATAAAATATTGATAAGATCATTCAAAGGACCGCTGTTGGTGTGATTTTCCAATTTTGAGCGATTTTCACGTTCTTTATTACTACAATACCAGAATAATTTTCATTCTGTTAAAGAATTGCTGCAAATACAAGTAACTGCAAATATTAAAAATTATGATTTTACTTTAATCCAATACAAAAAATTACAGTTTAAAAGCTACTAATCATTCAATAAACACAAATGACATTAAAGCCGTAAAAAGTGCACGTTTAGAAATGGTTTTTATTTTCAGTCACTTAATAAAACATCATCATTTAATTTTAGGTAGCAGATAATTTATAGTCATACATATTTATTTACAATATTTATAGAATATAACTTGATAAAATTTTGAAATACCAGCCTCGGTCCTTGATTTTTCTATAATATTATATTCTAATGTTACAAGATGCACGTTAAACATTAGATTGTGTAAATAATTCACATACTAGGAAAAATAGGGGTGATCGTTCAACATTTTTAATATTTCATCATAATGTATAATGGCTTGACTATTGATTATTATATTGGACGTAAAAACAATATTTGCATTACGAAATTGAATGTTAATTGATTGAAACCTACAACGAACATTTAAATTGAACTATAAACCAAAACATTTCTTATACATCCCCTAATTTTCTTTTGGCCAAAGGACGGAAAATTGATTCTCTATTTTTTTAGGTATGCTCTAAAGGGAATAAGACAAACGGAATACAATTGAATTATCTGAAACTACATAATACAAATTTATGAATAATCATATAATTTTAATAAAATTATTTAGGGGCTTTCTACATAAGGAGACGGGTGCCGAGGTTATCAAGATAAAAAACTAATTGTTTGTTTCACATCTGAGTGTAATCCGTGATTGCACCGGATATGAGCGATGATAAAAAATAGGAATATACTATTTTATCGTTATTAGTACAGTTACATATCATTTGATTATCTTTTTTTACTATCGTACACGTCTGATGGCCGATATCCGATGTCCGTTGTCTACTTATGTAGAAAGTCCCTTATAAACCTAGACCACGCTTCAAGTTAATTATTTTGAACATTTCATTGATTATATGGTTTATTCAATAGACATAGTTGCAAATGAAACAGAAAAAAAAATGATGCAAACAGCACATACTCATATGCTTTACATGTTAACTGTATGTTAAATGTACGTTGTTCAAATTCATCGAGATTTCAAAATACCGTTATAATATATTTTTTCAATTGAATTAAGAAACTATCGTGAATTTATAGTTATATTTTTAAATGATCACTGATTTTTTAAAATAAAATATTTGGCAACTACGTTGATAGATCATATAATATACGGACGTGATGATTTTATAAGTTCAAAAATTCAAAAAATGTGTCTTATAGTATGTAAGACTAAAAATAATTTTAAATTTACATAATTTCTACATTGCATAATTATTATTTTTAGGGGCTGAGTTTCAAAGTGTGCTTTGAATAGACCATGTAAATGTACGAGGTCATAACATTGTTCCAGAAAAATCGTAATTTTTCATATTTAAAATGCCTCCGGTAATTCGCACTTTATAAGACGCACTACTTGAAAACAGGCATATAAAAAACCATGTATATCCGGATATACCAGTGCAGTCTATTGGCGCCCTTTTTCTTTATCGATTTCCATTTAAAGAACGCCCGTACGAGTTCGAACTCATACGAATTTACATACAAGAGCACGAATGAAAACAGTAATCAAATGCAAGGAATATACGACGTTTCTTTTTGTTTTCTTTGCAGAACGATTAAGAAATTAAAAACAAACAAAATAACGTCAATGGAATAAATTCTGTCCTACAAACGGGTACCTCCTAACATAGTATCAAGTGGTTTTGTAAAGTATATATCATTGAAATCAAATTCAATTGTTAAATTTTTTGTTAGGTAATGCAAACTTTTAAAAGCAATTCTGATTATTGCCATCTTTCACACTTACAGAGTCACTCAATTCGCTTATAACTCAAAGAACAAATAAAAAAATGCATACAGAATTACAAAAAATGTAGAAACAGCAATAACTCAAAGGGCTCTTAGAAAATCATAATTACCGGAAACTTTCAACTTTCTTTTACTCTATTAGTGAAACCACATTATTTTTGATAATATATTTTTTCTTAATTCATATTAATTAGCGTTTTCTCTTTATAATCGTAGACTTAACCTATCGCGATTCGTCTTAATCGAGCGCTGTGCAACTAATCTAAGGTGAGTAACATCATTAGCAAACTCACGCCGTTAGCCTTACTCCTATCTATGCCAGCCATTTCTCGATTTATTGTTATGATATCGATGATGTTGCCTATTGTAATTGCCGCCATTTCCGTGACGTCGATAAGAATGGTTATTGTGATTAAGTCTATAATGATTATTATTATTATACTTCCATTTGAGACCATTGTTTTGATGTTCTTGAAAACGGTTGTACCGTGCGTCGTGATTTTTGTAGTCATGATGTTTTACTTTCTTTAAACGACCCCGGTCAAGTTCATCTTCCTCATCTTCATATAAACGTTTGCGATCTTGGTGTCGTTGATTATCTACTTCTCGCTCTAAACGTGCCTTGCCGCCATTCCAACTGTGAACTAAAAATAAAAAAATTATTAATTTAATTATGTTGTGTTTGGAAAATCATCTTTTTATTGCATTTCATATGATAGATATATAATAAATATCTCACCATTAGATGAATTCCCGTAACCCCAATGAGAAAGTTTTTGTAGTTGAGCAACCGTATCAGAACGGTTCGTTCCATTAAAACTTCTCATTTCGGCAGCATTTGGAGACGCTGCTTGGTTATTAAATCTATTGCCATTGCTATTAATCTCATCCCTAGAGTTAGAAAACAAATTCCGGTTGCTATTTTAATAATCAATATCCATAATTACGTAATCTACAAACTACAATTTCACAAAAAACAAAACAAATAAATTAAAACTACGACAATGTGCAATTACTGTCTACAAACTCAAACTACTTTCTAATGGGTTCCAAAGCTAATAATTTTAGATGAAACAATGTAAACAAAAACTCAAATAAACGACCCAAACAACATCAACTTACGGTACATTATCGGAAACTGACCATCCATTAACGGGGGCGGCTGACGAAGGCGAGGAACTGTCTTTGCAAACTTGCCATCCACGATTGACGCTAGCCTTAGTGTAAACCTTTTGCTCGGGTGGATCTGAGCGCCCCTTGGGGTTGTACCACTTGTCATCCGTCGAAGGCGAACCACCGTTGTTGTGTTCAGCTTTACCATTAACGCTGTGACCATTCTTAGGTGATGATTCTCGTGGCGATGATCCTCTACTACTGCAGCCACTACTGCTACTGCCAACTCCGTTGCTCGCGTCGACTCCATTAGACAACGAGTGATGACCGTTGCCATTCTGAGTTGACGGGGGCCTTGAAATCTCTGGAGAGTGTGAGTAACCATTGCCGTTGGCTTTTATGGTCTTGTTTGATGAGGAACCGGGTGAGAGAGAATTATTTGTAGATTTGACGATTTGGCGTTCATCTCGCAGAGACTTCGATGATGACGACCCATTTTTCCCGTCATCGTCGCTCGAATCGCCATCATAATCTACAAGCTTACTATTCTTCGACAATTCGTACAGTCTAAAAAAACAATTAGTAGCTAATGATTTCTACAAAAAAAAATATTAAAAAATAATTGTAAGCGTGTCCTATCAAAAGCATTGTTTGAAACCGTACCTATTTTTCTCCATGTGAGGTGGTAACTGAGGTCCAATAAAATTACGTCTTTTATTAGTTGAGGAGGTTAAAGGAGGAGGCGGTGGAGGTGGCGGTGGCGATGGTGCCACTGAATTGTTTTCCTGATCCTTGGGCTTCGAAGATGAACCGTTCTCGTCGCTCTTACTAGGTGGAGTTAATTTGCTACCACTGTTGCCGTCTAGCAATTTGCTCGAAAATCCATTCGAATTAGAAAAAGATTGGGGATTCTTGGATATAGATGAATCGTTCTTCGTACTCATGACTTGGTTGTTGTGAGATTGGCAGTTTAACGAAGACGATGGCTCCATTTCGAAGATCATAATGTAAGCATTAGTGCTGACTACATTACTAAAAACGATTGGAAGAACCTATTTTACAAAAATAATTTAGTTAATAAAGTATATCGGTAAAGATGTGCGTCTACTTAAGAATTGAATACTTACACAAGAATCATCGAAAGAATAAAATTGGCCCGACGATACTTGTGCTATGGCAGTATAGTGTCCACAATTGACAGACGGACCCATGTGAGTAACCATGGAAGCAAGTTTATAAGTCAACTTGCTAGGTGGTTCACCCGGCTTACGTCTAATGTAAGGACTCATGTCAATTGTTTGCTTAAAACCTATGTGTCGTGAAATCTTGCCCCCTAATACGCTAAATCGCTTCAGCTGAACGCAAAGAACTTTAGGTGGTCTTTCAAGTATAAATTGCTTTGTAGCTGGTACTCGTCGCTTACATGCCTCGCATTTGTAGTCATTGTTATCCAACTGTTCCTGACTAAAGTAACCAGCTAAAGCTTCATCCAAGGTTCCTGCTTTTCGAATATCTAACAGAAGATCCTTTAGAAAAGAAAAATTCATGTAAATTAATTGATTCAGTATTGTAAACACTTTCAGTACTGTAAACATATTAATGTCAGTACCTGAAAATGTTGAAAAGTTGTAGAAACGTGACGACACTGAAGACACTTCACTTCAGTTCTGATGTAACCCCCAAAAATTTGATTAATAGGAGTAGTTTCTTTTGAATAACTATCTAATTTAGTTGCTTTATATCTCGCTAAATATGCTTTTTCCATTCCTTCCAACAGATAACGTAAAAACTCATGAGCATCTTCCTGTTGCCCTGGCACCATTGTTCGGCAAATAACTGTAAGAGACATTTAAATTAATAAAACAATTGATTATATATTAAGAAAACAATAGATATTTAAAATTTTTATAAGAAACATTGAACTCACGTTTAAGTTTATTGTAAACCAAAAACGGCTTGATAGCAACAACTGTTTTTTCATGACTATACTGCAAAGTTTTAGCTACTGCACATGTAAGGCACTCGCAACCTCCATCTAGAAAAAAACAATGTCTGACTGTTGTTTCAGATCGAACAGTAAATTAGTACAAGACAGGCTACTACAGGATATTGATAAAATAACAATTATGTAAAAGCAAAAAAGTAAGTCAGCAACTAAGTAGGTGAAAATGAGTTACACTAATATTGCTACAGGTTCAAGCAAAAAAATGCAGTCATACCGTTTTGCTCACACTTTGATTTGTGGTGTGAGTCAGACAGCAGCCAATTAACTAATGCAGGAACATGAAAAAGTGCTTGTAGGGTACTGTTCAAATAGCATGTATTTCCAACATTGTACATGCCAGTACCTATAGGAAAGTTTTTATTCCAGCCAAGGTTAACTTTGTCCGGAGGATACAAGACCACGTTAGGTTCTGGCAACCTGGGCTCTTTATCCTTATCTAAAGTCTTTGAACAGGCAGCAGCTCCTTCTTTGACTTTTCCATTTTCAGTGTTATCCTGCTTGGGCAAGCTCAAAACCATGTATTTACTCTTTAAACGCTCCTGGACTGTTGATCTATAGTTATCAGTCTCCTCGTAATCTATTTCAGTTCTGAGTATACGTGATGCACTTCCTGCTAAGCTTATATTCAAATCATCCGAACTTTTGGACTGGCCAGCAGCATCCAAGTTGTGACGTAATGCCACTGCCAGTGGGTCGCAAACACTCACTGCTGGCATCTTGCTTACTTCTGCGTTTTTGTCCGGATCAGCCACTGCTCCAAATAATTAAGTAGCTTTTTAAATAAAAATTACTCGTAGGCACGGCTGGCCTAAGTTCTCTGAAACAGTATATCAAATTGTATCATATAAACTTCTTGTCTTTTCAAAGTTGCACCTAATTCATATAGGCTTTAAAAATGCTTTGATGAAAAAACCAAATTCTTGTATGAAATTGTCAATATTTTTTAGTAATAAATTAACTACTTTTAACTAATTATTTTAAACAGATTTAGAATTCGGCGATTTTAATATAACTATCAAAATAATCAAAATTTTTGAAGAATACTATATTAATGGAATCGAGACCGATAACTATATAAAATTACGTTATGAAGTGTATCAATACAGGGCGCCTCGGAAGAATTACGTATAGGTAGTCTGCGCGCGGAAAGCGGCAGATTTTCCGGCGCACACGTGGTCGCATTCTCCAAACTTCGCGGAGTGACAGTACCTATTCATACTTCGCTTCGCGGGAGATGTAAACTTCACAAAACGAATGAGACTACAAGTCCGATATAATAATGTTTTTCGTTATAATATCGGCAAATCCAAATTTAAAGAAAGAAATAAGGCATTTCCATCGAGTACAATAAAAAAAAGGAACAAGCAAGACATTTATATACTACACGCTGCAGGAAGAGAGTGGTTTATCGATCGTCCTATGCCGTTGTGCTGCTGCTGCTGCTGCGCGCTCTACACCGTACGAACACATACACGGAATACATGCACTATACGCAAGTATAAGCGCACGTTGTCGCCACGCTGAATTTCCGAGTAGCCCCCTCTTTTTTCGCTCGCGCTTTTACCCGTGATGTAAGCTACGCGCGCACTTGCAAAGCTGTAGCAGAGAGCCTGTGTACGAAGCGTGTACTCGTAAATATCTACTGCAGTAGTTATACACACACTATACCCACGACACGAGGTCGCTCGGCCGACTTTTAGGTTATCCCCTTACTACCCGTCGTGTCGTCAGTCTAATATGTGTGGACAACCTATACACGCGCTCATAAGAAACGAGATCGATCTTGCGCGAGATGTATACATTCCCGTTAAGAATCGAGATAAACAAACCTCGTTTGCTAAGAACGTGTCTCGATATCTCCACCACATGCTACTGCTGCTCCGAACGAAGTTTCTTTTGCCTTTCCTTCCGTTGAACATGCAACGTGTCTCGCTGATTATATACTATCATCAACTATAGAAATAACTTCCATATCAGAAAAACCTTTTTCAACGAACGAAATTTTCACTCCTATTTTGACGTATACAACTTCCTCGCGTTTTCTTGCAGTGCACATGGGACAGGCGCCGCCGCGATCGTCGTACTCTTTAACTTATCATCTAGTAGCCCGGACATGAACTACTCGTCAGCGCGCCGTTCTATCTCTCGGCACTTTCAGTACTCTCACTGACGTGTGCGCTCGCGCAACTTGCGGATAATACTTGGACTTGTATATTACGCTGATAATACTGGTTTCTTACGTTTGTTTGGTATCTAATTTTTTCAAATCCAGAAGAGATAATCAGAATATCACCATATATAGAGTCGTGCGAGAGTGGCTACCACTAAAGTACGAGAGATACCACGCTACGACTATTGCTATCAGTTCTATCATTGATCGGTCAAGTTCGATATGTAGATTTTTACAATATCAAAGTCGCAATGTGTTTTCTTTTTAAGAAAATATATTTAACATCGATACAGTCTTTCCAAAATTGATTATAATCATTAGGCCTCTCTGTGTATCAAGTCACTTTCTCATATAGGCACTGAATCATTGCTGTTACATTTGAAAATTTTTTTTTTATTAACAATTAACAGAAAACAATTACCATGCTAACAAATTTCAATACAATTAATTTGATAAAAAACTTGATGTTACAATATTTTTTGTAATAAAAACCATACTCATGTCTTGCACTTATATTCACCAAATTGATTGGAAGTCAAAGGAAATAGAAAAATATTAGAATTCTGAATCACTAACCCATTTTCTAAATTCAGGACCTGAATTTTCCACAAACTGAAACGTGTACATTACGGCGAGTATAATACGTAACATGAAAAGTGCGTCGGCGTGTGATAGCGTTAGAGCGTGGCCTCCCTCGACACATCGAATAAAGGAACTCAACGAGAAATTGATGAAAAACGACCCAAAAACATTATAGAAAACGTAGCGCATGATTAGCAATGATACAAATATTATTGCTCACTATGTTTTACAGCCATACGTGCACCTGACAAATCAGTAGATAAAGTAGACTCAAAAAGGACTGCTATCTGAAAATGACTGCATCCTTAAGGATGAGATATTTTTTAAATAACCAGAGATACTTTAACTACTTTAACATAGGCAACATCCACCTAAGAACGCCAGTGTAATAGCTGTACCGATAGGGATAGGTTATTTTTTTAATAACCAATAGGATTTAAGTATTCCAAGACTTAACCGGACTAAAAAATACATGTCTAAGGGATCATTAACATTAACGGTTATTTAAAAAATAACCATATATTAATAACATATACAGCTCTAATAATAGGGTAGTTATTGTCAGAAAGGGTATTTTGTCCTACAGAAGTGAAAATCTATGTTACCGACTGAATTTTAAGATGCGAATATATCGTTGCAACTTTGCAATGAGTACTGTTTATTCCTTTAACGGATAATGACATTTTGATGGGATAGATTGCGTTTGATTTTGCCTAACTACTCCAAGAACTACTGATCTGAGAGTATTGAACTGTTGAAATTTTTTTATTAACAAAAATCAAATTGGGCAAGTTAATGATGAGTTAAGGTTATCAATGAGTTTTGCTATCTTTGACAATATAGTGTAATTTTACTATAATTTTGTCGGGTCGATTTTCATTGATTTCCTACCGAGTTCCTTCATCCCGACGTACCAACACTTATATACATACATTATACGTATAACATATGTATGTATGTACATGACAAGCCAGGCGCGCGCGCACATCAGACAGAATAATAATACGTATGAAATATCTATATAGACGCATGAATGATAGTGCGGCGCCGCGGCTGCCGCCTTCATGCCTTCAACATGAACCAATAACCCCCAAATCATTGCGTGTCACTCGTCATTCTCGCTTTTTTTCGTATTATCGTTGTATTTCTGACGTCAAGATTGGAGTGTCCGGTCTTGCGCGTAAAAGTTGGCGTAGTTCCGGTACCAATGAGAATGCGTGTAGGGAGTCTCGAATCTTGCACGTTGTGCTTCGTTTTTCTCGCGAAAGCTTCATTATTAAATGATTACTATTTCGTTCCCGTCCCTCTGTCTCCGTGAAGTGACCAAAGCGCCTGTGCTCCATTTTCCCCTTAATCTCGCTCGCGCGTACAAATGAATCGCGTACACGTACGAGTGTAGTCAGCTATTGCGGCACACTTACACACGCCACAAGGTTTAGGATTGAGCATGTCTGTCGCGTTCAGAAGCAAATCTGCGTGTGTGCTCGTCATGTACTCACCTCACATCCGGCTTTTTCGGTGTGAACCCTCACGAGAAACATGAAGTCAATCTAAGCACATACACACTCGCAGTAAAATTGACGGCGATGATGATTCTCACCGCCTTAGCTCGCACAGCCAACGACCACGTCCATAACTTTAGCCGTGGGCAACGATAAATATGAGCAACAACGTAGACAGAACGCCTCCTGAGGATGTTGCTTCTTGCAGCACGTCGTCGATTTACGCTTGACAGCGGCGACGATGGCACTTTTCAGTTGACACGACGCGGGCTTGCAGGTAGCCGGCTACGGCGTCCGATGATCAAGACGAAGGGCCAAGGGCTCACGCGCGCACTTTTGTCACTGACCAGTCTCATAGCCGCATCGACATGATGCCACCGGCCGTGTTTGCGCTTTTCCCTCCGTTTTCCTGACGCCCCCTGACCTTGTTACAATACAACAGAGAAAAACCAGACAGGCAGACACACAACTATAAGACCGCGAGCCAGCAAAGTCGCGCAAGAGCACCCCGGCCCCAGAACGATACTCGCGAGTCGCGCTGGCGCATTGTGTAGTTGGCAGTGATTTTGGATTTCGCTCGTCGCATGGTTGTCGACACTGATTTTTACCGCTAAATTTGATTTGAACGTTGCACAGGATTGATTTTACTTATTCGAGTGCCCGTTTGTTGACAAAATTTCACAAGTCGAATATATTAAGCTAATCTTTTTAACATGTTCAAGTGTTTGCTTTTTCCAAATCTTCATTTAAATATAAATTACATTACTCTGCATTTTTAAGATTTATTTATTACAAACTTTATGGAATTACTGTAATTGATTATTTTTTATAAATTGTTTTGTAAAATAATGATTAAAGAGTAATTTAAATAGGAAAATAAATCTTCAGTAATTATTTACAAACTTCTATTAATCGCAGAATGTGTTTGAATAACACTACAAATGTTTTGTAAAATATAATTAATATAATGAGATAAGTTATTTGAATAAACCAAATGATAATCAATTCTTTCTACTATAAATCGTGATGTATCTTACATATATCTAATATACATAGACTCAATGCTCATGCACTATATTTTTTAGTTAACCAAAAAAATTTTTCCACTGAAACTTAATTTCTTTTATTCTTTTATTAATCAACGTTAATTATGATTTTATATTTAATGCCATGAGCATGAAACTCTTTCAGAAGTTGTCTTCTTTATAGTTATCTTTATCACCATAATAATCATCAAAACAATCATTGTATCTTTTACGACAACTATAATACTAATCAAAACTATCAATTTTATCCTCATTATCACTGTAAACATTATTATTTGTATCAAGTGTACTGATACATTGACAAAGTTTTTGAAGAAAATTATAATATTCAATATTGTTTACATTAAATTGAGTGTACTTAGTAAGTAGAACATTTAAAAGCTGCTTTAGATTTTTAGCAGATTTATGTATTTTGTTCTGTAATTTAGTATACATTGAGTATATCTCATTAGATAAATGTATCATATTTTGGAAAGTATAAATCATCATATATATTTTTACTCCTTGAAAGCTAAGAAAACATAATACGCAATTTTTCTGGATTCGTTCAGAAAAAACTTTCAATTCATCGTTTATAAAAAAACATTTTTCTTCTTCTTTGCTTAAAAAGTGTACTATTTCATCAGACTTTTTTAATAGTGCATCCATAGTCTGTTCGCTAAATGTTATATTGCAATTATTATTATTATGGCTATTCAGTTTGATTACAGGTTCCATATTTGGAAGTTTTTCTGGATCAAGACATATTTGAATACTTTTGTTCCGAGACTGATTCAGAAACATTGGTTTGCTTTGCAGATCATCAAAAATTTCTTTTACCAATTCCATTACAATGTTGAAAAGATAAACTATGTTTTATGGTTACTTAATTCTAAAACAAAAGAAAATCATTGCTTAAGTAGTATGTTATTTGTATAAACTAATTTACAAATTCAAAATTAACTTTGTTTCAATTATTGTCTTGAATAGCAAATAGAACTAGAAAATATTTGTAAAACAATTTACTTACAGAAAAGAAAATTCAATAACAACTTTGTTTTACCTTCGTAAAACGAATTGTAAATCTTGCTCGTTATTCTATACAATAACAGTGAATCGTGAATAGCACACAAAGCAATTTAAGTATGTGTGAAATATGCATATATGTGTCACAACATTCCAGTTTCTCTGTAAGTATTTATAAATCTGCTGAAACTTAGACAAGTTCAATGGAATTCAGTTTCTATATCAGGACTATTGACTTTCGGTATTCGGCGCTCGGCAGTCATCATTAATTACTTGTTCGTCAACACAAAGGTATGATTGTAGGATGAAAGAACTCAGCGGGAAATTGATACGAAAATCGATCAAAGAATTATAGAAAAACTGTGCGTAATTGGCAAGGATAGCAAAGATCATTAATAATCCCGCGCATATTAAGATTTCGTTAATAAAAAAATTCCAAAAGTTGAACACTTCCAGATTAATAGAAATTGAATTTGCATAACGTTTTAATTTGGTTTCTATAAAACTGAAGGTATTTAATCGTTAACAAAAATCACGCGTAATTTTTTTATCCGATTAAAATATCATTATATTAACCATTAAATAACCATCCGTTTCAATGTAAGAGCTGTACCGTCAGAAATGGATTATTTTTTCAATAACTAGTAATTTTAAGTACTCCAAAATTTATCTCAGTAAAAAAGTCCGCTTCTAAGATATAATTAACATTGACGGTTATTCCAGAAAATAATCCATTCCTATTAATACTGCTCTTAGTAGTACGCAATTCCTTTTAAGAGGGTATATTATCCCACGTAAGTGTATACCTCTATGTTATCGACTGACTTTTCAAGTGCATGCGTCGTAATGAGAAAAAAATTTTTATTTTTTAACGAATGGTTATAATAATATTTTGACAGGATGGAATAATTTCGCGTGATTTTGCGATAATGATTCGATATATTCATTTCTGTAAAAACGGTATTAAAACACTGTGTAAATTTTATTTTCTACCGATCTAGAAGTGTTCGATTTAAAAAATTTTTTATTCAAAAAAATTAAATTGCGCGGAATTATTAATGAGTTTTATGACTCTTTCCAACCACGCGCAGTTTTTCTATAATTTTTAGGGTCAACTCACGCGTCGATTTCTCGCCGAGTTTCTTTATTCGAGATGTTTTTTTTGTTAAAAAACAAAAGGCACCTCACTTTTGGAGCGCATACGTTTACGAAAGAAAAATCGCAAGGAAATAGGATTCACATAGACTTGAAGCATCAAATCATGCTCATTGATTGATTTGTCGGCGGTTTATCTAGACGAATTAGCAAAACTGTAGCGACACTTGGAGGGAAAAAATTCACGGGTTAAGCTTCTTCGTGTACTCCAGCAACTTCGCACAGCTGCCGTATTTTGTCAAAAAAGCTTGAACACCAGAAAAAATTCATCTTATAGTTCAAAGAATCATTGAAGCAATTACGGTGGAATGAAAACAAAAAGAACTAATTTGTTTGCAACATCCATCTCCGAAGAAAAACATCATTTTGTCAATGACTCATCCGATTACTTTTGGATTTAACGTAAAACATTGAAAAGCATTTGAACTTAATAATTTTTCGTAAATTTCTGAACATACCTATTACTTAAATGTTTAATTTCCAAAATAGAACACTATGTTCGCAGTGAATTGTCTTTCAGAAATACTAATTTGTTTTAGTTTACCAACAGCAATAAGCTACTGTTAGTATCGTTAAGTGATGCTTCTTATTCTCGTTTACGGCACAAGGGAGGAGGTGCTTGCTCAAAATGGCAAGGGCCGGAGCGAAGCAGCGATACGCGATTTCTGCCGTACATCCGGGTCGTCGTCTTTCATATCCTCCCACGGCGCAGGCTGTCGTTGACGACGCCCTTCGATTGTGCCGGCTTACGGGTTACTTAGGGAGACGGATCGCCTCCACTCCCATTTCTGAGCTCATACCTCTAAGTTCAGTTTTTCAAATTGCAGGCTCTGCTTGCGCCTCGTTGCTGACAGGACCTGCTGGACGGGTGAGAGATTGCACATTAGGGGTAGCCCTACTAATGTCATTTAAGTTAGATTTGCATTCGTTTAGCAATGACAATTCGCTTTATCGATCACTTATCGTACGATTATTATTCAATTGCAAACTCTGACGTCCTGGCCTACTTAAATATCTCACAGTTCTACCCGTACAGCAATAATTCTTGGAATTTCAAAACATATCAGCGACGCTACAATATTTAAAGCCAACAATGTTTCTTTAATTTTCTTTACAATTCTCCAGATTGCAACTATACGTTATTCTACAGACTTAATCTCGTAAAAATTATGCTTTAATTATTTAAAAAGATCTATAATACGCACTTTTGTTTTTTACTATCACTTTCTAATCGTCGTCACTGGAGTCATCTTTGATTTTAGCACAAACTCCTCCGATGAAATCCTGCGGATCTTGCTTTGCAGGCGACGACGACTTCTCTTCTTTCTTTATTCTACGCTTATTCTTGGGCAATGATCGTCGCATCAGCGTTCGGCGTTTTGGTTCTTTCGTCTGTTCCATGATTCTCCGTAACGCAGCTAGAAGTCGGTGCATGAGCTCGAACTTCGAAAAAAGAATGACAATTATTTGTCTAGAAATTCACTACTTCCAACATGAAAATTTGATTATTATGAATTAATTTGCGCTTTTTTAAAAACAAATAAATAAGACTAATCCAAATTTTTATAAGAATAAATAATTTAGTAAAGTTTCCAAACAATTAACTTGATACAATCGCATCGCGCAGCTGCGAAAGAAAGTTATTTGTGTAAATAAGTGTTTTCTCATGTACGTAATGCTAACGGGAAGTGCGAATTAGCGGGACACCTGTCTAAAATATAGGCTTCGTTTAATTACGGGCCTTTTCTCTCGTCAAATGGCCTAATGAAAATAATTGTCTCCTGCGGGTGTTTCGCGATCTAGAAAAGCGGAGAGCAGGCGACAGGAAAAAATAAGGCGCGAGGCCGTCCACCGTGAATTTGGCGCGAATCGAATGCGAAAATGCTGATCGTGGAGAGCGAGCGGATGGCGACACCCACCTTCTGGGCAGCCTCCTTGGCCTCGCGGCTCTCCTTCATCTCCTGCCTAAAGCCATCGCGCTCGCAAATCGCCACGAGGTTCGGCGGCAGGCCGTCGAGATCGGCGCTCAGCCTTTCGTAGACGCTCTCGACGGCGTGCGCCATGGCCAGCGGCTCGAGGCCAGCCTCGTTCGCCTCCACGCAGCTCTCGTAGGCCTCTTCCACGAGGACGCGCGCTCTCAGGGCCTCCTCCGAGCAGATCAGCGCGCGGAACTGGCGCTGCATCAGGCGACTCGCTTTGCGCTCCAGACGCGCGGCTCGACGCTCCTCAATCTCGATGGATTTCTGCGAGACGATTTCCCATCCATCCGTTTCTCAAAGCCAACTCCCGAGCCTTGTCGGCCCTCCCCTCCACCCGTACGAGTACCTCGAGCTGCTCGATGTCGTCGAGCACGTCGTTGATCTCGTGGTTGACCTGCACCTCGGCAACCTCGATGCGAGCAACCATATCGGCCATCGGCCCGTTCAGAGACTCCAGGAGAATCAGGGCGTTGAGGTTTTGCAGCTCGATGTCGCGAAACAGCTTGAGCAGGTCGTTGGCTTCCGACAAGCCCAATTCGCTTGGCTCCGTGGCCGCCGATTTCGAGAGCCCAACGGCCTCCTTCTCGAAAGTAGCTGTGCGGAAGTAAGAGTCGTAAAGCCGTCAAATTGACGCGAAATAAAAAAAAAAAAAGGAACTTGCGCCACCTTGCAAAAGTCTGCAATTCGACGCACAACGGGCTTTGCCATTCGCTTTGCCGCTTTTCTTCGGTCTTTACAATAAATCTTGCATCGCACCTTTGAGCGCCACGCTCCTTTAATCGTCTTGTGGCATTGTTCGCGTTTCGAAAATCTTTTGACGCTCGCGAGTGGTTTCTTGAGAAACACGAGAAACACTCGAAGAGCATTTTCAAGTGTCCGGCCAAAGGAATTTTGCGAAGAAAAACGCGCGACGGGCGGAAAGTTGGACAATGTTGGCGTTTCTAAAGAGCGTACCGACGCTCGTGTCCCGGGGTCAAATCATTAATAAGGAAATGATTAATAATTTCACACGTACCGATCAGCGAATCCAAGGATGTGGCGTTTCCCAAATCCATGAAACTGGCCGTCGGTCGGTCGGTCTCGTCGGCCCGAAACGAGGCTTCGTCGACCGCTTCTCGGTCGGCAGCTTGCGCTCCGTCGTCGGCGTCGGCGAGGCTACCGAGCGGCGACAGCTGGACGAGAAAGCGATGACAGGCGCGCACCGTCCGCCATGCCTCTTCCCAGTGGTAGACCTCGAGACGGGCATGGCCGTAGCGCCGCGACAATTCGTCCCTGCGAGCGCTCAGCTCGGCGGTCAGCGCGAGCTCGGCCTCGGCGAGGTTCAGAACTCGCATGCTCTCCTCGTGGTCTCGCGACAGGAATTCCTCCAGCGCGCTCGCGCACTCCTTGTACTCTTGCTGTTGATCAATTCCGAAAGAATGTACATGTTCGCAGTTTGGTAACGTCGTCCGTCAACGAGGCACGCGTCGAATTTTTCGGAGAGAAAGTCGCGGTGGCTATCGACGATAGCGTATCGCGAAAAATGATAGCGACGGTCGTTCGTCCGGAGCGATTCGTCCTCGCGTATACCTTGAGCTGCAGGTACTTCTTGTGTTCGACGTCGAGCTGCTGCTCGAGCTGGATGCAGCCGTCGCGCTTTCGGCCGACGAGCAGTCGCCAGGTGGACAGCAGCCTCGTGTCGCGCACGTAGCGCGACTTGGCGAAGGCGGCCGACGCGTGGCTCGCGCGGCCGATCTCCCCGAGCAGGTCGGCGCCGACGTCGCGCTTTCGCGCGTCCGCGGCCTCGCCGGGCGCGCCATCGTCGACCTGTAAGCCCACGCGGATGAGAGTGGCGTACGACGGCGCCGCGGCGCTCGCTGCTCACCCATGTGTGCCGGACGCGCCACGCGTCGGGGGGCCGCGGCGCGTTCTTGCGATAGTGCCAGTAGGCCAGTGGCCGAGCATCGCCCGGCAGCCAGCTGGGCTTGGCGCACTTCTCCGACGACTTGGGTCTGCTACCAACGACAACACAGTAGCAGTGGTCGCCGCGCAGCGCGCGCCAGTCGAAGCGTTCGCAGGCAGTGGGCCTTTACCTGTCGTCGTCCCGGTCCTCCTTGGCGCTGATCATGACGCGCCAGCCAGCCGATGGCGGATCGATTCGGGCGCCGCGTGGACGCAATGTAGAGCGAGTCGGTGGCACGACGTGGTCTCCCCTCCGGCCGGCGTCCAGATTATCCGGAGCGTGGTCTCGCGTGGTCGCGCTCCGCTGGGCCGGCTCTTCCTCGTTTCGCGCTCGAGAGCGACGCCGTCCGCTTTCGAGCGCGCACCCACTCCGAGCGCGGCACGGCTGCTCGAGGTTATCCGATTGTTGGTTCGGTTGCCACGGTGCCGAGCCGAGTTTGAACTTGCGCCTCGCCCTTCTCGACTAGAGCTCGCCGTCCGCGCTACTTGTCCCGCGGCGACGACGGTGACGCCTGCCGAGGACCAGCCTGCTCCCGGCACAACTCGCCCTCGACTTTGCGCGTCAATTTGGAAAAGTCGAAGCGAGGCGTAAGAGACTGGCTTTCGAATCGGAAGGAAAATTCCGAAACGATACGCGAATTTTGCGGAGTACGAGCGTGACGCGCTTCCAAGGACGAACGGCGCGCGGAGAAATTTTCTTGCGCGCGGCTCCAATTTCGATTTGGTTAACTTTGGCGAAACGACTCGACTGGCTGCCGCTCGACTGTGCCGAGCTGTATTGCGCCCGCTCGCGGGACCACGCGGACAACGATTTTCTCGTATACGGATATGGCGACGACAGTCGAGGACATCCGCGAACGACGAAAATCCATCGGTCGACCGGCGAGAAAATTCAGGACCGATATCGCGACGAGGCGCGCGTCGGAGGCGGCGAGGAGCGTCAAAATTAGAGCGTCGCTAACGAGCACAGAGCCGCCGCAAAACGTCAAAGCGGAGAGGAGGAGGCAGATTGGATAGAAGGAGGCAAAAGGACACGCTCTCGCCGCCGACGATCGCGCGGAGCGGATCCCACTTTCATTGTTGTTTCATCCGGCGAGCCGAGAGCTGCGCGTTACACTTTCCCAGTGCGAAGCCTTGCTGCACTCGCGCTCCCGTCGCTCTTCTCTCCCCATCAGAGAAAGTCTCGAGCTAATCCTCCTCTTTCCTAATTTTTCTTTTTCCTCGGACGTTCGCGGGTATTTTCCGAGTGCGCGGGCTCGTCGAGCGCTGGTCACGCGCGCGTCCTTCGCACACCTGTTGTTCGGATAGACTTCGTCTTCGTTCGTTTTCCGAGTGAGACTTGCGCGAGGCGCAAACTCGCTTTCGTACGGAAGCTTTCAGTGAGTTCCGAAGAATCGAGGCTTCTGCTGCAAGCTTGGCTGTCTTCAGTTATCTGTGGTAACTATTTCAGATTCACAAGCGATGTCATTGAAAAGCGATTCATCCGCGTCGTGTATAGTCCAAAACGAAACTTGGTTGCGATCGCCATTGCTTGGCGAATTTGAATGAGCGAAGCTGGTTCCGCGAGTTTTCGATGTTAACGACGCATTAAATTGAACTGGACAACTAATAAATAGAAAACCAACTTTCTAATTCCAGAACTGTCTTGGAATTCTTCGGAAGAGCAATTCTGTATAGCACCAGTAAAGCATTGAAAATATACGTGCACGCAGAACTGTTACAGCAAAAAGTCGCGTGTATTCGTCAATTAACGCTCGGCAGAACGAAAAAATATGATCGGGTTTGCGAGACAAGTCCGTTGCGAAAGGTGCCTACGTAATTGACTCGTTATCGGACAAAAAAAACATGAATAATGTAAGCGCCGCCAACAATCGCATCGCGCGCGGAGTGCCGATCTTCGGCGAAAGGATAGAGCGCAACGCACGCATATGAATGGGATTAGGCGCGAAGTGACCTGTAACAAATGACTGCTACGCAGATTCCGAAACGCAACACGGCGTCAGTGTCGATCGCGACGGCCGATAGCTTCCGCAATAAGAGGCAGGAGGAGGATCGCCCCGACGACCGGAGTGCAGCCGAATGCGAGCCGAGCCCCGTCGGCGGCGCGAGGACCAGCGAGCCGCGTAAGACTCCCTCGGGGTCTTGGTGGTGGCGCACCGCCCCGGGCGTCGAAAGGCCGGCGAGAGCGCGGATATGTCATGCATCCTGCGCGTACAGCCCAAGCCCCTGTCGCGGACTCGCAACTACACTGAACCGATTCGATCCTCGCGGCCACCGACTGCTCCCGTACCGCGAGGTCGCGCGATCGACGCGCGTCATGGTGAGTACGCCGCGCTGGTCAACGAAGACCGTCCGGAGTCGAAGTTGACGACGCGCGCGAGCGCCGAGCCGAGCTCTCTCGCGCTCGCTAAGTCGCGTTCGACGGTCAGCTTTCAGCTAGAAAGGCCACGACGGCGATGCCGAGCGGACCGAGCACGCTGCTGGTGCTGTGGCTGCTGGTGCTCGGCGGTGAATGCCGCTGCGGCGAGCGGCTGGAGCGAGCGCTGGACCTGATGCAGCAGCGCGGCAGCTCGGCCAGACGACGCTACGACAGCGAGGACGCGGACACGGTCTACCACGAGAGGCTGCGCTCCGCGCCCATCGACGTAACCGTCACGAAGGTCGTCGTCGAGGTACGTCGCGCGCAGCGTCGCCCGCGCCGCCCGTGAGCACGCTCGAACGAACGCAGCGCGGATGCTTGCAGATCCCGCACGGACCGTCCAGCAGCGGCGCCACCGCCAACGGCCGCGACGCCGCGGGCTGGGCCACGGTGGAGCGCTGCGCCTACGAGCCGAGCAGCAACTCGGTGCGCACTCGCGTGGCGTTCAACGAGCTCGCGGTCACGGGCCTCGTGCAGCTGGTCGTGCGAGAGCCCGACTCCCCGCCGGGCGCCCGTGCCGATCGCCACTTGCCGGCCGAGTCGTGCCGCATGAGCTTGCGCCTCCGGCGCGCCGGCATGGACTTCTACACGAGTCCGATCGCGCGCGGACGCGGGCAGATGCGCATACGCACCGAGTCGAGCTTCCTAGAGCCCCGCTTCGCCTCGATTTACGCCTACGGCTGTCGCGCGGCGGTCGCCCCGCAGGTGGCGCAGACCTCGTACGACCGGGTCGAGTCCGAGCCCAGGAAGAGGGAGCTGGACAAGGATGTGCTTTCGGTGAGCGCGTTCGCCCGCGATATCGCTTGGAGGCGGCAGGCTGGCTGTGACCGATGGGATGTACGTCCGCAGGAGCTGAATCTCCCGTTGAACTTCACGTCGCAGGAGGCGAAAAACATCGTGGAGGAGGAGGACTTGATCAAGGAGGAGAATCGGCTTGGCGCCTCGGTCGCCGCCACGCCGCTGGGCTTCTCCAACGACGCCTTGCTCGACTCGCTCTGGCGCTCGCGCGCCGACATCGCTCGCGAGATGGAGGACGTGTTTCTCAGGAGCGCTAGCCAAGCCATCACCCATTACATTGAACGACAACTTCATCCCGCTATCAAGGAGACTCTCATGCTGTCTATGGGTTTCACCATCAGTTACGGATGACACACGACATCGGAAAATTTTTAATTCGATTTGTTTTTCATTGTTTCGGGCGATGTTTATTTATTGAGGCTTTTCGAGCTTAACTGCCTTTACTATTCTCGATTCCTTTCACTTGACTGTGCTTCCAAAGTAGGAAATAGAATTGCATTTTCCCTTCATTATTATTTTAACAAATATTAGTCTTCCTCTGCCGTAGATATAGCATAATGCATTGCATTATGTTTTTTTATACGCAAGCAAAACCTACAACAAAATACATATATTTTTTTCTTCTCCAATAATATCATAACTAGAAAATAATGTCGTCGTTGATGATTGCAAATATGTTTTATTCAAAAAACTTCATTCATGCTTTTTAATCAAACTGTACAAATTAAAGAACGAATAAAATAATCTTGACTGTATACAACTAGCTGTAACGTTTGACGTCATATTTTTTACATTCATAAACAAAGTAAATGTACAGATAAGGTAAATATTTTTTCAAAGTATTATTGTGTGAATTGATATAATTTTTCGCTTAGTAGGAATTTCACACCGATTCGTAGACATTATTTACATGATAATAATTGATAATTTGACAATGAAAATTGTGTAACAACTTGCCACACTCAAATTACCAAAAAGATCTAATTCAAACCAGTGATTTCTGTCAAAGTCTATTGCACGTCTGTAAATTTGCTTTGCTTATAAGTTCTTAAAATATAAACAGGCGGCAAGACATATGTCTGTCGAGTTTCCCTTCAATTTTGGGATCACAAAACTCACTCATTAATGACTGAACATTATCACATAGAAAATAGAATTTCTATTATTTCTTAGCAGATATATGCATACTTCAAAAACTCTTTATTCTTCTATTCCACTCGTTATTCTAATGTAGAAACTTTGACAGTACTCCGTATCTCCAACTAAAGTAACGAAAATATAATTGCGGCAATTAAAAATTAAGCTGATTAAATGATTTCTGGACTTGAATGACCAAGCAAGGCTTTGTACAATCTCAAGAATCAAGAGAAAAAGAGATATCCACCCTCATCTCCACTTTGCATTTCGAATGACGGCGACACACATCTTTGCGTATAAGAGCTTATCGACATCTCGTAAAATTCATTTCTTTTTCAAACATTATTGATTGTTGGCGTAAAATTTTGATACGATACGAATTGATCAGTTGATTATTTCATATTTTTATACAATAATTAAGCATCTTGATACAATACTTATTTGAAAACTCGAATGAAAATTTCAATTAAATTTACATATTGTGGTGTTTTCATTTCACAGGTGAATTTGAGTATTCATTTACAATAATATAGTAAAATCATTTACTGAAAATTATTGAAGTTAAGTTTACTGATGCCAAGCAAAAGCTTGAAATAATAATTCCACGAAAACTTCCCCGTGTGTATTCAGACGAAGAAATAGAAAGGTACACTCTAATAACTTAAACTAATGATCTGAAAGCACAAAGCAATGGAGGAGAGAAAAAATAAAGACCTACTAATACTCATGATTTTCTCACTAAACATTTCTTTCTTTGTTTTTTCTTACAAATAGTAATACAACACAATAAAAAATCCTTACGTTCGATTTTTGAATATCCTCTTTTGTACAATGTAAATGCCTAGCAATATACCAATAATATTTGAAGTGCACTCGACAACAGGGAATCGGTCAAGTGGTAACCCTATGAATTTCATTGATTTATTGGAGATTGATAAATTCGTTATTATGTACAATGGCTTAATTGATTCCAGGGCTCGTTTTATCAACTCAGCTATGGTTGTGTACGTTTGTCTCCCTAGAAAACGCAGATCAGGATAAGAATAACGGCACATTGAAGGCCATTCTTATATTTCGTACATATATCAACTCCTTGTGTTGGAATATCATCAATGGATTTTTGTCGTGTATGTGCCTTGTTGCATCTCAAACGCGCGACGTAGGGTAACTGTACCAGTACCAGAACAGGCACCAGAGCATGGAAATTTGAACTTAGCGCTTTTTGTTGTTTTTAAAATGCTTACTTTATTTGCATGTTGTATCTTACATGTACTTAAAAAAATTATTAAGACAGAGAAATACCTTGTAAATGAACTCGAAGCGAGATTGAGGTTCAGTCTTAACCTTTACTTCGAAACGTATTTATTAGATCATGACTTTTGTTTGTTTATATTCTTTCGTCATTTGTTCATTGACTGGTGCAGTTACCCTAAAATGTACAAAACGAGATCGCCGTCGTCTCTCCGCGAGGGCTTGTTTCCCGCACGTCGATTCATCTAGCCGCATGAGCAGCAGCAGAGATGGGCGAGTGTGACTGCGCCAAGGACAGCGCTGGAGGTGTAACCGAAGCTCTTGGTCAAGGCTGACTCTGGTGAAAAGTATTGGGAAGATGAGGCCTGCCTTCCAGCTTCGAATACTCCAAGTGGAACTCTTTGGGAACCTTTCTCCAGTTGATCACGTCGAAATAGTAATAAGTACCGCGCTCGTACGTCGAAGTTTTCTCGACAAGACCCATTCCCGGGGCTTGCGTTATCCACACTTTCTCTTCCGTATGATATCGCCATTCCCGTGTGTACCTGCACCAACGAAAAATTATCATACGTTATTCACATTAATCACCATTATTATTTCAAATAAAAATACAACAAATATAATTACAGTTCTGCTGCAGCTGCTAGTTGTAGTACATCACCTGCATTGGTATAAAACATGTAAAACAACAGATCGTCCTTATATCGATTTAACTTTACAGGCGCCAATTTGTCCCTACAGTTGGTTTGAAAGATCATATTTATATAGAAAATACATTTCTCATTTTAGATGCGCCAAAGCGTTCCTCGAATCATCAAGTTACCTGATGGTCGCATTGATGAGATACTCTGGTGGAACATTATAGTCTATATCCTGTGGTCGACAAGGCGCTTCTGCCCAGGGTCCGCCGAAATTTTGATGAAGATTATCAGGCGAATTAAGATTAAGCCCTAGCGCCGTAAGATCTTGTCCTAATGCTAATGTAACGAGATTGGGATCTGTTTCCGCTGCTCTGATAAATGTCAACAATCCCACCATTCCAAATTGATCTTTCACCATTGTACCAGGTATATTTGTTACTTTACCTAAAAGAGAGAGATTTGATTGAGAAAGTTAATTATAGAGATCTTACATAGATAATTTCAGTTGCTATCAATTGCAAAAATATCTATGTTACAACTATACTGACCATCAGGTGATGTTTGAATGCCTTTTTTGGCAATTTGAGACTTTTCCGAATTGACAGACCTATTTGCTTGTAGCACATCAGGACTGAGCTCTGGACCTAAGCCTACAGACATTCCTTTGTCACCAGGTATGATACTTCCTCCTGGCGATGGACCATCCCTACTTTGGGTTCCTGGTAGCGCTGGAAAATCTTCTGAGCTCATTGTAAATTCACTTGATTCAGACGTTGGTTGCTTTACCATTCCAACTGTGATCATAATGATTATATTAAAAACTGGACAATAGTTGTACACCCACCGACAGTGGATTCTGCACAAAGGTTTTAAATTTGACTGCTGACGACAAAGTAAATACAGATTTTGAAATTATCGCCAGAGATTTCACTCTTGATTATTTGGTTAATAAAAAAGAGATAGATAGGTAATCGATAATATTTGAATCTATATTTATTTTGACTTCAGCAGTAAAATTAAAAACGTTCATGCAGAATAAATTGCCGATGGATGTATATCTAAGATATGAACACACAAAGAACAGCATATTGAATATCAGTTGAAAACTGATCATTCATCAATCAACAGAATTGAAGTGAAAATACAATAACCAATACCTACCATAAGGTTGTTTTCCAGGCATTGGGCTAGGTTGAGGCATTGAAGAGTCACCTTGGCCTCTATTAGTTAGAGAAGGAAACTCAGAGAGATCCAGAAGTGGTGGTGTACTTGTGTCTCCACCACTTCCACCTGTACCACTACCAAATGACGAATGAAAATTATTGATACCTTGAGATCCATAACTACGATTTTGTGGTATTCCAAAGCCGCCCATTCCACCCATTAGATTAGCATTCCTAGTAACAAATAATGAATATGCATATGGTTTTTCTTATTCCATACAATTTCAATATCATAATTATATTTTCATTGAGGATCATAACCAATCATGTTCTCAAATGAATTTTTGATACAAAAAAATTTTGCTTTTAGAAGAGACAGCAGTTTTAGGATTTCGTCACCAGTTATATTGAAAATATTCTGGACGGAAACTAATAATGAATATTTAAAATACTTTTAAGTGATTTTGTACACAAGAAGTCAAAAGTTACACTACATTAGTTTACAAATTTGTGGACCTAAATTTCCGAGAGATGGCGTCTAAATGACTTCCGTAAAACGAAAATCTGCTACCTATCAAGGGTTGCTGTAGCGACCTGTGGCATTAATGCCATAGGTGCAGTTTACGCAACTCTATGTACAAAATGATTTCGACGTCTGCACATTTTTATTTTACTATTATACTGCAGTATCTATCATCGTTGCTATTAATAGACTATAACTTAAAAATATATACTAATAAGAAAACGATTTTTTAAATATTTAAAGACTCATCATCATTTAGTATTATTACGCAACGGTGTGCTCAACAGAAAGTATGATGTTTAATTAAATTCATTCATGAAAATTGAAAATACATGATTGTTTACTTTGATCAATAAAATAATTTTTATTCTGCCCTGATAGAATAAGGAGGGGGCAAAACAAGACTCGGAAAATTAAAAATTACAGCAAAAAAAGGTAGAAAGAAGACAACTCACCCTAAACCCGGCATATTTCGTCTATCACCCGTAAAAGTTCTCTGTCCAAAAAGATTTCGACTGTTCATAGGCGACAGCTGCTGCTGCTGTTGTTGCTGTTGTTGCTGCTGATGATTGGTTGTCGGTTGACCAGCACCGACGACCGCCGCAGCCGCACCCGGGTGATAGAGATTCGGTCCGATGACCGCTGAATTGGCAGCAGCCGCGCTGCCCGTGGATGAGCCGGAAAACATGCCGGACGTTGGAGTGACATGACCCGCCAGGGTCGAGCTCAATGTGCTACCACCACCGGCGCGCGACGCTAAACTTGCATTAGCTATACTCCTCGGTGGCTGCTCGAAATTCAGATTTGCCATTTGATGACTCCACAGTCTTGCGTCTTCTTGCTCTCCGTTCTGTGATGCACAAGATTTGATTATTACACAATGCCAACGATTGTGCTACCGAGCGTTTGTACCGAAGAATTATTTATATGTGGTAAAATAATGGTGCACGAGCTTAGAAATAAGGGATGAAGGACCATATGAAAAACATGCGCTATACATGACCGTCTGAATAAGGAAAAAAGAACGCTTCCCTGTGTACAATCTACCTGCGCTTTCCCGAAAGTCTGGGACCCTTGTGACGTCACCAGACATGTCTACACTAGCATCCGTCTCTCCCACGTACCGACACAAATGTTTATTCTAAAATCTTTGGGGGATAGTTTTCATTCAGTCTGACTTTAATTGTCTAGACAACGTAATTTGATATAACTGTACAAGGATTAAATATAATTTGCTCTTAGATATTCACGGTAGCTCCAACTTCACGTTTGATTATGTATTTAGAAGCTATGTAGCGTATGTTTAGATTGGATTCGACTGGAAAAACAGATCCAATTTCAACGTAAGGCTATTGCGAAAGCGGCGGTAAAGAGTTCAAACAAAAAGTACGTGTTGCATCATTCCAAAGCTATATCCGAGGTTTCATTAACGCTGAATATCTTTAAGAAACGAATAAACTGCCGTTCTACGATATCTGTTGCTGGAAACGATGCGCTTTGAGATCAGTTTGATGTACTGCGCTATTTCAGTGAGCGATCTGGACAGCACACCATTCTGATTTTCATTTACTGCTTAAAAACCGATATTGCACTGAATTTACTAAAATATAAACTCAAAATATGTTAACAAGACGCAATGCGTATACATTTGTATGTATACTGTAAACAGATCACAAGTAGCTTGATATTAATAACAACTGGAGCATCTGTAATTGAAAGTGATTCTTATCTTTTCATACAAATAACACTGCACGAGAATGATGATTTCTCAAGCTAAGATATCGGACTTCGAACTAACTTAAGGGACTTTCAAATCAAGCAACTAATACTCTTCAAATAAAAATCACAACAAACAGATCATAAAGTTACAAAATAAAAATGTACCAATAAAAAACAGATGTTTGACATGTTAAATATCTCGACGTAAGTTATTTTCAGCGTCTACTCGCTGGGCCAGGTTAACAAGATATCATTCAATAAGAAGCAGTACGTTACAGTAAATTACTTCATAAAAAACAGAGGTCCTACCGTTCATCTATACTTGCAAGCATCTATCTTTCATTTGCACGGCATATACGCATTAAAATAGCCATCATAACCAACAAAAAAATATCCAAAGTACACAAAGAACATACAAAAAATTCACGAGAATGTCTTGCTCTGAATGTGCACTATTACCTCGAGAGAAAAATAAAAACTATAGACAGGTGCAACGTGGGCTACGGTTTCCTAAATTTCACCCATACACATAAAAACAAATATTTTTGTTTTTGTTTTCGATCGCAGCGCATATCAATCAAACGTTATCAATTTGGAGAATGATTCTTGTTTTTGGCAACGCAAATGAATTTGACTCCCTCCCTCTCCCTCACTAATTCGCGAGCAATAACAAATGTGAAAACGCACACAGAACATGACCTCGAAAAGACGAAACGTACCTTTAGGGTTTACTCGACATGCCAGGATGACACACTTGCACGTATACACTTTGCACAGCTTCGGACTGATGCAGGTAGATAATTCGACTAGATTAGACGATAAATCCAGGATATCCAGTAGGACGTCGATGTAAGTAGTTGGTTGACGAAATGGTTGAACTAGAGTCTATCGGATGATCGCCGCGTCAAAGTGTTGCTCAACCCCAGAGCAAGGGCTTTAGAGCACGACGGCGACGGCGAAGCTGACTCGACGGTTGCTGATATATTTCGAAGCACTACTTAATTCATAAGTCCTCAGGACGTAGCCGTCTAACTCTCTGCTTTCCGTAGGTTTACGATGCGCAGCTGCTGCTTCTGCTGCTGCGTCCGAAAAATACACTTACACACACAACGGAGTCTCACTTGCTGTTCGAGAGTGAGACCAGCTCAAGCTACGAAAGAGACAGAGCTGTACGCGGGGCTCCCTTTGTGAAGAGCTCGTGTGTGTATGTGGTATGAGAGAAAAAGAGAGAGAGAGAGAGAGAGCTCTACTTATATGAGTGAATTTTCGAGGACGACGGAGATTATCTAGCGACACAAAGTAGTAGTATCGTAATTAGTAATATCCTTGTGCTGTTATAATGCTAATAAATTCTCCTTTTTCTCCTGTAGATGGACGCCATGCACACTGTCTAGTAACTTCTTTGCGAGTTCGTTCTATCCACGGTAGAGGACAGAATCCTATAGCTGTGAGATGATTGCGCACCACTGCTCGTTCCAATGACCAGTCTGCTGTTTCTCTCTCTCTCCCTCACTCTTTCTCTTTTTCTCTCTCTCTCTCTCTCTCTCTCTCTCTCTCTCTCTCTCTCTCTCGTATTTTGGCCACAAATTGCACTGCGCAAACGCGCGTTTGAGATAGTTCTTTTTCAGAGTATGCAAGTTATCCTTTACATTTCAATTTCTTTTACTCTTTTCTTGAATAATCAACTTAATCGATTCTGCACCTCTTAATCAACAGAAACTTTAGTAGATGGTTTTTGTGCGTTCCCGATTTTTAAGAAAAACATACCCCCATATTTAACATGAGCCGATATTCAGTTTCATTGAACTATTAAATAAAAATATAATAAGTGTAATCAATTCTGCGTTCATTGCTGAATAAACCCGCATAATCTTGTTGTTGCTAGAATATAAAGTTCATTAAATAATTAATAAAAGAAGAAATGTCAATGACTGTCATCCAACTATTGAGCGCTATATGTACTCAGTCAATAATTCAGAGCATTATTCTGGTCACAGACGAGGTAATTAAGGATCGAGAAATAATGTATAAATATATATATATACGCTTACCGACATACCTTATACATTATACTATTCTGATTCAGTTTTGAACTTATTGTAAATAAAACAGTCATCTACCATTTCTTCCAAGTTAACCTGAATGGTGAATGACTGAAATACATATTTACATAAAACTTTAAACTGGAAGGGAATAATATAATATTCAGAAATGAGTGTTGACCTTTTAGTCTGGTTATTACTCGTGTACCGCGGTATGGTAAGAGCTACTAATGAAAAGTATGGCAATTTTCTCATAAAATTATTAATAAACTTAACGTTCAAGAGCTTAAAAAACGATTGTAATTTTGATTGTCGTCCTCCGTATTTGCATTCATTGTAAATACAATTGATTTTATATTACAACAAATAATTTTCGACGCTGAAGAGGCGGGAAAGCAAAACTGTCGGTATATAAACGCACTGTAGTTCTAATTCCAGCGATACAATTTTGTTTTTCCACCGATTGAGCGCCAAAAATGATTATTTATTGAAATTCTAAATCAATGGTATTTACAAAGAATGCAAATATGTCAATAGCAATAGAAATTACAATCGTTATTTTAAACTCTTAAACGTTAAGATTCATCAATAATTTTATAAGAACCATCATACTTTAGCTACGCGGAAAAATTCGATTTCCACCTATTTCGTATTCACGAATCGAAAATGGGAAATGTTTACAAATATTAGAGACGATTAAAGCAATTTATATCGTTTTCCCTTTTTTATCAACAATTTCCCTTGAAAACCCAGGAGCTAACTTCGCAGTCCTGATCAGTCGGCGGCGCAGTCACCGCAGTTTTAAAATTAAAACGCGAAATAGTAACCTTAAATTTATTGTCATTAGTGACTGTATATATATATATATATATATATATCTTGTTAGAAGTTAGAATTCTGTCAATTACTTCAATTAAAGTCAGATTTTCTATTTTAAAATGACTTTAAAATCTCTATTAAGACCCATTTTCTACCAAAATTATGATTTACTGAAAAAGCGAACCTTCAAAAGCTGTTCTGTCATTCAAAACAAAGTAAATATTGCCAAGGAAGAAGAAGACAAAACGACACATTTTGGATTCAAAACTGTGAAAGAATCTGAGAAAACCAAAGAAGGTATGAAAAATTAAATTATTATATTTGTAATCATAAAAAAGTTGAAAATGTAATTATTACAATGATAATCTACTGCAGTATATTCAGTATTTGAAAATGTAGCTAATTCGTATGATCAAATGAATGACGCTATGAGTTTTGGTATTCATAGAGTGTGGAAAGATCTCTTCATTGAAAGATTTGCTCCAGAACATGGCTGTCGTCTTTTAGATTGCGCTGGTGGAACTGGAGATATAACATTTAGATATCTTAAATATTTACAAAATAAACCCAATCCTAAATCTATCAAAAGCCATGTTACAGTCTTTGATATAAACTCAAATATGCTTGATGTTGGACAAGTTAGAGCTAAACGTCAAGGATTTACCAAAGAGAGAGGTCATGACATAACATGGGTTCAAGGAGATGCTGAATCTCTTCCTTTTGAAAATGATACTTTCACAGCTTATACTATTGCTTTTGGAATTAGGAATGTGACTCGAGTTGATAAGGTATGAATCAATAAGATTAAATAGAAAGCATGTCAATTCAACGTGATTCTCTATTTTCAGGCAATATCAGAGGCTTACAGAGTATTAAAACCAAATGGAAAATTTCTTTGTTTAGAATTTAGTCATGTTGAAAATGATTTATTGAGATGGTTAGTTATTTATTTTAATCAGCTAGAAACTACAGGTTCATCAAATAATATATATATTTATTAATAATTCATCTATTTTTTAGGGTCTATGATAAATATTCCTTTCAGATTATTCCAGTGCTGGGTACTCTTATTGCTGGTCAATGGCAACCGTATCAATATCTTGTCGAAAGTATTAGGAAATTTCCCAAACAAGAAGAGTTTAAGGTATATGACATAAGTAAATAAAATAAAAAAGAAATAATTTTGTATTTTCAATAACTAATTTTAGTGAGTTTGATGTATTTATAATAATTGATTATAAGTGTAATTATTGAACAAGAATTTTTTTAAACATAATTTTATCTAATTATTAAATAATATACAACTTTGATTTTATTTACAGAAAATGATTTCTGATGCTGGATTCAAAAAAGTGACATATGAAAATTTGACCTTTGGAACAGTTGCCATACACATTGGTCATAAAATATAAAAGAATAGTACATCGCGATACAAGTAGATTCTTGTCTCGTGTGGCGTTTACACCCGAGCGAGGCGAGGGTGGAAAGGTACACGAGACGAGAAACTCTTTCCCGAACATGTGCCGTACCGTATTTTTTTATACGACGTGTGGAAAGTGTGATTTTCAACGCACGTTTTCTACCGAATGTGCGGGAAAGACGCACCTTGCGCACGGAGTGTCGAAAAGATATATCTATAAGAACAAAATGTTATGATTTAAATTATATAAGTTAGGATTTTTCATGTATATAATAGTATCACATGTTTGTTATTTATGCAAGGTCTAAAAAAGTTCGAATAATATATTTAACATATATTATGTGAATAGTTAATAGGCTGTGCACCAAAGATGCAATGATTTTGAAAATAACAATTTCATAGAAATAATATCTGAACTATGTATTATTATATAAATTAAAAAAGCACATATACATGTACATAAAGAAACTGCTGAAATAAATAGGATTAGTTTTTGACACAAATAATGTATGTTATAATATTTCCTGTACAATTCTTATATAAAAATAGATAGGACCTCCAACCAGTCTTATCAATGTAAATTCAATGTAAATTTAGAATAAATAAACTATTCTAAACATTTTTTAAATAATCGAAATAATTCAATACATATTTTCAATTGGTGTAACGTTACTTTTGATAAAATTATTTCAATTTTCATATGAAATTACTCCATAAAAAAGAACATTACTGAAATAGTTGTTGTTGTTATTATTATTATTATTATTATTATTATTATTATCATCATCATACTAAAATATTGTTATTTTTTGTTGTTAGTGTTGTTTCTTTTAAAGTGCAGTGTAATTTCAGCTTATAAAAAAGAAAAATCGAAGGATTTGTATGGTCTTTCTCAAAATGTCTCCTAATGGTAGATGGAAACCTACTGTTACTTTGGAAAGTTTAATTGTATCTGTACAACTATTATCAGCTTATCGAGACCCTGATGACCCATTGATGGCTGACATTTTTGAAGAGTATCTTTTCAAAAAAGAATTTATAAAGAAAGCTAAAAAATTTATCGAAAAATCGAAGAAACTGACTCAAACATGTGAAATTTTATATCATATTTACCAAGTAAAGTTTTATTCTTTAATCATCTTAAATAAATATAATAATTCACCATAAGATTTATTAATAAACTCTTATTTATTGTAATTTACAAAATTAGTTGATGCAATTATATTTAGTACATTTTTGTATGACTATCAAATACGTTTTGTTTTTATTAAATCTTGTTCTTATAGATAAGCGTTTTTTATTGCAATAAATATTTTCAAAATAAAATATCAATATTATCAATTAATCTTAAAATTTTTATTGAATTCCATTTATAAGAAACAACAAGAGTTAACATGCCAACATAATCTTTAAGCAAACCACATACAGGTTTAAAACCAAATTAATTTTATTAGCTGAGCTAGTTAACTAGTCTCGAGTTATAATGGTACTTACATTATCACAAATTCCGCTTTTTACATAAACAGAAGTTTTAGATCAATCTAACAAATTGTCAGTTATTCATCACTGATATATCATAAAATCAAGGATAAAAAATTATTAATCTTACTTGTAAAAAAATAACAATTACAGAACTAAAAATGCCCAAATCATGATTCTTTTTCTTAACTATATGTAGCTTAAAAAATGAATATAACTAAATGTCTTCTTTAAATACTCGCATTTATTACTTAATGATAATGTAAGAGATATAGAAAAACCTTGAGAAACATAAAACCAAATATAGTTTCTATAGAAAAATTAAGTGTTTGAATTATTCGTTTACAATGTTAACACGTTTACAACAATATTTTATCAACTATAATTTGCAGTAAGGATAAATAGATAGATTTTGAGGCACGGAGCAAAAGGCAGTGGATAGCCTATTCTTGTAATTCAAAAAGAAGTACAATATAAGAAATCTTCCAGTGTCTTCGCTTATTTCCAAAAATTGTATAAATTTATCTGAGTATCACAACGGTTTTTTTTGTACGTGTTGTTTCAAAGATAGGAAAGTAGAAAAGTTGTATATGAATTATTTTTTATTGTAAATACGATATGAATTCCAGTTGATATGAGATTTGTTTTCAATAGACTATAGATATGATATGAAATTTGTTATTTGTTTGTCACAGATACCTCCTTTTTATATTAAAATAGACATTTTAATCCTTCGGTATCTCTCAAAATTATATAAAATCGTTTTTAAAAAAAATATTTTTAATGGTATGATGAAAAATTTTTTGCGTTTAAATTTCGAGAATTGACCTACAGATTTTCCTTACCAATGGAATAAGCTTATAGAGAAGCGAACATGACCGATTGACAACAGAGTGCCCAATAATAATAAATACTAATACTGAGTATACGTATAGCATTTTCCCTACATAAAGCGTGTCTTACCACTCTATACCAAAATCGAAATAACCGTTTATCGTTCTTGAAAATTTTCTAAAACGTTATATCTTGAGTGTCCGAACTCAACGAGTTTAAAAAGTTTAAAAATTGGAATGCCTACTATATTATAACAATACTACATCAAATTGCTAAAGCAAGCAATTGTTATTTAATATGTTGCATGTTTTACGTACAATGTGCTGTAAAAAGTTTCTTTTACATTTCGTTTAAACGTTACCTAATAACTTCGTCTCCTTTCTCCACCTATACAATAAAAACATGCATTTGGCATTAAAAAAACACACATGTAACATTCAACAATCAAGAAAATTAATTACACTCAACACATATCACACGTTCCTTGCAACCTTTCCTAATAAATTACATTCATAATAAGCTATCTCTAAATGTTTGCTATTTGCTTGAAACAGCTCACATTGTTAGGAAGACGAAGAATAGATAATTTCCTAAATTCGCATACATAATTCGCTCAAAGCATAAAAAATGCGTATTCGTGTATATAACAATAATACGCTTGAAAGTCATATGTTGCTAAAATTAACTATTTGATATAAAGCTGCGGTGAGTGAACATAATATCACTCAATATATCATCACCGAAGTCATCATCGAGGAGTATGATGAAATGGGCTTATCGCATGACCATATACATGTGTTCCTCTTGTGCCTGCCTTTGAAGTTCTTGCAAAGCCAAATACTGAAGACGCGGCGACATTGTCACGTATTCGGATAAATCTACGGGAATACTGTTTGGCCCGGAAATTTTATCTTCTGGTGTTGGTGTTGCATCTTCTTGAGTACTGGGTGAGGTTGAACGCGTACCACCTTCCGAATCCAATCCATCGTCACTGACACTAAAAAATTAACCATTAAATCATTGCTCTTACCAGTAAATGTAATATCAAAAATCAACCAAAAGTTACCTTCCATTTTGCGTGGACGACGAACCATATCTCTGTCTCGGTGGTAATGGTGGCGGTTGTAGTTTTAATGAGGAATTCAATATGAGTTCCTCAGGATTTTCATAGAGATTTGATGGTACCTTTCGGGTTCTCGTGGAGACGAAATCATCGAGTATCTCCTCATAGATCCCAGAGGCAATGGATATGCCTGATACACGTCTCAGTGACACTTCCTCCAATTCCTCGAGACTAGCGCTGACATTATTCATCGAGGCCGGTTCTGTTTCGTACACATTGTCGATGGCTCGTCTATGCGTCGATGACGTGATTTTCGAAAATCCGTCGAGTGCCGCTGTAAAGACATCAGTCGAATTAATGAGCAAACAATTACAATAATAACAAAGCTGTGGAACATCGACGAATGCTTACTTGGACCGCCAATGATAATCTCATTGAAAATCTTAATCTCACTACCGGACCTTGAATTATAAAGAACACCAAGTCCAGCATCGACAAGATTTGCGGTGATTTTGTGTCTCAATTTCTTGCCGCGAGAACACGTAGCTTCTTGTTGTACGGCTATCCTCAAGTCGCCTTCGCTCAGACTCAAAGGACGTTGATGTTGCTGGTTATGATGATGCCTTTGTCGAGGACCACGTCCTTGAGAGGCGATATCTCGAATCAACCTCGGTCCGTGGAGACAGAATATCTGTAGCTCGCCTACACCACCGCGAAACTCTTTGGTGGTATGTATCACGCAGATACATTTGACGTCTTCCGTGCTGCCGTGGGTTGCTAAGTGTACGTCACTTGTTTCCTTCCACTCGATCGTCTCTACGATCTCGCCGCTGTGAACGTCTTTGACGAAGATCCCCGATCGACTGACCACCAGGTCTCCGTATAGTCCTGAAAATTTAAAGTATGCTAGGCGTTAACACACACACACACACACATTAAGCAACGGATAAGGCAGAAATGATGCCTTGACGTAGCTCGGATGCGAGCTCGCGCTAACTACGAAACCTCCAGCTAACAGATTTATCGTTAAACATGTAACAAGGTCCACACGAGAGGTGGTAAGCTTACCAGTCATCCCGGACGATCTAGAGTGAGCGTTATCGACCATCGACACGGCATAGGTACCCTCCATGAATCTATGCCTCCTCGGCCTGAGCATCTGCCTGATACCAGCCATCCATTGCTGACTCTCGATCTCGGAACTCGCCGCCAGATACAACAGCGGCTTGCGCTCCTTCGCTGGAAATATACCAAACGCATAGGGCTTGGTACGCGATTCCGTGCGGCAAATCACGGCGTTGGCTGGGATTTTGATAATATTGTCCTTGTCATTGGCGTTTGGATTGCTACCGTAACCCTGATCCAGCAGCACTTCGATGCCACGACCCACTCCGAGCTTCCGCACCGTACACCAATGTCGCCGCCACACTTTCCACGGCGCTAAAGTGCGCTTTTTCATTCGCTGGCTCATGTTTCGGCAACTTGCCAGCTTCGCATCCATAAAGCCGCCCAGCTCCGGGTGGTCGTCACCTGCCATTCTTACTGCAGGTAATTGCGTCGGTCTGTAATTTGAAAATGATATACGTATAGCCATTATTATTAAAATTAATTAAACCGATTATTCAGCCTTTCGCACGTCGCGTACGAAGGTGCACTTTACTTTTGCATCTCGCGGTGCATTATTTGCATTGGCGCAACTACGACGTGGAATATTCTCTCTCATTTTTCGCTAATATATTAGTGTTGTATTGTTATACCGAGGCTGCATTGTCAGTCGGGAGACGAACAAGGTATATACTTATTATATTTTCGGACGTATATATTCACGCGTGACGTGAATATTTTATCGCGCTATTATGCACGTCGAAGCCACGGAAGAAAGTTGGCGCCGGGCAAGACAGAAATGTTTAAAAATTAAGATACCAAAGAATTTTCGTGTGCGCATTCTACTAAAAAAAAAAAAAAAAATTGAAAGTCGCGAAGAAAAAAAATCAAACGAATTAAGTCAGCGTGCCTAAAAATATGCGCATGTATATATATAGCAATGTGCAAGCACGTGTACCCCTACATAAGTGTTTTTAAGAGAAGTGCAGTAAAAACACAAGTCTCGCACGCCCGAGGAAATCGGATTTCGCGACGAGCGGACGTACAAGAGAGGAAAAAACGAAACGAAGGAAGGAAGGCGAGAAAGTACGTGCGTGAGATACGCGCTTAAGATAACCGTCATCTCTTTCGTCGGCAGAGGGATTTCTAATATATATAGGGAAGAGGAAGGAAAGAAGGAAAAAAAGGCGTCGTACATATAATACCAACGCATAGGTTTCTTTTGCTGTTTTACCTTATCGGAATAGTATTCGTTCTTTGGGGGCTGCCGTTCCGAAATGGAATAATCGATTGACTTAATTTTTCATTTTTATGGGAATAGCTTTGAGCCGTTCAATAACGTTAAAATGACAATTATGAAATATCGCTGGGATGAAAGAACATCGTATTTATTTCGAAATAACCGTAGAAACTAATTAATTATCCACAAGCGTCTCTCTGGGGAATTTTATTGCATATATGTGTACACAGACAAATCACAACGAAGGCTGCTCACTGCACTTTTTTGTCACACTGATTTTAACGAGTATTTTTAGCACGTATATTTACTTAATCTGATAAGGGAATTTACAAACCTGAACAACAACGATGAAAATAAGCACGACATCTTACTACTCGAAGGCAATTATAGTGATTTAAAAAAATAGAATACTAAAAAATCACGGTGGTAAGAAAATGTAACACACGTATACACCGCGGCAGTTAAAAACTACCTCTCTTTCAGTTGTAAACTGGTTGTGTGATTGCTAAACAGCGGGCTGTAGTCTTCTATCTCTGTCTTCTGTAGACTCTTGACTCTCACCCAATCTCGTACGCACGGCAGCTGCCGTTACACGCTACACACCTTTTTTATTTCACGAAGTAAGTCGTAGGGTAATCCCACATACTTTAATCATCGTGCATCAAACAGAAACAAAGAAAACTCAAACAAAAAAATTACAATTCGTGTAGGCTTGAAAATATATTTGTGCAAAAGGGCACCGAAAATAACGACGAAAGTTGTCGTGCAACTCTGCAGAGTGTCGCACGATGACTAAACTACCCGAGCGAGTCTGCGAATCGAGAGCGCTTCGTTCCCCTGCGGCTTTCTATGGGGGAGAGGGAGAGAGAGAGGGGAATAAAAACCCCCACCTGCTGGATCGATCCACTAAACTCGTATACAGCGCAGGGCCCCACCCTGCAGCAGCCTCAAACTCTCCGCCACCGCCGAAGACCTAGCGGCTACTGCCCTCGACAATATTAGGCTGGGAATGCATTTAGCCCAACATTGTGTCACTCATTATGAGCGCGCCCGCTACTCTTCAGCCGCCGTTACATTATACCCGTCTCTCTCTCTCTCTCTCTCTTTCGATTTGTAACTTTTTTCCTCGGGGTCCTTTCTTCGATTATGTCTTTAAATGACCCTTATTAGCTGTTGACTTGTTTTTCGTGCAATCCTTCTTTTTTTACTCGATTGGATTTCTTTTCTTTTCGACTTCCTGTCGATTAACTTCGAAGAGACAGATACACGGGATTTTATCGGGGATTTTCTTTTTTTTTCGTGGCGGATGCTTCTCTCGAAACCGACAGCTGCTTGAGAAATTTTATCGGTAATAGGCTTTGAGTGTTTGATGATCTTAAAATGCGAAAAGTGCTTGAGCTGCTGGCAAAACGATATCTACAAACTGCAAACATAAACTACGTGATTTTTCTTGTGCCTGTACAAAAGCATTTATTGTTGGTTACTGACATAAAAGCGATATAGAGAGAGAGAGAGAGAGAGACATGTATCAATTATCGTGGAAGTGAATTATAGCTTTCCGTTTTTCTTGCAGCACGTATGACAAAGGGGTTTGGTCGATTGATGAAAAGTGCTACAGTCTACATACGTGTGTATACGACGTGTACTGCAGCCTACTGATATGTAATGGCCGGAGTTGAAATTTATTTGCCCGATCAAACGCTTTATTGCTGACCATCAAATCACACTACTATATTGTGTCTCTCTCTTTCTTCGGGAAAACAGAGTTTCGATACAACGAATATGCATGCACTCGTCGCCAGGAAGTTTCCAATTAAACGTTCTGGCTGACACGCGCGAGCTGGTAAAATTAACGATGCACTCGAAAACCAAACTACGTCAGATGCGCAAATTGCAAGTTAATCGAAACAAAAATTTCTACACCCATGCACCCTCCTCCCCCCAAAATCATTAAAAGCGTCAGCGCAGAACCTTAATAGCCGCGAGCGCGACCCTTTTCAGCGCGCGCGCTTTTGATCTTCCGACTCTGAAATCCGTGCTACGCTAATGGAAATAAAAATTAAAAAAAAAACGAGGGAGAGAGAAAATTGCACTCGAAGTCTGTACTATTACGACGGCCGGGGATCGCATGGAGGTAAAAGAAAATAAAGGGGCGGTTAAAGTGTCTGCATGTAATTTTGGGGTTGCAGGTGCGCGCAGCTGACGCGTGCAGCTTGCAGCGCGCGGCCGCCTTCGTGAAAGTTTGATTTCGCGTTTCCTGTATCACGGGTGTACCGTTGCCAATGCCAAGGACACGCGCGCTTGCCACGGTAACGTTGTTTCGATGCGCGCGAGTACGACCGAGCTCGCGACGTTATACCGAAAAAACATCGAATAGTTAGACGAGCTTGGGGGGGGGGGGGGGCACGTCGAGAGAAAGCTTCTCAAAAAAACAACTCGGTATAGTAAATCTCATATTGTGCCGGAGCCTTCACCTTTTTTACTTGGAGTAAAGAACTGAAATGTCCTCTTGAAAGTCAATTCCAGCGACGGGTTCTGGCAACGCTACGTGCGCACCGTAGCGCCGACGAAAGAGCGAGAAAAGGTAAAGCAGCGGGAAATCCGTCGCCCGTTTACCTGTTTTTATTATATTATATTGTTGCTTGTCTGCCGGCGGGCAGCTTTCACCCAACGAATCCAGCCGAGTGGTCACAACAGGGATCTTCAGCGTATACACACAGGCAGGCAGACATATCAATCGAACGGTACGCCGATGCGTCACACTCGCGCGATCAAACGCGTACGCGACTCGACTGCCGACGCGCGAGCTGTTACGCGATCGTTGCATTGGCGGCAAATCGCCGCGGCTTCTTCCCGGAAAGAGAAAGGTGGAGGGAGTCGATGACTGGCGTTTGTTCTCCAGCCTCGAATGAGAATCGCCACGGCGCGACACTGTACTGGGCTACGCCTGCACGCGCCCAGCCGTGGACGTGCTCCGTTTATCTTGCAGTGTTTAGCGAAGGAGTCAAGAGGCACGAGGGATCGGCATTTCTTTTTTCTTCTTTTTTTTTCATGGGAGCTGTCGGCAATCGCAGTTCCAGTGTGTCGTTGGTCTCTCGGAGAGGATGTTTTGGATTTGAAATTTACATAATTATATACAATACACATGATGGTACGCGGCTACCACATGAGTCAACACTTACAGATTGTAGTATGGGGATCAGCAGACACACAGCCCGTGATAAGGGATCTTTGCCATCAGCTGCAATCCGCTTGATGGAACTTGATAATTATACAAACAATTCACAGGGCAGCGCTGTATAATGTAAGGAAATGCAAAGATTTCTGGGAAACCCGAGCTACTCGTTAACGGGGCCAACATAATCGCGTCGCTTCGAGTTTTCCCTCTCTACGGCCACCGAGTATATTCTCGTGATTTATGAATGGATTTATGGATTTATGGCGCGTGATTGCCGGAAAAATAAATTCGCCGCTGGCGCACGGGCCACTTCCGATGTTTTCCTCCCTCGCTCGCGTCGCCGTTCGCGGACTGGTCATACTGTGCGACTTCCGACGTTGTTTACGGTAGCAGGTAAATCGCAAAGCGACGAACGGCTCCGACGCCTTTGAAACAAAACCTCGGCCGAGATTTCCGTGCGTCCTCACCGAGGCCCTGAACCGCGCAATTTCTACAGTTTCATTCGACTATTACAAAAGAGGCCAGTTCGTTTTTTTACCGTTTTGCTCTTGTTTTCAACGTCGCTTTGACGCCCTTGTCACTATCCAGCGCACACGCTTGTATGTTTTTACCGATACGTTCTTGACAATCGATTTGCTATGCGCCTAAAGAGTCTTCTGACTCGGCTGCAGTTCGTCGAAAACAAAATCTTTCGCGTTTCATAGGTAAACAAGTTTAAAATGACGGGTCATCAAATTATCGTTCAGTCAACATCGACACGGAGTCGATGACTGGACCAGCAGTAGATAATGGCGCGCGCCACGGATGGCCAGCCCGAGATCGAGTCTTCTGGCGTTGTTTGCCCTCACGTCGAGTGGTTTTCCCCGCGAATATCTTGGCGTATTATTTTTTCCCGAAACCGAGATTTGTGGCTTTTGTTCGCCGCCTCTGCAAGCGTCGCAGTTTGGCCGAAAGGCGGCGCGTAAAAGTCGTAAAGGTTGCCCAGTCGTCGTTCGGGAATAACTGTCGAGTCGATCGCCTGTTGACAGACTAAGCGAGGTGTCATAACTCAGGGTTATGGAAGGCGTGGCAATGGCGAGTGTTGGTCACCGTTGCTCGGCGGCCAGGTGCGTGGTCGGCTGCAACGCGTCAGAGGCGTCGCGCAGGCTGCCACGAGATAACCGAGATAAGATCAGCGGACCAGGACAGCTTTATTGCAGCGAGGCGCGGCTTTTACGTTGACGTGCAGAGATCGGGCTTTGCGCCGAGCAGTGTGCCAGCGGCAGGATGCACCTTGACGTAGATGAGTCACCCTTGTTTCGATGTTAGCGGCGTCGAGGGGGGTCGCGCAAGGGGATACTCGCGAGCTACCCGTAGTGTCATGGAGTGTCGCAGCGGAGGAGGGGGACTGTCGTCAACGCGATGACAGCAGTAGTTTGTCAGCGCAAGAGAACGACCTCGCACAAGTCGTGTAAGTTGACGCTCACTCTATTCAATGAGTATGGGGCGGTCTCGTGGTCCAGCTATCCTTTCTAGACGATGTCGGTCATCCACGAGCCGCAGGAAATCTGCTCATTGACTATATATCAGCCCGCATAGTAGCCCGAGCATTCCGAGCCTATGAGGCAGGCATAGTCATTCTTCTTCCCACCTCACGAGTGTGAACCTGGCTAAGTTCGCTCTCATGCAACTTTTTCGATCGCGACAGTTCCGTTCACATTTGCGATATCAACGAATCGAATATTTCTAAAAACTTGCGTAACATTGTATTGTGTGCAATTGTTTGCTTTAATAATTATGGCATTAAAAGTGAAACTTTATATACAATTTGAAAAACGTAATGTATTGAAAAATAGGAAATTAAGTTTTCTTCGCTAAAAAGAAATGACGCCTTCGTTGAAGCGGTCGCTTGAAACGCGATAGCTACCAACTCGACGACTAATAAATTTGACAGGAAATAATCCGACGTGTCTAAAATTCAATTTCGTCAAGGAAAGCAAGCAGCGCTAGACCAAATACTCAATTTTCGTCTTATAGCTGCGATTTTACTATTCACTAATAGTGTCAGTAATATCCTTATCGGACGTGTTAGGTGTTGTGAGTTTTCATTATGAATAATAGGTAAATTGCATGTCGACTTTGCTTTAATTTGTCTTCTTTTACGTCTTTTCTTTTCATGATATAGTCTATGAAAACTTTTTAAGCACGCTTGATCACGGTGACCAGCAACCGACCAATTATATAGATACAGCTACTTGGTGTGCAGTTCTCGCAGATCATATCTTCACTTCTAAAAAATATTTAATTTAGGCAATATCTGGTGGTTTGGATTGCACTTTAAGTTATGGATTCAGTCATAGTGCCCGTCAAAATTTTTCGTACGCATATATCCAATGAGAGTTTAACTGAAAGAATATATTTATAATAAAACATTCTGATTTGGAAAAATGACTACAATAGCCATTCAAAATAAATGAGAAATAAAAAAAAATGAATAATTCTATATGAATTTTTGACAAATAGAAGTATGATTCAGAATACATAACTACGTGATAGAGAAAAGCGCGACATAACTGCAAGTTTCTTTTGCAGTTTGTCATCGTACTTTAATTTATTATGTCAAGTTGGCGATTACAATAACAATACAGTTATACATTATTCACCGTCATCATGGATAACGCATTTCATTTTATTAAACCTTATAGCATAAAAAAGAAAAGATCCTGCATACCTCATACATTTCACAGTTTATACGTTTCACCAGAGCATCGACTATCTTTCACGAACTTTAGATTTTGTTATCGTATTAGTTTTTACTTTATCTCAGGAGATGAGGCAGTCGTAGTTATTTATATTCTCACAAGTACATTTTCAGGAAACTTCAATATACATCGAATTCGCCAACAATTTGACATAGCTTACATACTTCTAGTAATTTACGGAAATCATCAATGATTGAATAAAGTTTTAATTAAAAACAGCTAAGTTAAAAAATCTAAGAAATTTAAATACCATTCTTTTTCTCGATATGATTTTATCGTATAGCATTATACAGTTAATAACTGTAAAATCAACATTTCATCAATCAAAACTTAATGACACTTTCAAAACTTTTAATTTTGTCATAGAATCACAATCACGTTGCATTACTGGTATATATAAGCCATTGCATGAGAAGTATCCTTTGTATATTTTGGCATTTTTATGCGAAAAGTATTTTTTTTCATAAAAGAAGTACAAGTTTTAAATCAGATTTAATCAAAAATCATTTTTTTTCACGAATATGTTCTTTTCTCGAAACATCTTCATTTATCAAGCATTAAAAAAAAGTCTATTACGTAAAGTATAAATTATAAAATACTAATCTGCTTGATATATATTGAATTCATTACGGAATATAAGTTGTTGAAATTGTACAACTATAGTTTCACCAAGTACGACAAATTTGAATGCAACTAAAGTTTAAGTAAACTTTTGGATTATAATACCAACTCTCTAATTTGTTTTTTATCACTTTGAAAATTAAGAAAATTAATGATGGAATTTGGTAACTTAATGAGCAAAACTATACATGAGAATTTTTCATTACTGCAATTACAGTAGATACTACTGTGGATAGTAAAATTAAATTAATAGAACGGTTCATTTATTACATAAAATAGGTACAAAGGTACCGATAAGAAGTTCAAAATTTGTTTATTATGCACGTTAACCATTATACAACGTTTATTATTGTGTCACTTTTCAAATGATAGTTTTATTCAATAGTTTCTTGTGTTGAATTAAATAATTAAATAATTGGTGAACCATCAAAAATCTATTGAATACTTATTTATGAAATTACGATGAAAGCTCAATCACAAATTTTCAAGGTTAAATAAATTAAAAAAGGACCTTTAAAATTTGATGTAAAATAAAAAGATAAAATTAGAAAATAACTAAAGTATATAATTACCTATTATTTTTATACCTGTTGTCCAAGGGTTAAGGTACATAATAAATTATTATCCATACTGCTCAAAAACTTAACAGAACAAGCTTGTACAAACGATTGCAATATATGTAGAATGTGGCTTTCTTAAAAACACTTATTTAAAACAGCCACAAAACACTACGTCAGTGTTAACGCTGTCAACATAAGTTCTAAATTTATTTATGATAATCCGAATATATACACGCTCGGTACAACGCTGAGACTGTTCCTTATATTCTTAAAAAGACATTACTTCGGACAAAGAAATGTTCGTTAATATTTGGAAGATTTTTACACTTTTCAATATCTCAATTCATTTCTTACTTTTAATGCATGTTGATGAAAAATATCTCAGATTCAGTAGCAGTTTAGAATTTGTGTTTATTATAATATTACGAAGATCAACCGTTGTGCAATGAAATTTTGGCACTCAGACTCGCCGTACTAAAGTTGTAGTTTAATAAAAAATATTATGGTAAACTACTTCCAAATAACAGTATGTTAAACTGTAAAATTTTGGCAAATAATATGCATTACTGAAAATTAAAATACTGCACGATTCATCAGACTACAAACTATGCAGAAATAGATCTATGTTAAATCTCATGATTCTGCAATAAAAAATAAAAGAAAAAAGAAAGAAAAAAATAATGGCACAAAAGTCTTTGAATCAAAGTATTAATTTACGTATAATCTGATTGCGTCTGTGAAATTATAGTACATTTTCAAGAGTCTCAAAAAGGCCCTAAATGTTTTTTTATTCTCACGATGTATTCTTAAACTATTTTTTCTCTCAAGTACTTTTCAGCTGACTTTTGTGAGGAAATTATTCTGATTAATTTTTTGTGTCTTTTGCGATTTGTGCGTCCTCTAGGATTCTTGACTAGCACGTATAAATCTACATATGCTTCTCTTTATCTATTCATATCCAAAATATTGAGTACTTAGCACATTGGGTAATAAATACCGAATGTTCGAATGATCCATTAATAAATATTATTTTTAGGCAAATTCGCAATGCAAAAATAATTGGATAAAAGGAATAATCGATCAGCTTCTCAAGTTAAAATATTTTCTTAGTTGGAAGTCAACATTTATTTTGTAAATATACGCATGAGTATGTGAAAGTGAAAACTTCGCGTTTTATTATGGACAAAAAGCCCTAAAAATATTTACTGGCACTGTCGATAAATAACCATGATCGATCGATACCTCTAGTTAACAATCAGCTACATCGAATTCACTTTCATTATGAATTTAGTCATAACTGGATTTTAATAAAATTCAATAGGTACTATACATATTATTCTCTTAGATGTAGACGCTTTTAAAGAATTTTCATAAAAATATTAAATAGTATATCATTTCATCTTTTCAATGGTTTTTATTAAATATTTTTTTGTTGAATATGTTTTACGGCATACATTGCCTAGTTTCGTCATTTGAATGTTACTCGTATAGCATGTATGGTTAACTGCTTAATTTACACATCGCTATACACTAAAAAGCACCGATCGACCAGCGTTAAAAAGCCGAAACAAGTGCGCTTCGAGGATATTTTGCACAAAAATGTCCATCAAAGTATATACAAGTCGTCTTAGAGACAAACAAAATTAAAGCAAATCCATGAGCGCATTGCTAACTCTCTCTCTTTCTCTCTCTCTCTCTCTCTCTCTCTCTCTCTCTCTCTCTCTCTCTCTCTCTCTCTCTGTCTCTCTGTCTCTCTCCCCCTCTCTGTCTCTCTCCCCCTCTCTCTGTCTCTCATACTGTCCTCGCGTATTCATGGCAATTGTTTCTTTTTTTTTGTTCTAATAATTTATTTGCAATGAGTTACGGCTCGGCTTTGCTAAGAAATTGGAAGAGCAATCGCTCGTGTCTGGCTGTGAAGCGTGCGAATCTCTTCATTATCGCGATCCTCAGTGTGGCAGCGGTGGTAGCAGGAGCGCCACTAACTGTCGTCGCCGGTTAATTTTTAGTACTGCCACTGCGCGGACTTGCTGGTTGACTGGTGGTTTGCTGAGCACGTTGAATGTAGATATTGAGCAACTTAAGCTTGCTGCCGTAGAGTGAACTCAAATGGGGAGCTAGAACATCCTCACCGACAGCTGCATGTATTGCCACCATACAAAACACCGCACTTTTACGTACCGTCGATTCCATGTCGTCATAAGCCTGCAAATTTATAAACTTTCATCAAACTCACTATACTTATTAAATTTACGTCTTCCGCGATTGCAGTACATGTGTCACGGTAAATATTATTGATCACAAAGTATAATCAACTTATGTGTACCTTTATAAGACCGGGCATCACTTTCGATAAATGGGGTTCTATAGCCTCCCGGCCGTAATGTTCAACCACCTTGTGAAGCATTTTTATTGCGCCCATGTTTTGTGGGAATGGCTCTGTGGTCATCATTGAGGATGCGAACTGGATGGTTTGTTCGGGTGGTAGAATCACAGCTACCGTTGCTGCACACTTTTCTGCCATCCTGAGTACCTGTTTATAATAAGACGTATTATATTATTACATAAAATATTGTGTTGTTAAAATGAAATTGTGAATGGTATTAAATACGAACTACTCAATTAGTTTCATAAAAGTTCTTATTGTTCCATAAAATTTATATAATCAAACAAATAAATACAATTGGTTAAGTACATGCTTTCAAGATAAGTCAATCTGCATATTTTTGTCAATCATGCAAAAGAAAAAAAAACGAATACAGAAAAAACGATTACTTTAGCAATACTAGCAAAAGAAATCAGATTTACGACGTGCTTTCGAACGAATTACGTCAATATATAAAAGAAACTAATAAAGCATTATGCATTTCCAAAATGCAATATTTACTTAAATCGCTAAAGTATAGAATTGCTTCATGATCTTTTGTCGAATCAAGACCTACTTTCCTTTTAATAATGGTATTGGATGAATCGTAAAAGAAGCGCAATTCAAATACAACACCGAATATACCTCAGGAAATTTTACCGTGGTTCTACTGCTGTTACTGCTGCTACTACTGCTACTGCTGCAGGCATCAGCCTTCTGATCATCAAACTTATGAGCTCTTATAACTTTTAGAACAAGTAACTCCGCGTAGCTTGAAAAGCTCTCCGCTAATTCAGGGCACTTCAGCATGTCTATGAGCGATTGAAGTACTTCAATCTGCATTTCTTTATTGTCACTCGCTAAGCTTCCAATCAACGTCTTGAGAAGTCTTCTGCAGATTCAAAAATGTGCCAAATTAGAAAATTAAGTTCGTAATGTCTATCTCACGCCGTAAAAAATAAACTTACTTAAAATGTTGTTTTATGTACAGAGCGTCACCTTCGCGGACATATAATTGAAATTCTTGTAACGCAGCAACTTTCTCCGTAATTTGCGATTCTTCAGATTGCAAAACTTTGAGCGTGTTATCAAGAACTTCGGGTCCTCTTATAGAATCAGGAGACGAGCCATGCGTTTTATATCCATTATTTTCTTGAGGTAGAATAAGATCACCAGCTATTGTATCATTCGAACCGTTGACAGCCACGTTTGTCACAGTTTTACCACGTTGCGTAGGCGAAGACACCGAAGAAGAACGACCCTGCAGTATTACAATAATAAGTATATTGATACCTGATTACCACTACTATATTTATAAATATTAGAAACATACAGAATTAGATAATGTGAGGCCTTCGAGTCTCTCTTCTACATCAGCCATATTACTAATTCCGCTGTCTTTACTTGTGGTTGCTCTTTCTAAACGCTCGAATCCATAATTTTGAATCTCAGCAGTCGTACGTCTAAGAGATCTATGTCAATATAAAATAAAAATAAAAATATTCAAAATTGAATGATAGATGCAATCAAATCATAATATATTCCTACTTGTAAACTTCTTCTGGATTCAAACTATCATCTGTGGCATCGTTATCCAATTTCTTTCCACGAGCTGGTGAATTTGGAACTCTGGGCGGAGGAGTACCAGGTGACGCAGGTGTACTCGTAGCAGATGATCTTCTCAAATGAGTTTGAATTAATGGCAATGCGGTTTCCTGGTAAATTTTCAATACGTTGATTCGAACAATACGTTTTACTTATCTAGAGAGTTATTCAAACTCTGACAGTAATCAAACGTGACTGACCTGGTGATACTTTGGCAGTTCAGAAAGTATCATAGTGAATTGTGATGGATTCAAATTATAAAGAGCTATCACAGCAGTCTGAGCATGTCTTCGGACATCTTGACTTTTGGCGTCTTTTGTCCAGTCCAACAATCTTGCAAGTCCAGGACCAGCAGAACTACTGACAGCGGACGGTTCGGCAGTCTCAGCGATTTGCGCAATAAAAGTCAAAGTAGCCACTTTCACACGGGAATTAGGTGTTTGCGTGGGATTCGTAAGAAATCGCATTACAGCTGGTAAAAGTTGATCGCCGTTAAAACATTCCCTGTTGAATTATTCGTTATTATAAAACTGTTTTATTGATTTGTGAAAAAAGTAATCTTACCTGACTACTTCTAACGTTTTATTTATTTTTGTTTGAACCGATCCGAGTAAATCTGCGCCTAGTTTATTCAGAAGTCGAGTACACAATACGTATAGCCAATCACCAAGATCTTCGTAGTGTGTTTGTATCAGCTCGTTCAAAGTATCCAGAAATAAACTAAAAACCTTGGTGTGAGAGTCCATAAACATTTTCGAAAATATATCAGTTATCTTGCGCAACTCGGTGGCATTTAGAGTATATCCATTGACGAGGAAATGCTGTAAAGCAAATAAACCTTCTTTACGATCGCCCCACTGTTTGCGTCCACAGATCTCGATAATCTCTTTTATATCCTGAAATTAAAAAAAATCGATGCACTGTATTGGATTCTTATGTTGTTTGAATGTCAGTTGAACAAGTGAATAGATATTTAGAACTTTAAAAAATGCAAAATGTATTATGCGGGATAGAATACTGTATTAAAACTTACGAAACTTAAAATAATGGGCTACGAATTTGAATTACTTCATCTCAATGTCAGGAGTATATATAATATAATAGAATAATGAAGATAATAAAGAATATGGATAATAATAAAGAAGAATATAATATAATAGAACGGAGAAAGGATCATTCATTCTTATTTCAGTATCGTATGAAATAAAGTAGTATGTAAACAGGAGATTTTTTAAAATTATTAGTTCGAATGAACAAGTTTAGTTGAACAAACCTTCGGTGTCGACTGTTCCCACATATCTCGATAAAGTCTTTGCTGAGAACCGCTCCATGAGAATGACTAACAAAGTTCAATAATGTCAGAACATATAATAATTTCAGGTATGTCCAGTTAGTTCCAAAGGATAGAAATAGGCGGCAACAAAAATTGAAAAGAAACCAAACATAAATTAGACACGACTTTTGGAATACAAATACAAAATTTATCCACACCGTTTTAGGCATTGTTAATTGATTATATTTAGCATTAGAAACGTTCATTTAATCAAAAAATGATTTTAATTGCAGAGGGAAAGTCTCAGGATCGTTTGTAAGAATAATAAAAAACAAAACAATAATAAATAACTTTTGTCTTTCACTAATCACGCATTGAATTGAGAAAGAAAATCACGGTTTATAACAACGATTGATAATATTTTCATACACTTACATCACTAGGTCTACGGAAACTGTCGTGACTACGCTCTGAACAAATACTGCTTGTTTCACTGTCGTCACTGTGATCACCTTTGCCCTTTGGTGTTCTTGTATAGCTATCCATGCTGTCAAATGTAAGAGCATCGGCTAAAGCGGATTCAGCTTCTCGTGACTGTTGCAACATCTTCTGAGCCATTACTGGTCGAGAAGGTGGCCTGTCCGTTGGTGACATGTGCAAATTCCTATTCCTGTTGATTAAATAAATATTTAAAAACTAATAATTATTCATGAATTTCATCATCAATTTCCCTAACTAACCTGATCTTGCCAAAACTACTTCTGTCAAATCCGAAACGTTGCGGACTAGGTTCTCGACTATTACCAGTACTTCTCATTCCATGGTCAGATAATATTTTGGATCTTGGAATAAGGGCCTCACCATCCCTGTTGTACGTTGCATAACTTAATCTTGACGAAGGCGAACCTGATCTGCTACTCGCTGTAATCATAAAAAAAAATGTTTATTATGTGTATTTATGTTTGGTACTTATCGTGAGTACAAAATTGATTTAAAATTCATCTTACGTTGCGATTGTGAAACTCCTGAGACTCGCGTTCGATTCCGTGCAGCTCTTTCAGGACTAGCCACAGAACTAGCTTCTGGCGACTTGTTTGGTCGAGCTGTAAATAAGCATATTATCAGTATTAGTTAAGCTATAGAAGCTTATAAATTAAAAAAAACGGTTCATAGGTCTCAACAGTGTTTCAACGCAAAAATACCTGGTCTATTCAAATGACCACTGTGGTCATTGTCTGGCAGCGAAAAAAACATAGGCAAGATTTGTTATAAATATTATGTTAAAATGTGCTTGCATATTATAATTTTATAATATACTTACGAAGTGTAGCTTTCTGCCGATTCATGCATGCATACTTCATTCTAGCGTTGGCTCTTTGAGCGGCTTGAAGGTCGATGGCACTTGTAGATCTTACTCCAGGTGAAACGCGACCTTAAATCAAATTAACCGATGAGAAATTATTCTCGTCAGTAAACTAAGTAGCAAACGTTAAAAAATGCCATCTTTACAACAGTTAATGCATGAAATTAATACGGATAAGTAATTTTACTGTAAATAAGATTACGTTTATCAATGTAGTATAACTAATATTACGTGATATTAATATGTATAAAAAAATGATGTATGTTTTTACTCAAAACATACCAATCTAATTATTTAAATAATAATAATAATTATAAATAAATAAATTATAGACAAATTTACTCAAAATGTAAATATTAAAATGCAAATGTTAGAGTGTTGCACGTTAGAAAATCCCCATGGGTGAGCTTGATTATGCTGGTGATATATGAATGGTTATGAAATGGTACAAGTTAAAAAAGTACCTAATATATCAAGGTTTATATAGAGCGTAGATACTATGCAATGTGTAAGTATTTGGCGTTACTTCCGTGTAAATTGAAAGCTGTTACAATAATAAAGAAATAAATGGGAAAGTTTGGTGTAATGAACTGTAAAAATTACAATGATTGTCAGTAGGTCTTTGAAGAATCGGAATCCCAGATTGTCGATAAGACCGTGGCAAGGACGGAGTGCGCCTGAGCGGGCCATGAAGGTGGCCATGATGCAAATTTTCTGTGCTACCTTCATATGCGCAATGCAATGTTCGTTCGCACAAAGCAGCATGGAAAAAAAACAAACATTTACCGTCTATCAGTTTCGGCCCTCTCATTGATTTGTTTCAATTTTTCGAGTATCTTTAATTCTATTTCAATGATCTCGCGCTCAGCGAACGTGATGACGATGAACAAAGATAGCGAGACGATTGGATTGAAAGAGAGAGAGAGAGGGGGGGGGGGAGACAAAGAGAGATTGAAGTAACTTACCTGCGGCACTCATAGCGGGACGCGACGTGCGTGGACTTATGTTTGTTGCTTTTACCGAATTCAAGCTGTTGATGCTACCGCTATTACTAAGCGACATGAGCGCCCGTTTGTAGGTGGCATCAAGACTGTTGAGAAGTGCCTCGGCATTCTCCGGAAAGTGCTCTTTGAATGCCCAGTAGGATCTGTGAAGAGAGACGACAAGTTGAAATAGCTATTGAGCTGTTTGGTGAGAAAAATCGAAGCTTGTACTTACTTTCTGGAGAACGCCCTGGCCTCGACGTCCGAGTCGGCCATGCCCCTTTTTATCGCGTCCTGAAGTATGTTTACGTGCTTCTGCAGAATGGGAGTCTGCCAGGACTGCAAAATCAGATGCAGATATTCGCAAGTGGCACGTCTGATGTCTTTGCTTTTGTTGCTGAGCGACGCCACTATAATTGGCACGTAGCGACTGCTGTGTGTATTTTGCAGTATGAAACGTACTGTGACCGCTCCAGCCGTCGCCACAACCTGCGAAGACGAAAAGAAAAAACGGACCGAGTAAAAATTTGGCCGAGCGCCACTGACCAAAGGAGACATTTGTTGCCCGTTGAAATGACGAAAGGAGAGAAAGGGAGAAGAGACGTCAGCGGCGCTTGGCTGCACAGCGATAGTCTACCTTGGCACTGTTTTGTATGAGGTTCATTAAAGTCGGCAGAACGGTCTCGCCAAAACTAGCGAATTTGTTCTTGAGCTGTTGACTCAGGTACGCGAGCGTGATGCACACTTCTCGAACGACTTGCGATCGCAAATCCATGATGGCTGCGTCGACGGGCCTCTGCAGATCCTTCAGCAACACCGCAAACACGTCGTAGTTCATTCCTCCGGCGATTATTATCCCTCGTAGCTTTTTCAGCTGCGCAATGCCAGAAGCGCGGTTAATTAAAGGCAATCGAGCGAGCGGTTACCGCGAGCAGCGCCAACTTACGCTATCCGTCCGCTGCTTCCAGTCTTTTTTGTCGTCCCCGACCGTGTCCTTGATGGCCTTCATCTGGTCCTCGAGATCCTTCGCGGAAAACAATTTGACCGGGGGTACATCCTCGAAGGCCGTGAGGAAAGTTTCCTCGTCGACTGCGCCGGCCTGACCTGAGCAAACATCACGAGTACTCTTTAGTCCAGCGGCCGTGTCGCCCGTCGAAGCCGCGTGCCTCTCTTACAACTGATTCTACTCTCTACATGCGGCGCTATGCAGTTATGCAAGCAGACACTAGGCACACTCGTCAACCAGCCATTCGGACGTTTATAATGCAGCGATACCTGAACAACCCGTGACCAGCCAGTTCTACTGAATAGATCAACGGATCTCGATAGATCCGACAGTGCAATCAATTATATAATTATCTTTCTCTTACAATGCTAGACACGCCTTCCGCTTTGCATCGATTTTCGCCCGGTTTTTTCTTTTTCTTGCTTTGTGCTTTTTGCTTTTTGCTTTTACAAACTGATATAAAGACACAGTGCATTCAAATTAGAAATGAATGGCCAACGGTGAGTGAAACAATGGCTACGCAATTCTGAGAGTTAAAACAAAGTCAGAGGTAAGCAAGGTGCAAGGAAGAACAATTATTAGGTGTAATATACCTGTTGACGCAGCCTTAACCGACGGATTTCGTTTGATGGAAGGCGCCCTTACGAGTCCCGCTGGATGGTTACCAAATTGAGCTGCCATGCAAGTGGTTGATTAGCAAGCAACATCACGGTGAAATTGTTAAAAGCGCGGCTCTCGCGCGCCCTCGACAACATTATGCTTGTCGAGCTCGAGATGCACGCCAAAAGTCAGAGCGTCTCAGCTTTGTTTCTCATCTCATGATACACATCGTTTGGCGTGCAACAGTCGCCCAGCAAAAGGCTTTGCGTTTGTGTGCGTAGGTGTTAGTCTGTGTGCTCTTTGTTCTTTTAGTCGAAACATTCGTTAACAACTCCACTCACGTACAAGTAAGCTCATTTGTGTAACACGACATCGATAATATTTCCTTTTTATGAACTTTCAATCTTTGCTATTCCTAATTTGTTTATACGTTGCTAATGGCTACGTCGTTGTAGCGTTTTGAATTACTTCATATCGCCAAATTTTCTTGTTATCAACTTCATTGAGCGACACGCTGACTTGAACAAATTAGGACCGAAGGTACGTGGTTCATTACATCGTGTGCAGTTTGACTAATATACTGTTTTCAGAGCAAGTACTTCTTTATCAGTAACAATACGATTACGAGGCATGCAATCTTCCCTCCAAATTTACTTAGCAATTATACGACAGAATAAACCACGTACAAGAATTTTAACAATATGCTGATAAAATAATAGATTATTCATAAGAATAAGTTGGCGATATTTACATGCATACAACAGTGAATACGTGATCAATCTACATTTACGAATATTAGATGCAACATGAATAGCGCATTAATTGATGATAAAGAAATAAAAGAAATTGAAAACGGAAAAATCATCGCGACGAAAATGTTGTGTTCCATCGGTTAGAACGGTGCAATTTTCAGAGCGAAGCGAGAAAAACTATTGCAGTTATTAAGGTACGTCATAGGAAAAGAAAAGTTGAGGCGCATTGAAAGGTGCCCGACAGTTTGGCAAGATAAGCAACAAGAGCGAGGCTCGCGAATAAAGAGAAGAAAAGTTTGTCCATGGCTGTTGTGCATACCTGGGGGCACGGGTGGCGCCTTTGCCGGGCCGAACTGGCTCTTCTTCTGCTGCTGCAGCAGGCTGGCCGTCCTCTTGATCGGTGCCGATCTTATCTGCGCACACGCAAACGATTATCCCGTTTGATCGAGAGTCGGCGGTCTCGCTCGACGATAAAACAACAAAGAAAAGACCACGAGTGGCCATTCGCATGGCAAACGTGGCTGTACTCACCGCCCGATCCGGCTCGTCGGCGTCTCTCCCAACTGTAACACACAGAAACGAGAGAACATTTGAGAGATGGTGCTTGGTCGAACGTTAAAGAGATACGGCGCGGGGGGAGCCGAGCGACGGCGAGCGACTCGCCAATTTGCTCTACCTAGGTTGGGATACAGCCACGGCGGCTTGTGTATGTCGCAGTGGCATCCGCGAGCCCTGGCACCCGGGTGCTTCACGATGTTGTCCCACTGCAGTATCCAGCTGCTGCTCGGGTCCCAGAGCGTCTTGTCGATGCTCGGGTACTTGACGAGGCCGCGGTGAGCGCAGCGGTGAGCGCTCGCCAGCGACACCCCCGAGTTCAAACTCATTTCTCTTGCGCGCGCGCGCGCACGCGATTTATCGCCTCTCCTTTACTTTGACCATCGTGTACACCTTTTTGTGTACACAACTCCCGTATATATTCTCCTTGCTCTATCGCAGTCCGACCGTTTGCACGCCACTCGTGACTCTCCCCCTTCTCTCGCTCTTTCTGCTGCTACTTATTTGCGCGTGCACTTCGAGTATATATCACAAACGAACAAACACTCTTGTTCCGCTTAGTTTGCATCTAATCAAGGCTGTCGACTTTCTCGCAGGAACTTTTGCCTAGAGGAGGGCCGAGCAAACGTTGCAAACGAGAGGGAAGAGGCAACGGGCGAGCGACCGCGAAGGCCGTTTCGATTGAGCACGCTCTCGCGCGCTTTTCGCCGGCGACCGCTGCATTACCAAACTCCAATAGCGCGAGTGATCGATCAACGCGTCGCGCGCACTCACGGGCCGAAAGCGCGTCTCGAGTAACTGGCATCGAACTCTTCCACGATCGAGAAGACGAAGAAAAGAAAAAACGGACGACACTTCCTCTCGTTTTTGCTCCGCGCGCCCGCGATGAATTATTCAGACGGGATAACCTGTAACGCGCGTGACGCGTGCGTTCGCGGCTGCGACAGGCAGAAGGAAATTCGGGCACACGCGGTCCTCGAGATTGCCAACGAGAGATCGGCTGACTTTACGTGGCACTGGTTTCGCCACGCCAGTCGCGCGCGCGATCACAATGAGAACGGTACCTGACACTGCCATTTTTGGATTTTCGGCCGCGATCGACACGTCAAACGTTGACTCTCGTCGCGCAAAACGACCAAAAGCCACGTAACCGCGACGCTCCACTTTGTCGCGCTTCTGCGTGCGTTCACTTTTATTTCTACTTATTTTCACATTTCTCTTCGCCAAAACAAGCTCGAGGTATATTCGACTTTACGGAGCTAAGCTTCCCCTAGTCTTGCCGCTGCTATAGAGGCGCGTCCATGAAAACCTCATCGAGTTCACTTTCGAAAATAGTAACGAGGAGACGCATAATAGTCGCAGTAATTAGTAGGAGAGAAAGAGAGAACGAACTCGTCCTCGACCGAAAGATGAGCGATCGGTGTATTATACGAGAAGCCAGTGAACACGACCTGCCGAAGATCAATTATTGCGCGAGTCGCCTTGTTCTTGTTCATTCAAGTCTAATACCAGCGCACGACCTAATGAAGGGTCGCCTCTGAACGACCGCTGCTTCTTTTCGCGAATCTCCACGCTCGGTTTACCGACAAATAGCATTCCCCGTCGGCTGGGCACTGGAAGAGAGCGCAATGGAAATGTGACGTGGCATAGCAGCTCGTGGAAAGGTCGAAACAGCACGGGCGTCCTCGTACGTTGCCAAGCGGAGGGTGCGCTCTGCTACCCGCGGACTTATCGCCGACTGCACGCGAGACTCCATTGTCAGACTCGTGCATTATTCCGCCTTGGTATATATCTCTGCGCCGGCGGCGCTTACGATTTGGCGAGTGGCCGGCGCCCGGCGCCTCCCTTCTCCCTCGCTATCGCATCTTGGCGCGCCATCTTACGCAATGCGCCACGCTTTCGGGCAAATTGTGGACCGCGAGTCCAATGCGCGGACCGAGGCTGCGTTGGTGCGAGGGCATAAAGCGAGGCGAAAAGCGCGCATTTGCATACGTCGTTTTCCAGGCGATCGAAAGCAAAACAAAGGGAGACGTTTCTTCGACTCGCGCGTACGTGTGCACAGCCGCCTCTACACACGTATATAGGCTAGGCAGAGAGGAAAATTGAGGTTGCGAGCAAAGTTGCGCAAAAAAGCGTCTATAGCGGCGCCCATTTCACATGAGTGCAAACTTGGCGTCACGGTCATCGACTTCTATCACGGATTCTCCGTGCGCGCGATGCCCGTTTGCCTGGCGAACGGACATCTCAATTAGCTCAACGCAGGCCGAAAATTATGACACTGCAACTGGCTCTCGTTCGATCGTTTCGTATTCCTGTCCTATCCGGAGTATCGTTATTATGCTTGTTACGCAGGCGTTCTACTCCAACTCGCTCGTCGTTTGCAATCGTCTAATTACTATTGTTATCAACGTTCACGCTTCTTCCCACTTCACGAATTTCCGTTATTCACCTTGGACCACGCGAACGTTTTACTTCTCGAGACACGCGCAGACGGCCATAAGCTACTCCTCAGCTGTATGCGCGGATTTCATTTGCTCTGGGACGGTTGAAAGTGCAAAAGGCAACGCTCGTTTACGTTACATACCGCGCATTTTGACACACCTTACCGAAAGCTCGAGATTTCTCAGAGAACAACCGTTTTCTACTGTACATGGAATTTACTTGAACACCGTCGATAAACGTCGAAGAAAAATCGGTACACCAAGCTCGTCTATAGAATGTGCGTTCCGTCCTCTGCATACGCTTCGCGGGACCGATAATTTTAAAATCAATAAAACAGCTATGCCCGTGCAGCACAACCGGCTGCTTTGCGGAGCTAAACATGCCGGACAATTCATACGGAAAGACATCGGGGACAAAATGTCGAGAGAGCGTGTCTTTTGCTTTCGACTGTTTTCTTACTCCACATCGTCGTCCTTTGACTTCGCGTTTTCCCACGAAATTACTATGAATCCGCGGGGCTAACAATGTCAATAAGATGTTCTGTCGTTTAACTTGCGAACATGCAAAACCTTGCGCGAAACAAAATGTCTACATGATTGATCGAACACATTAAGCGGAAAACGCAAAAGACACTGGAGAATATAATGGCGAGATTTGCGAATAATTTAGCCATTAATGGCTAATTATCGAGCGGTCAATGTAACGCTCATGAATAAAAACAATAAACCAGAGGCCGTTTCTTGCAGCAACGCGCAAGACTCGCGGAAACCTTGCGAGTAAACATGCAAAAAACAAACTGGCTTGACGTGCAGACGCTGTCGTACGAAATAGGTTAGTATATCTATTTGACGCACGCGTGGCGACGAAAGCCTGTTTTTGTTGTTAGCCATGTATGCGAACGCTGTAGCAGTGAAAAGCCGGCAAATGAAAAAATAACGTAATCGATGCTGCACTATCCACGTGATTCTGAACCTAACCGTCAAAAAATGAAGAAAAAGCACGTTCGCTACTGCCGCTGCATCTTATGCCTCTTATCGACACGATAAGATGACGACAGTTTTGCTCGTGCACACTCGAAACAGCCCGCGAACGCTCTTTAAGGAAACAAGAAGCTGTAAGGTTAAGGATGCAATCTGGAGGAAAAGACGGCAAGAACGTGTCACTCGCGAACAATCACTGCGCACAAACAAACCCAAGTGGAATAAAAATGTCCATCATGCACACGTAAACACACTTGAGGAGCGCCGACTATTGCATCGGCAATCGAAGGCTCGAGTCGACAACAACACGTCGGTCACAGCGCGAATTTCGGACATCCGCTTCCGGCACGAGGAGCACACACATATCCAACGCGATGGGAACAGTAAGCTGGCCAAGAGAGCGGGAGTCGAAGGAGCTCTGCGCGAACGACGCTACAACTGCGACTCGTGCCGCTCGACTGTCGCTCTTGGCTCTCTGTATAGTATACTGACTACTAGCTGCTGCTGCTGCTGCATGGAGTCGCGAGCGCGAGGTGTGTAAGTGTACTTTAGGCGTGCGGAGGAGGGGGCGGCAAGTGAGCCCAAGCAATAGGTGAGCCGCCGCCGCTTCAGCCACAAAATTATTGTACGGCTCTTTTCCAGGGCATCGAGACTGCAAGCGTCACAAGCTATACGCACGCCATTTGCACTCGCGCCCACTGTCGCGCTCGCGTAATAACGTACCACCACCGCAATGAGCTTCGCTTTCGCTTTCTGCAGATTCGCTCTCCTCGCGCGGGGTCGAGCGTGAAATTCCATATAGCGGATCGCGCCACCGCGGCCGCGCGCCTTTTCGCCTCGCGCCTTGCTCATCCTCCTGTTACCGGCGCTAGAATACTTCATTGGGGGTTTCTCTCTCTCTCTCTCTCTCTCTCTCTCTCTCTCTCTCTCCCTCTCTCCGAGAGGCATTTTTCAGAATAACAAACAACACTCGTACGCGTCAATGTGACCTTTCAGCCGAGAAACGCCTTTTTCTCATGCGTCTGTTTTATTTTCGAAATACTTCCTCGGTCTCGATGGGACTCTCGAAATGCCGCTCACACGATCGCTTTTAACGAACCGGTAATCGCGTTGAGAAAGCAGGAGATAAGCAGATATAGTTTACTGATAACGTGCAGAGAGAAGCCATTACGCGAGCATTATTTACGAAAATTGTTAGCAGCGTGGTTAATTGCATAGCAACGTTACCATAATATAGTTACGTGCAATATTTCGCGGGACAAGCACATTGATGTGCAAATAAGGTATGCCCCGATAAATCGACCTAGCGATCGCGTCAGGCGAATTCGCGATCGAGCGAAAATCGAACGGCGACGCGACAATGATGCTTCACGACTGTAAACTCACTCGTACGTGTATAATTTGTTACATAAGGACAGAAGCGAGTCATGACACTTGTCTGCCTGTCTGATGATTTTCAATAGTGTAGCAGCCTACGGGGATCGTTGCGAAAAAGGAGCCGAGACATTTGTCAAGTTGGCGCGCTCTCGAAAGTGCTAATCGAAGAACTGCAGAGTCAAAAAAAGAAAGAGAGAGAGAGAGAGAGAAGAGAAAGACAGCCGTGCAACTCGCCCGCAGAACATTAATCTTGGCGGCGTTTCACCACGTGCGCAAGTCAGTTGTCGCGTCCGCGAGGCGAAATGAAATACACGTCCGCTGCCTGACGCGCGAACCGCGACTGTGTGCTTAGCTAGCCGGTGAAAAAAACTCGCGGATGAGTCTTTTATTTGCGACGCCTGTGGGCCTGACAGTCGTGTTATCTGAACGGCGCTAGTGGCCTTGTTCTTTGCCAGAAATTTTCTCGCCTGCGCATCCAAATATTAGGCTTGTTGACAACTCCAATGACGCCTCGGCCGGATCATAACGCCAGAATGGCCTTGAGAGGCTAATCGGATGTTACAGGTGGTGTTCATTGTGTCGATCCGCATTACTCACTCGACTCAGCCAATTTAAAAGTCTCGGCTGGGCTTTGACGGGCAAGCAAAATCCGAAACTCGCATCGAGTACAATTGCGTTTTACCTACTAGGTCATTAATCAAACCGCGGAGCATGTGTGCGAGAAGGAAGGGAGGGGGAGCATAATAGTCGATTGTGCGTGTACAGCTGCTGCTTATCTCGATTCCGGGAAAGCGCGGGTGTTCACGGGGAAGAAAGTCGAGCATCGTCGGCGATCGCGCGTCGCGAGCGCGGACAAATGCGCGTGCAGCGCTGAAGAGGGCGTGTGCGCGGCGTTCCTGCAGCGGCCTTCTATCGAAAGTAGATCAAAGCAAAAGTGACGCGCACGGCTTAGGATTTATATCTCGGCAGTCGCGCAACGCAATCTGGCCGAGTGCGAACGCGCTAATCGATTATAAATTCGCGTTTCCATTCGATCGACGACGCCTCGCAACCGCAGCAGCGGCCACGGCGAGTTAATGCCATGCTCGCCAGTAAATATTTCACTGCGCAGCTCGATGCAGACTTCTTTCTTACTTTCCACGAGCGAAGCCCGAAAGCCGACGGAAAAAAAAGAAACGACTTTATGGCTATGCGGCCGCTTGCCAATTTTTTACGATTACCGAGGTAACTTTCCAGACCGACAGACTATCAATTTTCACGTCAGCAGCGCAAAACCGAAAGGTACACTATTCCTTACGACTGCTTTCTTCGTGCATTATCGGAAAGAGCTTGCACGTTATGCATTCAAAACTATCGTGGATTTTATGATCCTCAAATATGCCTGAAATCGCAAATACAAAAATACAGCGGTGAGTGGTTTCAAATTATTATGCATAAAATGCATAAAAAAAATTATAGGATGCTGGATGTAAGTACATTTATCGAAACTCTATATAGCGCAATCAGTAATTTCAAGCAATAAGAAATAAAATCGCTTATCGAGCGACTTTAGCTGGATAAGAAAAAAGTGAAATTCGCACGAAAGTACATTTGCACAGTAAATAAAAGGAATCAACCCGTTAAAATTTATAATTAAGTGGATTTTCGATAAGTTGCGCGCGCGCGCGCTCACTCGAGTCTCACGCATGCCGCGGTGTTTTTATTTGTTTGTTGCTTAATCTTGACAAATCTGGTTAAGCGCAAATGTGCTGGAAGGCGGGTATTATGTCCGCATCTCGCTCTAAAGTGCATGCTCTGCTCTCTGCTCTCCATATATCACGAAGATAATGCGCGATGCAAGTTTTCCGAGGTAAACTTTTCAATCTTGATAGGTTCGCTTAACCGACTTTAATCCCTTTGCCCGCGCGGAGAAACGTTTTATTAAATTTTTTCATAAAATCGTTAAGTACTTACAAGGCTGAAACCTTTTTTTTTTCTTAATCGCGCCTTCAGATGACGCTTTCTTTTCTTATTTTTGGTGAACATGCCATTAGCCATTTTTTCCCCATTTGTCACGTTCCTTTTTTTCCGTGCATAATTTATTTCTTAATATTCCTCGAAAAATATCATAAAGTTGTATTCCCTTGAAACGTTCGGATATAACCGAGACTGATGAGGCTCATTTGTCGAAACGTACAAAGCCAAGTAAACATAAGATCATCGAGTTTCAACCGAAATGTAAACTGAATGATGACCATAAATAAAGAGCAAGACGACGTCTAGCGCTGTCTTTGCCAGAAAATCTGAGGCGAATAGCCACGGATTGAATAAGCAAGGTTGCGATGTTTGAAAGAAAAAAACCAAAATAATAGTATTTCGGTTCCCGGCAAAGGCAGCAACATGCAATGATCCGATGCTCGGAATAAAGATATCCTAATGGCACGTTCCGTTGACACCAAAACTCTAATTGGCCCATCGAAAGCTGTTTCGCGGCTATAATACTAGGCTGTGCAGCAATAAAAGGAGTGGGAAAGTAGTCGCGGTCGAGTGAATTATTATCGTGGCATAGCCGTGTCCAAGACGCATCGCAGGCTGCAAGATTAATAAACACAGAAGTCCTTGGCTCGCGGACATCTCAATCCGCCGAGCGGGTCGCCGAGCGGGTCCCCGAGGGGGATCGCTTAGCTGCAAATCATCAATGGAAGAGAAACTCGCGCGGCGGAAAAAGCAGGCCAGCGTGAGCTACGAGTGCTCGGCGCGAACGTACGGACGAGGAGACGTCGATGCGACCTCGGTCGGTCGCGGGAAGGCCCGACGAGGGCGAGCTGGGCCCGGGCACGCTCGTTCAAAGTGAATTATACGCGGCGCTGTCGACGGCTCGTCGCGGCGGCGGAGGGCAGCGCCGCAATTATCGCAGGAGATGCGCGCGCCCACGCCGTCGGCGAGTCGCACTTGCATAATGCGCCGCGCGGGGATTAGCGAGGTAGCGCTCATTAGCTCGCGCGCTTCGATCGAATCGTCAACGAAATTTACCGGCCGCTCGCGCCTCGCGCTTTCGCCTCGAATTAACTATCGCCCGAGCGAGTCGCGTCGGAGATTTACGCCCTGCGGTTTCCCGAAGACGCGCGTCCTCCTCTCTGCGCGTTTTCTTGTAAATCACCTCGATTACCAGTCGGCTCTTACGTCTCAAGATTCCCGAGATAAGCTTGGCATTCCTGTCCAAACTCACGCAACTTCTACGGAGTCTCTATTCGATCGCCACACACGCACAGATCTAAATCTATATTTGTTGAGAAATTCGTTCCCTCTTCATCGCTTTTTTGTCTTCGCACACCTTGGGCAACGCGCTCTCCTTTTGCAACCGCATCGACCAGCTATAATTACGCGTTTGCCAAAAGCAGCGAGATCGCGAGTTGATTTTGTGTAATAAGCAAATGCAACTGCGAAATAATCCGTTGGCAAAGAATGTTCGCCTCTTCGATCGGCACGAGAGAGTAACGTGCTCGTTACCCAGTTGCCATCTCGCGCGTCGCAGCAGTAAGACTTTGCAGAGGCAGAAAGAGAGAGAGAGAGAGAGACGGAGCGTGTATCGAACTT